GGCGGAAGATCAGAAGCAACAGGAAGCAGAATTACGCAGGCAGGCGGAAGATCAGAAGCAACAGGAAGCAGAATTACGCAGGCAGGCGGAAGATCGAGAGCAACAGGAAGCAGAATTACGAAGGCTAGCAGAAGCAAATACTCAACCGACCTCTTTCGGGAACTTTGTCCAACTTTGTCACGATTTATTTTCCAAAAAGTTAAGGGTTGGCACACCTACCACATCTACCAAGGGAAGTATTCCAGCACCCACTGGCAAGTACTGCCCAGCACAACTTCGCGTTTGGTCAGACTGTCCAGCCCAACAGCTAAAAATCTACACTGATGTCTTCAATTACCTTCAACCGACAGGGAGAGAACCCCCTCGGCTTTTTCCATCTTTTGCCGATTTAAACGGTCTTAGTCGGCACTTCTCTCGGCGTTTCCTGCGAAGTGAAAAGGATCTGGAGAGTTATGAACGATTTGCAGTGGAAGACCATGTCCAAGATATCATAGCCGAACTGTGCAAAATACCAGACGCCAAAGAGAGATTCCGACTTGGTAACGGGGTTGTGTTTGAGAACCACGGGAACACCCTGGACGATCCAGAAGATGAGGACGAGGTGCTAGACACATCAAGTTCAAAGAATCCGCGGCCCGACCAATTCTGTATCCATCGAGTCGACGACGGCACGAATACCATGCTTACCACAGTTGAATATAAGCCACCACACAAGCTTTCTGTGGAGAACCTCCGAAAAGGTCTTCGGCCAGGAGACTTTTGGAAAGACGTTGTGAACCGGGACCAAATCCCTGTCGATAAGGATGAAAAACTTACGTACAACGCCGAACAGCTAGCTGGCTCGGCGTTGGTCCAGGGATTTCACATTATGATCCAGGAAGGTCTCGAATACTCTTATATTACCACTGGATTGGCTTTGATTCTTCTCCACGTACCCTACCATGATCCTAGTACGCTATATTATCACCTATGTGAACCGAATATGGAGGTGAATATGAACAGCTCTAGTATCTTCCAGCGACCAGTAACGGCCGTCGCTAGGGTGTTGTGCCTCTGTTTAATGAGTTTTCACTCTCAAATACGAGACCAGGAATGGCGGAATACTGCCAGATCCCGATTAAAAATATGGAAGACGAGCTTTGACCATACGCGTTCCCCAATTCCTGACAAAGAGTTACGGGAATCACCCCCAAACTCAGAACATGCAAGTTCAGAATCAAGTGGCTCTGAATACTTACCATCTTCCCCATTGGAGTCCACAGGACAGGCCCGCCGAATGTCTTCCCGGTCTCAGGGCAATTGCGCGGATATCGAAACGCCTCGGAGGGAGCCGACGGACTCGTCTGATTCCGAGACCAGCCCAGCAACCCAGGGTCGAAAGCGAGGCTTCAGTCAAATCATGTCCTCTTCGTCTAGTCGACGTTCATCAAAACGCCCAAATAACTCGACCCATCCTAGTGATCAACGCCAACAACACACATCACGTTTCTGTACGCAACGATGTCTGTTAGGTCTGCAACGAAGAGGCACCTTAGACAATTCTTGTCCTAATGTCCATCTCCATCGACATGGCTCGGAAGGCAACCAACATTGTATCGATGTGAAACAGCTGGTCCACTCGCTGAAAAAACAGCTTGATCGGGATCTTGATCACAACTGCACGCCCTTTGGAGATTGTGGATCATACGGCGCGCCTTTCAAGATCACATGCTCTACATACGGCTATACAGTGGTTGGAAAGGGGACTACATCCCGACTCTGGAAGGAGGTCTCTCGTGAAGCCGAGGTATACCAGGTTCTCCGGAAGGTACAGGGATTAGTGGTCCCGGTGTTCCTTGGTGCAATTGATCTGGAAATGGTATATTTTCTTCATGGGGCCGGCGAGATCCAGCATATGCTGCTGATGGCTTGGGGGGGTGAAAGTATTGAACCAGGTGAAAAGCGGGCTGAAATCGCAAGGTCGGTGAAAAAAATCCGCAAGCTAGGAGTCGTGCATGGGGATTTACGGCTGCAAAATTTGTTATGGAATCACGAACTAGGTCGGGTCATGATCATAGACTTTCACCGATCTCATGTCGACCTCCAGCTGATGGGAGATCGAGCTCAATCTTTGAAAAGATCACAGGCGCACAATTCCAAACACCGTCGTCTTCTATTAATCTGAACAGCCATATGTTCATCCTAGGGTTGCAAGAACATGAATCAAATTTTATTCCTGGTCCATGAAGAATACCATTATGCAGAGGGAAGAAATTAAAAAATAAGAGTGAAGCATACTGCCGCACTCCAACAGTCATGGCATTAGCTATCTGCAAGATTTTACACCCCCTCCTCACATTCCTCCTTGACAGCACCATTCGTTGCATTAATCGGGACAACAACACTAATTGAGTCAACTGTTGACTCTATTGACCTTATCCATGCAAATTTGACTGTAAGGGCTCGAACAAGTGAGCTTCGCCAGATCCTCACCCGCTGTCTAGAGAGATATTGCAAAGATTATGTGGTGGGGCAATGTCCATGTATGCCTGAGGCAGCAGCGCCACTTTAATAAATAGAGCCATTCCACTGAACAGTTGCATCTGTATATCCTGGTTAAAGGGGCATTGATTACATTCTAAAATATGACTGACCACCTCGACGCTATCCGCATCGAAAAACTACCCGAAGATGCCTTCTACATCGCAGACTTTATTACAGAAGAGGAAGAGACATGGCTGCTTCAAAGGGTAATTCCCTTGACGGCCAAGTCATAAGAGAGACTAAATAGTTAGGTACTGATTCTTTGAGTATAGATCACATCAGCGCCCCGGACGCGATGGACCCATCTCACGCACCGCCGTCTACAGACCTGGCCATCAAAGCTTACGCAGAACAACGCGCTGATCAGCTCCCCCCTGCCTAGCTGGCTGGAATCGCCTGTGATCCACCCCCGGTTAGAGAGACTGGGGTTCTTTGCAGATGCGCCGCACGGGGCGCCGAACCATGTCCTGGTCAACGAGTACCGGTCCGGCCAGGGGATCATGCCGCACGAGGACGGGGCGGCGTATTACCCGCTTGTAGCGACGGTGAGTCTGGGGTCACCGATTGTGCTGGACCTGTACGAGAGAAGCAGAAACGAGCAACCGGTCGAAGGTGGTGGGAGGCCGCGGTTTCGGATCTTGCAGGAGCGCCGGAGTCTGCTGGTCACCACGAAACGCCTGTATACCGATTTCTTGCATGGGATCGCGGAAACACGGATAGACGCGGATCTGAATGCGACTACGATATGTAACTGGGATATGCTACGAGATAGGGATGCGTTCGAACAAGGCTGGTACGAGAGAGAGACAAGGATTAGCCTGACTTATCGAGATGTATTGAAAGTGGTCAAGTTGGGGAATACCATGAGATTTCTATCTCGCTAATCCCCCTTTTCCCCCCCACTATCAATATATCCCTGGTATCATTATCCAGCGGCCACGTACTGACTCGTCGCCAAATTTCTGCATATACCAGGTTTTTGTTGACTTGGCTGTGATACCGAGGTTGACGGCGACAAATAGTAGGCATGTGACTAGGGTCTTGTTGATGAATTCTCCCTTGGGAGCTGCCAGCAGTGCTAGAGACAGATATATAATACACTCCGCAGTGTAATGTGGACAGATGATACCGCGGAAGAGCGGATGGGTCGGTAAGGTGTATTTCTTCAGAGAGAACAAGTAGTGGTGGCAATCGTGCTGGAGGCCCGATGCCATCAAGAACAGAGGCAGACAGAAAAAGGTGCGCAGTGACGGGACATTGGAGAGCTTGATGTCGTCGAAACTCAATTTTTTTGATAGTAGATTGCCTATGTCCATGGTTTAGCTTGGGAGCCCTTTCTTTCCTTATCACGGCTTTCATACCTGTTCCTTCAATCCAGATTGCAACGCCCATTCCCAGATAAAAGGCAATTCCCATCAGCCAGTGAGCGAATCCCATCTTCGAAGAAGACGGTTTGGCAAAGAGAAACGACTCGTACAGCCGCCTGGAACCCTGGGCCAACATCAACAAGCAGCACAGTATGACCTGGTTAAATGACATGGACGGTTGTAGATGTGCGGGGGCGACTCTCTCTGCGATTGCCCGAAAGAAGACCCCGCCGAGGAGGACCTGCGTGGTCCAGAAGAGGGAGGACAGAACGGAGACGACATAGAAGTGGGTGAAGTAGCCGTGCGGTACTTTGAACGAGGCAAGGCTATCCATTGTGCGCGTAGCAAACGACTTGGACGCCGGGGCGGGAGGCTGCGACGGGCTGTCGGCTTGGGACGTCGAAGTCGCACGGGCGCCATACGCAACAAAGCGAGAACGGAGGGCCGCAGGCAGGCTGACAGCGAGGGTCTGGAGATTGATAGAATCATAGAACCATTAGGACCAAACCTGGTCGAAAGCAAACAAGACAGTGTGGAATCTAGATTTCCTGACGAAGCAACTCACCGTGCAGGTCGCCAGAACAAAGAGCGCGCGGACTGCTTCGATGGCATCCATCTTGGGGGAGGTGAGGCTGGCCAGATGCCAATGCTCACTCCAGCTCTTCACGGTGACTCGATCAAAGTAGACAGGTCAACTGCGAGGATCTTCGCACCGCTGACGACATGGTTGTCGAGGCTTGAGCCCAGGCTGTCAATTTGAGGCAGGCGGGCGGAGAGTCAGCAAGCTCCACCGAGTGTACGGAGTATAGAGTACACATTACCTATTGTTTCATCATTACGAAGAACTCTATAGAGATAAATCGAGTGGATGTATTAGCTCTAAATATCGCTATATGCTAGTAGCTACTCAAGGTAGAGCTTGGAGTAATTAACTACTAATTATTACCTAGGTACCTAGGTACCTGAGGTACGAGCTATGGCGTGTGCCTAAGGCAGCAGATCTTAGTAATCCAATCTAACCAGAAGCTCTCTAGTCTATTAATAACCACTAGTGTGCAACAGACTTTGCCTCTAACCTTGTAGAGTAAGCTCCCCTCAGCTCAGCTCAACAAACGTCACGATGCAACCATAACTAGTAGGGAGCCAGGACTCGTACTCCATAGCAAACATACTACATACGGAGTACGGCGTACGTTTATCCATGTCGAGGCCCGAGCCAAGGCTGGAAAAGGAGGCGCTGATCTGCAGCCGGTTTTTGGCACTTTCCAGTCTTCCTCTGGGCACTTCGCCTTCGCTGCCTGGTCACCTGCCGGTGGCGAATCTGCTTGGAGGGGCGATAAGCCAGACGCCGCTCCTGAGTCCTGCCTTTTGACTGGCCGGATGCGGCCGATCACAGGCCTTGAAGCCTGAGGAAGGAGTCTAGCAGCCAATCATGTCGCGACGCCGCCCTAGTAGACCGTGGCTAGCCCGGATACAGTTAGAACAAGCTTCAACCTGAAATTGTCAACCTGAGGCAACAGCCACGCCGACGGAGTATTGCCAACGAGAATAGGTACATCCATGACAACAGGTACCTACCTGGGTAGTGTACTAACTAATAGCTATTCTGTACCAAAGAACAGCCATAGAGTAGATATTTTCTGGGATCCTGCAAGCTCTTTCTCAGACGCCACTTGGGCCTGCCCGCAGATTCGACCTCTCAGCAGCAGCGGGTGCTTTGGGTGCTCCGCCCCGACGCTCGCGGTGGCCACTGAGGAGCCTGCGCGGGTTCTGGTGATACCAGACGCAGCTTGTTCCAGGCGGCCGTTTCAACAACTGCCTCTCGTAAACTGCCACGCCCTTTCTTTTCTTCCCTCGCCCTTCTTCCCTCATTCCATCCACACACACACACCCCCCCCCGACCGACCGACCGACCGACCGATCGCACCATCCATTGTCTTATGTTTCCTTCTTGAATCTGCTATTCTTTTTCCTCCTATAATTAATTATTATATCTATTCCTTTGAAAAAATCCCTAGCTGTCTTACTAAATTCACTCTCCACGTTCTGTACTATCGATCTTGTGGCTAGGTGATAGAGAAATATCACTGTTTACTCAGTAGTGATTTCTCACACCACTGTGACTCAACCTACAGGTCTTTAAGGATTCTTTCTCTTTAGATCGATCTTCTGTGAAGGTGTGGCTTAAACACCAGCATCTATCCACAACTGCTGGTGCTGCAGGCTGCTGCGAAGAGCGTCCCCTAGCCACGGCCCCCGAAGATGACGAGCAGAACCCCCAACAACCGAGTGCTACCGCTATGAGTGATGTTGAGGCAGTCTCCTCCTTGCCAGCTGCCCTGGATGCCGGACCGAGTGCTTTTGCGGCGACGGTGAATGCCCGGACGCGACTTCGCCCGCCGTTTGCACAACCTACTACTACACCCCTTCCCCAGAAGCAGGAGGATGTGTCCGAATATGCGGCGGATGATGACGGGACGGCGAGCCCCAAGGCCGACTCGGAGGCGGAAACTATCATCCAGTCTGGCCGCGAGTCGCTTTCGCCGGAGAAGAGACGCAAGTTTATAAGGCACGAACCGAAACGACGCGATGAGGGACCCGGACTCGCGGACGGTGACGGCGACCTGCCTGCGATTCGCCCGCAGGCAAGAAAGCGAACCGACTCGAATGCTGATGCCTCTCGTCCTACGAGCCCCGTTCGGCGAGCACGGTCCCCACTGCCGCTAGTCTTGAAGCGCGAGAGGTCAGAGGAACCGCAGGTTTTGACAAAACAAAAGCAATCCTCCCACCCGCCTGCCGAGACCGGGCCGAGGAACGAGAAGGAGCGGATCTCGAGGAAGCGGAGCTTCAGTGAAAGTGTCAACGGAGACAGCAGCCCCCGCCGCAACCCCCCCAAGTCACTATCTGTCGCCCCGCGCGACCGCGACCGCAGAGACGTCAACAACCTCGCGTTTGCTCGCCCCGCTTCCCACGACCGTTCCCTCTCCCCTGCGCGCCCCTCTCACAAGCGAACCGCCTCGGGTCCTCTCTTGAGCACTGGTGACATCGTCAGGAAGAGGAAAGTACCGCAATCGTTGATCACAAGCCACCAACCGAGGCAAAGCTCTGAAGATCGGCAGTCGGTCTCGTCTTCCGCTAGCAGCTCCCCGTTGCCCAGCGCCCATTTCCGCAAGCTTGCTTCAGTAGATGGCTCATCAGCATCTCCGGCAAAGCAGATGGGTAAGAAACAGCGTGATCAAAATGGCCGGACGCGCTTAGCGCGGGCTTGTGCTGCCCGAGAACTGGAGGCTGCAATGGCTAGGCATGCCGAACGCCCGGGCGATCTGAATGTTGCCGACAACGCGGGGAACACGCCTCTACAAATCGCATCTCTCGAAGGGTGTGCGCCTATAGTGCAATTTCTTCTCGACGCAGGTTGCGACGTGGACACTAAAAACATTGACAGGGACACGCCGTTGATTGACGCAGTTGAAAATGGGCATTTGGATGTGGTGAAGTTGCTCCTCGACGCAGGTGCAAACCCCCGTATTCTCAACGCGGAGGGTGATGAACTGTGCGACTTGGTCCCCTCTGATTCAGAAGACTACGACGAAATCCGACGAGTGATCGAAGAAGCAATGGCGAATCCCAAGCCCTCTAGGCGACGCTCCGAAGAACAGGTAGGAGGCAATGGCGTGAGGGAATCTGGGCGACGCGCTTCCGCCATTAGCCCGCGTGAATCTCCTCCAGTGCCTGGTGCCAAAAGCCCGCCTGTCTACAATGCAGCAACCAGTAGGCGCAAGACCGTCCGAAGTGAAGTCACCCGGAATGACCTGTTGTGGACAAAGCCATCCCCGGAGACTCTGAGGGAGTTTGCTAGCAAGGGTGATATAGCAGGCGTCGCGACAATCCTCAACGTGGGACAGCCTGCAGATGCCGAGGCTGTGATCGCAGCTGCCAAGGGTGGCCATGATGAAGTGATGTCCTTGCTCTTTGGAATCGGAGACGCCGATCCTGATCCGGAACCCTTGGAGGGGAACAATCACAAACCAGGATGGAACACCCCCATGCTGGCGGCAATCGGTCGAGGGAACCTACTTGTCATAAAGCTTCTACTGGACCAACCGAACTTCGATCCCACACGCCGCTTCCAGAAACGAACCTATTATGAGATCTCCCGTGACCGCAAGGGAGAGAACTGGGAGGAGGAGGCGGAAATTCTAGAAGATGCATATGAAGCTTTTTCGAAGACCAAGAAGACGCGGAAGTCCGATCTCTCGTCTCCTCGACGCGCTCGACACGACAAGGAAAGCAAAAGACATGTCCGCCGTGAATCGCACTCGCCTGTCGCTCGTCAAAAGAAACCTCCCGGACGGCAACCCAGCAACAACAATAACCATGAGGAGCCAGTCTCTCGAGATGCCGCTTTGACCAAGGAGAAGAGACGAGAACCAACAACTCAGTCAAAAGAGAAGACTAATCTAACCAGTGCGCGTTCGACGAAAGTTCCGAACCGAGACAGCCATGATCACTCTATTGCTACCTCTGACCCGGACACTGCCCGTGGAGAGCCTACCCGGCCTAAGCCAATCTTGAAAGTGCGGAGAGACAGTGAATCGAGCGGCGTTGCTCGGGCTGACGAGGTTCCCAAGAGAAGACGTCTCATTGCTGGTCGGCCACCCCAAGATCGGGACAGAAGACAACCCAGCCTGTTTTCATCTGATTCGCTTTCCGGTCGAGAGGAAGTTGCCAAGTCTCGACTCCATACGCACCCAGATACTTCAGCACCCAAGTCTACCGGCCCTTCCTTGAAGCGTATCCGCAATAATAGTGCCAGTCCAGAACGCTCGCGTTCTCGCGGTTCAGAAACCGAACGCCGGACTCTAGACGCCAATAAGAAGAAGCGCCGTGTCTTTTCGGAAGACAGAACGTCTGCTGCGATCAATGGCACGGTGAAAGATGCAGACGAATCAAAGGTCGTTCCTCCCGTGAGTCATATTGTGCAATTGAAGCAAGAATCCTCTGTAGAGAAGCAGAATGGTGTGCACAAACAGACAGATGAAGCATCCGTCAAAGTGGAGCGTGACAAGGTCGAATCCCACGCGCTAGATGACATTCCAATGGCCGAAGTCCAAGACGAGGATTCGCAGGCTAGGGAACGCAAGCAAGTCGAAGCCAAAAAGGCCGAGGACGCGCGTTCTGCAGAGGTTGCAGAGCAGAAACTAGCTGCTGCGGAGAAGGAGCGTGCTCGAGTGGCTAAAGAAGACGCTGACAAGGCAGCTCGTGCTGCTCGGGAGAAGGCCGAGGAAGAAGACCGCAAGAGGAAGGAAGCCGACCAGAGGCGGATCAAACAAGCCGAAGATGAACGACAGAAGCGACTGGAACAAGAGCGCCTGCGTGCGGCCAAGCTCCGGAAGGAACAGGAAGAGCAGGAGCAGCGACGCAGGGACGCTTTGCCTAGCAAGCTTTGCCTGGCGGCCAACCTGGTGGGCTCCAACGACCCTCTTGCGCGGAGCCATGCCTGGTTGCAAAAGTTCATGCCTGTTGTAACTGCCCTGACGAAACAGCTTGATCCGGCGTGTGAGCCTGATGTGGCAGACGAGAGATGGGTTCCTAACTACTTGGTTGCACCCTTGCTCGCGACCAATGATCTCCAGCTCTCTCAATGTGAGTTTCTTGCAACAGATGACCTGAAATTTCTTGCAGTTTAAAAATGGCTGACCGAATGCTTGATAGATCCTAGCTGGGAGAAGCGTGAAGCCACACAGACCCAACGCATGAACCTCTGGCGCGTAACCCGTCGGGTGCTCGTCCAGGCCGATGAATCGGAGTTCCACAATTCCTCTTTCGGGGAGATTATGCAGAAGGATTGCGAAGCCCGCCGGAAATATCTTGATATGAAGACTGTATTCTGGGTGAAGCTCTCCGACTTCATGGACCTGGTTCCGCACGTTCCACACCTGAATGGGCTCGAGATCCAGTTCTTGAGGATGCACATTGATCCAGAACCTTCCAACGGGACGTCTGCGTCTGCCATTGAAATACCAAAAGTCAACGGACACGCATTCGACCGATCTCTCGAAGACGGTTTCTCCACCGGAACCAACGGCCTGGTTAACGGCTACAGTCACCCAGTGCCAGGTGCATACGTCTGATTTCCTGATCTTCACCGAGCAAAGTTGGCACAAAGTTCTGCACGAAACCCGTCATCTCCCACTTTTGGGGTCCACGATCTCCTTTTTTGCTGTACCACTACGATACCTCTTCTTGTTTGATAGTGAGATGATAATCCTGATCCACAGCCATTGGACATAACATGATGCAATGAGCATGTCGATATGATGATGCTATGCATGTCCGTTTGGACAAATGATGATACGATGAATATTCCCCCGTAATAGTAAAGAGTTATTCTCATAGTAAAGTACACACCAAGTATGAAACCTGTATGTTGTATGAGAATAGAGTGGAAGGCCTGCGTTACTAAGCCAAGTATAGCCATCACGTGATAATTATGATACTAGCTTACATAATCTATAGGGCACACCAAAGCTTAGCCGAGAGAAAATCGGGATTTTGAAGCTCACGAAATTTCCCCGAATCGCCAACCGATAACAACCACTACTCTTTGAGGATCTTCCGACATCGAGTCATAGTCCACACAACAAAATGGTATCTTTTCTCTTTCCTTTTCTTTTTTAACCTCGTACTCATGGTATAATGAGCTAACCAGTTAGTCGGACGGAGAAGAGACCATTTCCAACCCCCCCGTCGCCGCCGCCGATGAGGTCGAAGTTTCCGCCGATGCGGGCGCTGGCGGCCAGATGTCCGTCCTGGATGCTCTGAAGGGTGTCCTGCGCATCTCGCTGATCCACGACGGTCTGGCGCGCGGCCTGCGCGAGGCGGCCAAGGCGCTCGACCGCCGCCAGGCGCACATGTGCGTCCTCAACGAGGGCTGCGAGGAGGAGGCCTACAAGAAGCTTGTTGTTGCCCTTTGCTCCGAGCACAAGATCCCTCTCATCAAGGTTCCTGATGGAAAGATGCTGGGCGAGTGGGTTGGTCTGTGTAAGTTTTTAAAAAAGAACAGAAAAAGAAAACATCCACCGGGAAAGCGTTGCTAATAATGCTACAGGCCAGCTCGACCGCGAGGGTAACGCCCGCAAGGTTGTCAACTGCTCTTGCGTCGTTGTCAAGGACTGGGGTGAGGAGTCACAGGAGCGCTCCGTCCTCCTCAACTACTTCCAGACTGAGCAGTAAATGCGACCCGGCTGATGGGCGGATCTTGTTGGAATCGATGGAACCCGACGGGCCCAAGTAGCTTCGCAGAGCTCAATGAAGTACAAAATAAAATAAAATAACAACCTTTCACAGTCAAATGTCTTTTTGAGTAGATGTAGTGTTGGACCCTTTCAATTGAGTCAACTAAGTAATTCGCCACGAGTAACAGTATGTGCTAAGAGATAATAGAATATGACAGCTAGGCTACTCAATGATAGAACCATATAGACAAAGTCAACGCCATGCCACGCTAATTGAATCAGAGAAAGAAAGCCGCCAATCGAGTAGCTCAGTTCTATATACGGTATACTATCGGAAACAGTATGACGGACGGACCATCTTGTTCGTTTCCGGCTTCAGCGAGAGCTGCTGGTAGGGCGAGCTTCCCGGGTCATAGTAGAGACCTTCGATTTGTCCGTTGTCACGACGCAGAGAGATGTAATAAAACCCGGAGATGGTGAGGCCTTGTCGTGAGTCGGTAGGGGTAATGAAACAGCGCTCTGATCAGTTAGAATGTTATGGCTTGGAGAAATAGGAGAATTGAAACGTACCCTTCCAGCGCATCAGAATCCATCCCCCCACCAAGTCATCCGAGATCCATTTCTTGCTCACAAGGTTTTTGATCATCTCGTCGTCTGTCAGATCCTTGAAGGGCTGCAGCTCGCGCCAATATGTACTGTCGATTCCGGCATCGGCGCGGAAATTCTTGGTTTCAAGAGTATGCGTGTTGAAGTCGATGATCTCGCCCTCCAGAAAAGTGATAATATGTGCATCGTGCGTCGGCGAGGTCTTATCTGGAATGTTATAGGCCTCCATTGTTCCCGATAAGGTCATGTCTTTATAATTGATGCTATGGATGGTGACTTTGACCGGCCAGTCGTCGTCCTTGGTGTTTCCCGGTTGCGACACGGTACTAGGTGCAAGGTATCGTCGCCCGCTGGTCGTATATACGCTGATGCGGCCCGTTTCACTACCGTTGACGATCACTGGGTCCTGTGCTGACATGCTCGGATTCGAGACCCGACTGAAGAGAGTATTGCTGGAGGCGGCTCGCTGCGATCCGGAAAAGACCACCCCGGGCCTCAGCCAGGAACATTCAGGCGGCGGTGCCAGGGAGGCTGTGTCGAGGATGAAGTCGTCATCGTCCCAAGCGAAGAGGTCCAACGGAATCAGGCCGCCAGCAGCGGCGGATGAGATGCTTTCCGCGTAGGATCCGGAGTATCGGAGACCCTCCAGATACTTGATTGTCTCTTGCAACTTCGGACTGGGCGGGTTTTCGATGTGCAAGAGCCGATGAAGATTGATGCGTGGCCGGTCATCATTAGTAGGACTGCGGTGAGACTCCCCCCGGTTACTCGGTAGGACACGATATGCCCTTGAGACCAATGACCCAGGGCGGTCTCGCTCTTCGGCCTCCTGGCCTGCACCACGTTCTCGATGTTGATCCAAAAGGTAATCTCGTAGGGTCCGTGTTCTAGGAAGCCGAGGCTGTCGTCGGATAGACTGTAGTAACCCTTCCGTTGAAAGGGCCGCGTCGGGGATCCGACTCCGACTGCCGCTGTCTGAAGAATCCCCGGTCAGGGCTGACGATGTCCGACCGCCGTTCTCGCGTCGCAGATGGCGCCGTGACGGCGCATTCCGAGCCGGTTCCCAATCAGCCGGTCGCCCGAACCACGACGAGATCGCGCTCGTATCGGGAAACGGCTCCTCGTTATCATCGTCCGACCCAGGCGCCCATCCGTAGAGCGACCGCAGGCTCGAAACGCGACCTTCATAGTTCGGTCGGTTACCCGCCTCCTCCCGCGGACGCCGGATGATGGGGATGCGGCGGTTGACCTCGACCCCCATGCGCGCGCTCCGCATGTCGTCCAACTCCATCCGATGGCCACCGTCCTCCTCTGTCAGATACTGTTGCCGTCGGCGCCGCTGTCGGCTGAGGGACGAGGAATCGGCGGAGTAGCGCATCCGGACGCGGGGGAGACCCGGGTTGTCGTCATGGGCAGCGTCGTCGGGCCGGCTACTCTGGAGGCGCAAAGACGTCGTAGGAATGGGGACCGGGGTCGAACCTTGCGGCGGCGACGCACCAGCTGCTGCTGGTGTCCGAGACGGAGATTCCTGCTGGGACCAAGCGATCGAGTTAGACAACGGGTCCATAGGGACGAGCGGGCAACCTTGGGACAGATAAGGTAGTCCCAAACCATGAACGCAAAACGGCCTTATCGAGGCTCCAGTGGACGAGCAGCCTCCGCAACAAAAAGAGGCCAAAGAACGCAGAACAAAAATCACCACAGAACAGAGATGGGACAGACGTACAAGAGGCGTGTTGGCGGGGGGCATGGTCTTCGGCAGTCCTCGTGGCGGCGCAGCGGAGGGCAAATTCCGCTGGTGGAACGGGAAGTGCAACGCGGCGGCGATCGGCAGGCGGAGAGAGCATGCGAGTCAGCTCACGACCAGAGAGCGCAATCACGCTGGACGATGGGGACTGGTTCTGCGGAGGTAAAGAGGCGTAATAGATGATGGGATAAATAATAAGCTCATGGATCGTGTGAAGATTGTCTGGTCAGCCGTCGAGATCGCCCTGGTTGGCTTGACTGTGGTCTGATTAAAGTTGGGAGACCAAGTGGCAACTGACTCAGTTTCAGGTTTCTACGTTACCTACATGTCGATTGATGGAGATTATAAGAGTCTTCTGCGGTGGAAAGAAGTCGAGGATCTATTCTACAGACTCCGAGTCCAATTACAATATTCTCATGGCATACACAATATGGAGTTTTCGCGAGAATGCCGGACGTAGCCAGAACTGGCATCACGTACCCGGGGTCATATTATCACAATAATACGCTGGCACTAGAGATAGATTTTCGCTAAGGAATTAATATAGACAGAGAAAGTAGAGCTCATTGCATAAGACGCAACATCGTACCGAGAAATCCCATATCAATTCTGTAGACGAGTGACGCCTAAGCTTCTCCTGTGATGATCAAAAACATGCAACACTTTGTAGTCTTCTTGGAAGATAGCATGGATGAGATTTGGCTCAGGATAGTCTATTTATTAATTATTAGCAATATGAAGAAAGATGCAGAGAGTAGAACTGACCAATGGCAGGTACAGTAGTCGCACAATTAATGATAATCCAGTCTTTGATCATGCCTTCTATTACCCAGTCATGATATTGTCCCATATTCTGGAACCTCGAGATATGTTCATCAACCCGATCATAGTCACGCAGGAGTTCGATGGCCCACATCTTCTCAGGCATCCAAAAATCTAAACTTCCTTTCTTGGTTCTGGACCACTCTGAGGAGATTGGAACCCCCCGCCCTGCGACCATCCTGAAGGCTTTATAGAACTCATCCTGGTAATGGGCTTCTACAGGCCTGTACTTCGCTGCACTGGAAATCTTTTTGCCCTGGGAGGAGTGTTGCAAAGAAATGACAGAAAATTGATTGAGAATGTCTAGGCAAAGTTCTCGAAGTGTACCATATCTTTCGGGCAAGGGTTTTCGTCTATGGCTGATATATCGCTCGACCCATCTTAACTTTTATTTAGAATATTCCAAAGGAGATTATCATATATAAGAGAAAACTTACTTCTCATGTAGGCGTGATGGAAGAACAGCAATTTCTTCTTCGAGGGAATTGGGCGTCTCATTCACGATGAGCTTATGAATCCATCCATTCACAAAACATGCCATCATTCCTGGACGGTCATCCCATGAGATGCTTCCTTGCTCCAGGATATCGGCAAGGACATTAGCAGCATCAGGTGTTAATTTAGGACGTCTAGCAAAAGAACGAGCAACAGGGCATCCTTTAAGATACATCCAGACTTTTTCTTCATTTTCCAAGCTGAAGACAACATGCTGTTTTGTTATCACGGATAATCCCTCGTGTTTGATCTTGCTGCGATAGACCTGGAACCTCAATCAGCCAGATATTCCAATCCACCGTTGCCAAGGTAGGATTCTGGATAGAACATACCTCATAGATATAGGATAACATCCCGTCTACAGCTCCAGGATGTCCATTTGTAAGAGAGAATAGATAGTCACTGGCTTCTTTATGAAGGGTGAATTCTTCAGTATACAGGTATTGGATCCTTCGGAAAACATTGTCATCAAACTCGGACCTGGTGAAAAAAAGTCCAATCCGCGGGGAGCCTTCAATTGGCTGAGGGGTGAAGGTGACGCATTGCCCTGGGTGAAATATGGCCGGGGTATAGTCGTGAGTCTCGACGCCAGTAAATGGACTCCCATAAGAACAGAAGAGGCAGATTCGTATGTCTCTAGGTACCAAATGATCTAGTCGTTCCTTGATAATTTGATTCCAGAATATCTCATCTGAGTATGACTTCTGGGCCTCATCAATAAGAAGTAGAGTCTTTGGAGCGAAGAAATCTGCTAGATTATGGTGTGGGTAGTAATGCTGGAGCTTGCGCTCTAACCCATCCCAAGCGGTCTCATTGCCGATACAAAAACCATCAAGATCTCTTCCCCATGTCTTCAGAAAAAAGACGGTCCAATCTTTCTTAATAAGATGATCCGTAAGCAGGTGAGCAAGCGTTGTCTTTCCGCTCGCAGGAGTGCCTCGAACATAAACAACTGGCTTGGATTCAATAAGGTCAGCAAATGCTGAGACTGTGTCCTGTCGAGGACATGTCAATGGGCTATTCGTGACTATCACCGTCAGATATTGTCAGCCGAGAAATGAACACAGTACAGATAGGATCTAGATCTAACTTTTGGATGCCTTAGTCTTCTGAACGTCCTGTTGCTTCTCCTCGAGGTCACTGGCAGATGGCGAGCCTTCGGGAAGAGTGTCGACATCCTCATGCTCTCCAATTGTATGATCGCAATAAGTGCATCTATTTTTCTCGTTTGATCCAGAAGATATGGTAAAGATGCCTTTTTCACAAGCGCATGGCATTTTCATTCGCCCTCTCATGACAATTCCTTTACACTTCCCTGAAGCCACAATACGAAGGAGCGACGGCGGCAACTTAGGAGGACCCAATAAGACTGGGGTGTAACGGTTGGTAGTTTGCATGGTAGATGGTAGATGGTGGGTTCGTAGGAGCGACAGAAGCGATAGTTAGGAGAGACAGAAGGTAAGGGTGAAGAGAAAGAGAAGGTGCTGCTAAGGTGGAGAGAAAGAGAAGGTACTTAAGTAGGTAGGTAGGTAGGTAGGTAGCTCAGGCGGAGGGAAACAGAAGGTGCCGAAGTGTTGTAGCCTAAGGTATCGCATCCCTCAGCTTCCAAGTTCCAGGGCTTTTTTCGGAGGGAGACATGGCTTCCATGACAAATGGTGATTCTATTCAGGTTTAACCAAGGATCAACCGAAGCTAAACTAGGGAAACCGACTAATATGCTCAATCCTTGACTTGACTATGGTCAAATTTTAGCTGGGTAAGAAATGATACTCATAGAGTAGACTGATAAAACTTGGTGAATTGTAGAATATGCGAGAAGCCATGCTTTTGGAAATTTCACGTGTAATGTAGGATCGGCTATTGAATAAATGCATGTTCTTATTCACTAATAAGGGCGTAATGTTGTGTATATATGGGTAACCACTATACTCCCTAAGCTTTGATTCTCAGAGCCGCGTCTTTCGTGATGTTCTCATCTGAGTCGAGGTCCGCGTTATACTATATGGCTTGTACTGTAGGAGTAAAGTGAGGGTAGAAGATGAGAGGTGAGTTGTATAAGGGAGAGAACAAGAGGGTAGCTGAGAGTGAATAGTTAAAAAGGGAAAGGGTGTCAATGGTTAATGAGTGTCGTGGCGGTGAATGACAGGTAGGTGACATTACTTTAGAAGGCTGGAGTCAGGTCTCACAAGCCAAAAACCCGCACCTCTATTCGTCTATTTGAAAAACGTATAGAAAAATACAAGAAGGTCCTTCATCACAGCACCTAGTATACCCCACGGGCTGCATTGCATTCATCGGCCCGTTGAATGCAGTAATCGATCAGATTCCAAAATCCGTCCAAGTCCACTCCCCGAGGAATGGCGACGCCATGGCCCTCCTTCGGAAATGCGATGGTACGACCAAGCTGTCCAGTAACCGAAACGTCTTGGCCGTGCTGTCCATCTGTCACCACCTTGACTGCGAATCTCTCGCCTCCCTTGTCATCGAACTTGAGAGCTGTTCTGGGATGCTTCTTTGCAAACTCTGGGTTGAGGTTTGAAAGAATGATAGCCACGGCGAGAGGATCATGTAAGGGTGGGCCAGTGGTTAAGCCAAAGACCGTGGCGTAAGTGGTGGAAAAGAATCCCAGCAGTGCATGCAAAATCTGACGCAAGACAGTTGGAGATTCCGAATGACCGCTAGCGCCGTTCAGGATCCGGTCTTGAATGGCGGTTGACGCGAGAACCTGGTGTGTCAAATCGAGTGTGATGAGGAAAGTCTTTGGCGCCAGTACGGAATTGCTGAAGATTGACTCGGAAGCCTCAGGGTCACACTAGATGGCCGTTAATTTCAGATCTTCAAATACTCCGTCCCCGACTCCTATACATACGTAGATATTAAACTCCGCAAACGGTGTCGTGTTGCCGATGCGGGACTGTTCCCCCGGAAGCCTACTCATAGGAGCAGTAGTAAATTCCTCGCCGACTGCACCGCCCATGATACTGAGCCCCTGGATATGCTCGGCCACCTCTGGAAACGTGGCGAAAAGGAGTGCAATATTAGTGAGTGTGCCCGTCGCCACAACCCAGGGTTTACCCTTAGGTTCTGCCAAGAGTGCATCCCGCATTGCCAGGATTGGGTTCTTGTCCGTCACAGGCGGGAACCTCGCCTTGGGCAGAAGGTCAGTGCCATCCAGCCCCGACTCCCCTGCAGGAAAGAAAGATCAGTACTCAACCATCGACATCGGCAATCAAAATGCATATAGAGAAGCAAGCCTCACCGTGGATATCCGGGGCATGAACAGCGGGCCGGCAAAACGGTTTTCTAGAGCCTGGGTAGACCGGAATATCTGGTCTACCAATCGCCTCTAGGACACTGCCAGCGTTGGCTGTGGTGTTCTTCAGAGAAGCATTGCCATGGATCGTGGTGATCCCCAGGAGCTTCAACGACGGGTGATGAGCCGCAATTAAAATAGCAAATGCATCCTAATCCATGATGGCCGTCAGCAAAAGACAAGTACATCCAGACACCCCCGGTATCACTCGGTTCTGACTCACATCATGGCCTAGAATTGGCTGTCAGTCTGGGTCCTAACACTCATAAAACAGGGTATTGAGGTGTACAAACCAGGATCACAGTCAAGCCATAAGGGAGTAACGTCTTCTGGGTCTATAGATGTAGGTATCATTCTGAAAAAAGGCACCCCAACCACTGAAACCTGCTTGTTCCTGAGTGTAGAAGGAGCAGAACCCCTCAACCTCTGATAAGCCTGCTTATCGATAGAGATCCAGGAACATGCCCTAAGCCCTAAGAACCATTCTCTATCAGGAAATCACGTGTTTATAGTGGAGCTTGTCTTCAAGGCGACGTCAGATGATGTCTGCGTCCCAACGTGGACTAGTTCATGTGCCCTGCTATCACATGTTTAGAGCGACAACTGTTGAACTAGAGAATAACTTATAATAATGAGCTCCCATCACTACAACAGACCGACAGACTGATGCCTTGACCGACCTAGGGACGTTAGTGATCCTCAATCTTTACGAGATCTTTTCTTTCAATTATATGGTATTCTTATTTCTACATCGAGGTGATGGACACTGATACTGTCCGCCCGAATCCCCCTCCGCTGCTCTCTTATCCAAAGGCAGCCAGCTCCGGATCGCGATCGCCAGCTTTGCCTTCACAACCAACGCTGCTTTCGCCTCCTCATCCGTCATCTCACACGCAATTGCAACGGAACGCTAGTCGTGATGACCAGGATGACTTATCGAGTGATAGAGCGACTGTCAACCTGATCCGTCGCGTCTTATGTCCCCAGTCAGGCAATTATGGAGCGTCAACTCCGCAGTCTCTAGAAGAGTTGTTGCCTCCGCTCTCCAGCTCCAATGAGGTGGATCGCCAGCTCTACGCTCTCGTAGCAATTATCATTAAGGAATTTGTATACTCGTGGTACTCTAAGATCACGACAGATCAGGTTTTCGTACAAGAGATCCTTCAAGTGATTGCCCACTGTACCCGGGCACTGGAGCAGAGATTGAGACAGGTCGACGTGCCGCAGCTGCTTCTGGATGAGATCCCAGCCTTGGTCGAAGCACACATAACCTGTGAGGCTGAGATGTCCCCAAATCCGTTGACCAGCCATTTGATTGTGTACTGATTCTTCTTTACTCCTGTAGCATATAGGCTGGCGCAACAGCAGTCCAAGTTATCAGGTCTTCCGTCCTCCAGACGGGCCGTATACCATGCGCTGAACCCACACCCAAGTTTTTCTCCAGTCCCAGATCCCTCTGATCCCCAGACGGTCGCTCAGCAGCAAGAGAATGAAGCATTGTACCGACAGCTCCTCGCCCAAGGTGTCCTAGCCGTCTTGCTCCCCACGGAAGACCTGAAAAATGGGTGTTTAACCGCGCTAGTTGGAGACATTTTGGCGGATCTCATCTTAGGAGAACAGGTCAGCCAGGCGGCAAGCGAAGGATGGTTTTTGTGGGAGGTGACCACCAAACTGATTGATGTTGCGGTGAGAAATAACGATCAAAGAAGTAATCAGAAGACCGCAACTACAGAGGAACTTGAACAGTCCCGCTTAGAGAAATTCGGTCTGCTCTCTTCTGGAGAGGTGTCTCAGCCAGATTCGACATCACACGCCCAGTCAAAACTTTCGGTATGGATGTGGAGTGTCCTCCAATCCATATACTTGGCATATATTGGCCTTCGTTTCGTCGCGACAGGCTTAATCCAGGTTGCATCTAGCCCCTTGGCGACTGTTTCGCGAGCGCCAACATCCCCCTCGTTATCTACAGCTCCAATCAGCACGACAATCGAGGCGCCCTCCTCGTCGGAGAAGGCCATAGGGAAGCGCCCCGTTCTCGAGTACAGGGTGTTTGGGATGGTCTCGCAACTTATTGATGTTCCCGGCAGGATGCCATGGTTGGGAGGGTCGCTTGGGCTCCTCCAATACCTGATCCTGATGGGACCGGGAAGGTTAGGTGACGCCGACGGCGTTCTTGATAGGTGAGCTATTCTATGTTTTCTTCTCCTTTCGATCTCTTCAACGGTGCCATACACGGGGAAAAGAATGGGCCATTTGATGGCACTGCCCAGACGGAGGTGTCACTGGAGCGCGTGAGCGTGCTTTGGTGTGGAGAAACAACACCCTTCGATAATCGAACTATGATCTACGCCTCCAAGCCTGGCGCTTTCTTCACCAGTGGCGGCAGGATGGACTTGGGGCCGCTCATTGGAAGCCTGCGAATGAGTCTAGCGGGAAGTGGTGCATTGCTCGCATACAATATCGGTCACTTGATCTGCTAGCGACCATCTCAGCAGCCAATATATCCTCATACAGGCCTCATCTGCAACAAGACCTTGTTATTAGGGGGGAGGGAGGGGGTTTGAAGGAGGGGGGGGGGCAAAATGGGAGGAATAGCGGGCTTGTTCAAATGCCCGTCGGCTTTGCGAGACAGTCCTGTACATGACGATACCGACTGTGACCGACGCGTACCGATACGAAACCGTCTCGGTACCGTTCGTACGCAAGGCGAGCACTGCCCGGTTTGCGTTCCGTGCTGCCAGTCCCTGGCCCTGATGCCCCTCTAGGGTCTGGGATATTCTGCCATTCGCCTTCTTCGTCCTTGCACCGAGGCACATTGGTCAGGTCTTGCGATTTCCCCCCTCCGGGCCCGTTCGGATTTCGATACATTCATTTGTGGCGGCCCTCGGACTGTCCGAGTCGACTGGTCCTCATTTCGATATCCGCGCACGATAGATTTCTCGCAGTAGTAAACATTGTTATGTTTGCTCGGTGGGTCTCTTCTGGACCGGCCCTTTCCGTGCCGCACCGTTCATTTCTTCCCCCCCCCAAGCGACCAAAAAGAGATTATGATGGCCCTGTGAACGCCGAAGTTTGCCCTCGGCGCTGGCGCCTCACTCTGGAGGGCGCTTGCACTTGGCCTCTTCACGGCATCAAAAACAGAAAAATCAAAAAATCGAACGAGCTTTTTACGACGGTCGGCCACTTAGTCAACGGTCATGCCTCTTTTAGGAGCTTGTATGACATGGATATGGGCCAGGTGAAAAGGAGAGGGGGAAAAGAAAACAACCCATGGGTTTGTTTTTTTTTTTTTTTTCTGCTTCCCTAGCGCCATGAACCAATCAGAAAATTTCTACAAATACTACCGGGCAGCCCTGGAGTATTCTCGCTCGAGAAGACGATTCGCCGGCTGGCCCTCGTTCGCTCGCTCGGCCTCTTCCACTGCACACGACCCTCGAACTTGTCCGAGACAATACGGAGTAAATCAGGGGAAGAACAGCCTCCTGCACTCCGCCAATAGCATTCCTGCTCCGATATTGAATGCGAATGCCTTGGCGGGGCAAGATACCATCTCAGCCAGCCCCGCCCCGATCTTTAGTGAGCTCATTGGGCTGGCTGGTTGCCATTCTCCTGCCGCTTGCAAGGGCTCTCATACGACATACGACTCCATGAATCGAAGAGGCAGCCCACGTGCAGATTGAAGACACCTTTTTTGTTTTTGTTTTCTTGTTTCTTTTTTGCTTATTGTACTATTTTACTATTGTTTTACTATTATTATTTTTTTTTTTTCAAATCTGGGTTTTTCCCTGCTAATCTCAATTTCTCTTCTTACAACCAGATTCCTTCACTCAACCATCAACGATTACTTTCTGAACCCCACTTTGTTGCCCAACCTGCTTCTCGTCATCAGAGGTACGCTCTTCCCAGGAAATACTCGCCCGGCCCCCGTAGCAGGAGGTGGGAGTCAACAACCGCCCACGACCGCTGCTGCCGGCGGTGCTTCTTCTTCTTCATCTCCGCATGTGTCTGTATCTTGGTCAACAGAGAGCGGGCCCGGCCCCACCGCCAGCGACACGACGGCCAAGAAGATGAAAGTGAATAATCACGGCGATGGAGGCGACGGCTCTCCGGCATCGTTGCCTGCCACTGCTACCACTGTACCTGTACCTGTACCCCTGGCATCGATACTACCAACTAGTCCCTCGCAGGGACAGTCCCAGCCGTCGCGCCGGCCATCTGGGCCTGAGATCCTCGTCATTAAGAGACAATGCGCCGCCAGGATTCTATCTTTGATCCCTCACCCTGTTGCCCTGAGATTGTTTGGAGCCGCATATGACGGTAAGAACCCTGAAGATCATGAAGACAAGCAAAGCAATGAGGAGCAGCTCAAAGCTATCGAAGAAGATATCCTCGATCTCTTCGCTGACGAATACTGCAACAAACATCTCATCTACTCCATCCTCGAGACCGTCCTGGCCAAGCTCCTTCCGGAAATGTCGGACCGGAGTGTAACCGAGTTGATGGAGGATAGGGGGGCATTCCAGTAGACTCCATTATAGGCAACCTCTCTCGATCGTATGTACATAGAAATTAGTTAACTAGTTAACTACTACTACTACTACATATTACTCCGTACTATATTATCAGGTACTATAAACTATATGGTCAAAGCGCTTAAGCTACGAGAGGCTGTACTCCGTACCAAGACGGATATCTGCATCGAGTCGCACAGGCCCTAGCCCAAGCCTTCCTTCCCCCCCTTCCCTTATCGCATCCGATGTACTACATAGTATGTATAGTCAAGATAGAGAAGGTAGGTAGCCGGAGGTTTGCTCCTAGTCCCCATCCATAAAGTATTTGTTACTCGACAGGGCAGCGACAAGGGTTGACGGAACGTCCGGCATGGTTAATTTGATATACTTCATCGCTGCATCAGGTAAAGGAATGTCTAAATTAATGGAGTCTCGCAATCGTGATATCGTCCAATAGTTCAATTTAATCAGGGTCTACCAAGTTTGATGCAGGGCAGCCCCAGAAAAGGAACCCCAATATTAATCAACAGGGGTAGGAGATGGAAAAAAAATATACCCAACAAGGAGAAGGGAGATATGGAATAAGAAGAAATATATTAGAGATTCATGTATGACCGTGGTTAAGATCCCTGCCGTTCCATCCTGTCTCGATAATGTTTTTTTAATGCCCGAAATGCCGTATCAAGAAGTCCCTCGAATATTTCCGCGCGAGCGGCCGATGTGTACCTAACTAAATGCATGTAGAAGAACGAAAAACCCAATGATGGGGGAGAAAATGATGAAAATGATGAAAATGATGAAAATGACGTTGTCCAGTTTTCAAAATGTAAACGTATGCATCGAATGGGGGGAATAAGGGGGAGGGGGGGGGGAATTGATCAAAAAATAGACGCCTGTTATTTGCGTATCCGGGGACTGACAGTTTGGCTGTCGAAAAGATCGTTCATCCGGATTTGCTGTGTACAGCAAAAGAGAAGATGAGTCCTAACGAGGTTGCCCTCATGGGTTGTATTTGTGTATCCTTTTTCCCAGGCTTATGACCCGACAAAGGAAACCAAGAAATGAAGAATAAAAGCAGGGGAAAACAAAGATCAGATAGCCGCCCAGTGAAGCCGTAAAACAGGGGAATCAACGAGAAAAAAAAGAAGGGGGAAAAAAAGGGAAAGACGAAACAGAAAAGAAAACCAGGGTCATTTGATCAACACCCGGTACCAATTTCCTTTTTTTTTTTTTTTCAAATGATGTATGAGGCCTGCGTTCTGCTAGCCCAACGTATGGATGCTTCGTTTCTTGCTCACCCGGGAAATATTGTGCTCTTCGATCCGTGCGAATCCTCCGGGTAAGGCGTTTGAGTGGCTTAGTGCGAGCCGCTCCATGAGTTTGCCAATGGTCATGAAATCCTGTGCAACCAGGCCATTGGGTTGATTTTGGAAGTAATTCCAGACCAATTCCAACGCACGCCGAGCCTCGTCCTGTGAGGGGGACTCTGGGGGGCTCACGGGCGAGACCGAGGCTGATTTGGAGAGGAAGGGAGGTGGGAACATGGGCGTCATCTTTGACTCGATGCTGGCGGGGGTTGTTTCGTCCGAGGACACTGGGAACTTGTGGTCCTCGTCTTCTTCCTCCAGAGGCGACTCGAGGATCGATAGGGACAAGGATTGCTGCAGCGCCCCCTTCGTGTTGAGGGATCCATCCGCCGTAATCAGGCTCGGATCGACCGACGCCACGGGGAAAGTCTGGCTCCGTGGTCGGTTGGTGTTACTGGCGGCAATGTGAGACTGGCTGGTCGGCGTGAACGGGCTGGTTGACACCAATGTAGAGGATGGGCTGGTGACACCGGTGGAGAGGGCTGCCATGTCGAGCGAGGTCAAGCTTTTAGCATGCGCAGGGGTGTACTCGGGACTAAACTCGGCCAAGGCTTCCGCGAGCTCTTTCTTGAGGGCTTCCTGGCTTCGGGTGGGCGACAATGGTGACATCGTAAGGCTGGTTGTGGAAACGGGAGAGACTCCTCCACCGGGCGTCTGGGCGGTGGAATCGATGGTGGTATTAGTATTAAGTCGGATAGGGCTGCCCGTTTCACTCTTGATGGTTTCACTCGAGCTCTTCCGCGACTTGGCCCCCATCAGATTGTTCCTATTCTTGAACTTCTCCAACCAGGTGGTACTCAGAACCTTCTCTTTCCCGTCCGGGCTACCGCAGGTACTGGCAAAGAAGAGGGCCTTTTCTCTGATCATCTCGTCCGAGATGGGATATCCCTGACGCTGATAATTCCTCGCCCAGTTGGAGAGGGCCTTTTCAATGTCGGGCACTCGGCCTTTTGGTCGTTTGATCGGAGATCGGCTGCCATCCTCAGGGTTCAAATACTTTTCTTTCTGGCGCAACACTTTGGACACCGTACTGCATCACACCATCAGAGATTAGAACTGTGTTTAAAACATAACAAAAACAACAACAAAAACAACAATAATAATAATGGAACAATGCCAACCTTCGCTCCACTCCAAATAGCGCTGGGGAGGATCATGTCAGTGGGACTTTTTTTTCTTGAGTGCAAGCAGGATCGAGCCACCATTAAGGGGGAAGAGACCTTACCTCCAATATCCGTCTGTTTAGCGGTTTTGTTCTCCTCGTGATATAAACACATGCGTCGACGGTCGTCATCTGTCAGCGTTCGACGGGGCGTGGATCCACTGGTCGAGGACTTGCGAGATGAAGGCAAAGGCGCAGTATGCGAGAGGGCTGGGGCCATTGAGACTGGGGCCACCGCAATCTCGGAATACTGCGGTTGCGTGGTGAGCAGACTGGGCCATGGGTGCGACGGAATCGCCAGCGGCAGCGAAGCGTACGGTGGTGGGATTGACATGCCATAGGACGAGGCTTCCAGGGTCATGACGGGCGAGGAGCTATAGGCAAAGCCGTGGAAGTCGGGGATTGGAGGCGAATTGTGAGGGGTTGCCGTAAAGGCACCCATTTCCAGCCAAGTTGGGGTTGTGAATTCAGATTCTTGTACATGGTGACCCTCCGTGTCCATGGCGGTTGATATATCCCTCAAGTACCGGGTGAAGATCACAGGAGAAAGAGAGAGAGGAGGAAGCACCAGAAACCTAACCCTTAACTGAAGAGCGTAGCCTCAGAGAGAGAGAGAAAGAGAGAGAGAGAAGGAGAAAAGAAAGAAAGAAAAAAAAAAAGATAGCACGTCTAGCGATGGCACGAGGAGAGATGATGATGCATGTTCATTGACTATAGAAGACCGAGTATCAGCAGCGCCTGCGACCCCGCAAAGCAGCCCCGAACCCGTACCGGGGAGGGGGGGATGGAATGCGACGACAGGCTAAGGAGGGGAGATCTCCAGAGCCTTTAGTAGTGAGAAGGGGAAAGGGGGGGGGAAAAGGATTCGAGAAGGATGGTGGATAGTCGGTCTTATGAGAGGAAGTCTAAGAAAGACATGCAACTGTGCAGAGTAAAGTTGGGATGGGTGGTGGGTGCGCTGCATGCAGGTCAGGCATGGACGGAGTTAAAAAAGGGCAGGGCGACAGGCACCGCGCAGGGAGAGGTACAGGGCTTAATGGATGGGAATAGGCGACGGGAAATGATAGCGAGAAAAAAAGATGACAGCTCGCGCTACCATTGGATCTGTGCAAGATGAGAGGCATGGTGGGGGGCACGGCGGTTGGCTGGATGGAGGGCGATATTGAAGAGGAGGTCGAGATACCAACCTTGAGAACCGTGAGCGTAAGGGTCCGTACGACGGCTTGTTTGGACAGGTACGTACGGTACGGAAACATGACAAAGAATGGAACTGTGGCTAACGCGCTTGGGAAAGGTCGGCAGGAGCTTGATGAGAGATCAGTCGTCAGTCCTTTCGGCAGACACCAGCCTCTCAGAGGACGAGGCTGGCGGGTTACACCGGACGGGCTAACAGATCTATTACTCTGTAGATCGGGATAGTATGTAGTAGGTAGACAGAGACAAGAGTCGTCCTCCCTCCTCCTCCTCCTCCTCCTCCTCCTCCTCCTGCCTCCTCCATCTTCCTTTTTCTCTCATTGAGAGGTGGAGGAGGAAGAGCAGATGGTTGCTGATCATGAAGTGGACCAGGGCCGACTAGGCGCGGATGAAGATCCGGACATGTGCGGGAGGCGGTTTATTCATTTGACAAATCCGGCCCCCCTCACGGCACACGGGCAGACGATCAGGAAAAAAGCAGATCCATCCATGACAGGAAACTGTTTTGAATAAAGCTCATGGGTGGGAGGATTAGGATGTGTGTGGGCTGATGAGCCGCTAGTTAGGGCGAGCCTTTTTTTTTTTTTGATGAACGAGCGAGCGACGATTGTGTTTCGGTATCTGCAAATCAGGATCATCATGCTGGACGTCAGAGAGAGAGAGAGAGAGAGAGAGAGAGAGTGTGTGTGTGTGTGTGTGTGTATGTGTGTGAATTTCTGACTCTCGAGTCTTCTAGTATCTACTCCGTACTCTGTCAAATGGTACCTTCCTCCTTTGCCTAGACAGTGGCGAGGGGAAATCGCTGACCGAATCCTTCCCCATTCATAGTGGTTGAACCATACCCCACCCAAAGGGGGGCGCAGACAGATTATCAAAAGTGGTCGAGGGGGGAGGTGAGAGAGAGCTTGACGATCTGGGTTTGAGTGACCGACAAATGGACGGGATGGGGAGCCATTCTGGGTTATTCTGGGTATTTTTTTTTTCTCCTGGGCTATGCTGCCATTAGATCAGGCCTTTGCCTCGAGAGACCTGCTCAGATTGACAAGGAAGACGTACCGCCAGATCTGCACCGTACTTTGGCAACACGGACCACAGCCTGCTCGAGGCGAGCCGAGCGTGAGGATGGTTGATTGACTGGGTCGACAGCCTAGACTGACCAGGATGCCTCCATCGGTGGGGAGGGGGAAAGAAGTCGAGATCCTATCAGAAGCAGAAGTCACGAGCAGGGCTGTAACTTGTAAGCCTAAGAAAGCTAGAGTACCACGCGGCTAGACCGGAAGCGGTTGTAGTTAGCGTATATCTCAATACTACATGGAGTACCTCGTTGCTGTAGTATAGTTAGTAGGAGTAGTTAGTACTAAGTATGTAGTATGTACAAGCTAGACTCAGTCTGGAAGACTCCGTAGATGTCTACCTTGGTACAGAGTACTCTACTAATATAATTAACTCAACTAGGAGGTACCTGAGTTACTATATATTTAGTAGAGTAGGTACCTCATCTACCGAGGTTAATTAGGTAGGTACCTAACCCTAAGGCCCTAGTTATTACGTACTCTGTACTCAGATTAACTAATCACTACCATATAGTTAATAGTGTTAGGGGCGAACCAGACCTTAGTCTCTCTCCCTACTTGAGTAGAGTAAGATTCTCGCATTTCGGAGACTAGGGAAGGACCCGCCCGCAGTCCACTCCGGCCCGGAAAGCTAAGCAATGTCCACTCATGTAATGTAAATCCGTCCGAGCATCATCGAGATCCTAATTAGGGCCTTCGGGGGAGGAGAGAGGGGGGAGGGGGGAGTTATTGTAGTAGAGTAATCCGAATAGAGCAGGCCAATGGACAGTCTCGGGTGCCGGAGGCAGTATACTACATATACCACGGACTCACGGAGTACGCCGTAATTGCAATCCTTCAGGGGACGGGGCGGGAGGCTTTGTCTCCCTCCAACCATTATCTCCCCCCCCCCCTTCCCCGCTGGGGCCGGATGAACAAGAGACAAGGCCGAGTGCTTTTTTTTTCTTTCTTTGCGCTGTATCCGATTGTTCTCCATACGAAGTTCTGTTATTCTAGGCGGTGATATGACAACTAATCATTTAGTTGGAGAGGGGACATGCGGAGGTAGGTAGTCTGGTACCGAGGGAAGACCGGCGGCCAAGTCGAATCCAGTATGATGTTTGTATTCCTATTAGAGTTAGATTAGTATCTGGTACCAGTCAATGATAATAAGGTAGCAACCGAACAATACCATTAAGGATGGCGGCCTCCAGACTCACGAGTGCGATATCGCAATCCCCCGTTGGCTGGAGTGTGTCCAGTGGTTAGTTACAGAATTCGTAGGTACGGAGTTGCTCTGGGAGATACAGGGAAATACGACTTGTCCCGTTGCAGTTAGGATAACCGGTACCGCAAGCCATCGATGGCTGAGCCGACCAGTCTTGAGTCAGACTTACTACAGTAGTATACCTCTAGGTACTAGGGAGCTTTGCTACCTGTACAGCGCAGTATTCAAACCAGAGACATTCTGTACGGAGTAAACCTCACCGTACCTAGATAATTCAAGGCAGATAGGTTCCTACCTCTACCTGGGGTTTCCCGGTTCTGGGAGTGCGTGTTCCCCTTGGCTTCTGTCAGGTACAATGCGACTGACTGCAGGAGGTGGTGGGGGTTTGTGGCTACAGAGAAAGAAAATTTGAAATCAAAGAAATAAAAAACAAGAACAGGAAAAAGCAATTGTTGTAATGGCAGGGTTATCCATTATTATTAAATTCTTGGGTTGAGATACAACGTACGGAGTGTTACTTGTGGTACCGAGTACGAGTACGTCGTACGTACTCACACAATAATTTATTATAATAATACATAATAAATAATAATTAAATAACTAGCTAATTGTTAGTAGTAAACTAATTGTTAGTATCTACTAACTTATGTAGTAGTATTATTTTAACTAAAGCCCTCAAGGTAAACAAACCATTACATCATCAACCGTGTGGGGCGAGCACCCTTCTCTCTTCTCTGGCCCAACCCTCTTTTTGAATCATCATCCTGGCCTCCACGATTCGGCCTTCCTCCGTGGCTAAGGGGCCTCCGACCAGACGAATAAGAGACTCGGACACAAGATACCGTCGTCTATTGGATCCTGCCAATGCCGGATGTCGTCAACGCATGGCAGGACTCAGCAGATTGGACTACGGTGAGGAATACTTTCATTACTGGTAGTCAGTACGGAGTACAATACTAGGTACTAATTACCTCTGTTACTCCTGTCTACTAGTTATGTAGTACATAGGTACGGAGTACGTCAAGCTAATGCTAAGTACAGACTACAAGAGAAGCAGAGCCAAAACCCTCCACACGAGTCGCGCCTCCGCAGTCCACAGTCCGGAATCCTGAATCATGATATGAACTCCTGATAGGATCGTGGGAATCAGACAGCCCGATCGTGCGTTGACCGCTAATTCGATCGGAGGATTGTGTTACAAATCGAATGTTGTTATCTGTGCGAACCACAGAAACAGTCTTAGAACCTCCTACGGAGTAATCCTCTGTCCTTGTGCGGAGTTATGGAGTGAAAACTAACTATAATTATTCCACAATACTCTGCACATCCCTGTCCGATGGTGGATAAAAAGTTCCTCTACTACATACTACAGCCAAGCCCCCCCCTGTCGATAGTCGAGACTCGCCTGGTCCGGTTCACAATGGAGGAGGTACCTAGGTACAGGGCACGAGCAGATTGGCAAAATACGCCCCGGAATTCTGGTACTGCACGACCCGTTCAATGCAACCTGGCAAATAATTACGAACAGTCGATTACTGAAGAAACCGGGAACCAAGGGCCAGAAACTGTACGGACCAGTGCATTAACTAGTAAATAACAATTACTATGCACTGAACATCTGATGCCCCGACTCTAGCTAAGTTAGGTAACTAGCTAGGAGGTAACTACGGAGCAGGAAGGTCGGTCTCTAATTTTGGGTGAATGTTCAGCCAATGATCCTAGCAGATACGAATTAATACAGACTACAGGTAGCTACCTACCCTCTATTATAGGTCTATTATTCCGTCTTAGATGTAGTACTTGTAGTACATACTAGTTAACTAGTGACATGGTTCCTACATACCTACTAGTTAAAGTACCTTACTTCCTACCTGTTGGCAACTAAATGACCCATTCGGAGTATACTCCGTGCGCGACCAATATAAATTGATTCTACTCCATAGACATTGAATCGTAAGACAAGATCTCCTCTAGCCACCCAAAAAAGCACGGACTACGAAATTCAACCGTTTCGGACACGATCTAGACCCAAAGCCGGATAATGACTTGAAGTCCAGATCGAATCCCGATGATCATTTGTCGATTGCCCGAATCCAGGCTCTGAATTTTCATTCCAGTCATAAGAAAAAGGAGAAAAGAAAAGAAAAAGAAAAAGAAACCCCCCCCCCCACGGCTCACAATCTACCTGTCATATCTTGAGCTCCCTAGGCCCTTAACTTTTCCCCAATCCGTGACGTGACTCTATCCAAATTTAACCCCGTGAACCACGGAGGAATCCATCTCAATCTGAGCTGCTGCTGCAGCTTGCTCTATTGCTGCCCGTGCGCCGGATAACCCTCCCTCATGCCCCCTTTCCCTCTTCCCCTCAAAGTCAAAATTTAGGTGGCGTCCACGGGAATCAAGCCGAGTCTGCCAGTCATTATGGGATGCTCGCATTGGCGAGAGACACTATTTTACTTTCAAATATTCCAGACAAAGCTCGGTACAGGCCTGTTCTGTTTGTTGCCGATAATAATACCTCGTGCTCCGCTCATTCCGCGTACGCACAACCAGGGGGGGAAGGGGGCGGAAAGACGGGGGGTGGGGACGGTCGGCCAGGGAATAGAGGTCTTTTTCGAAGAAATTTATCGCTTGATGATGGTCACTGTTATTTTAATATCCTGTCAGCAATGGGGCCAGGGGGGAAGGGGGGAAGATAATAATACGGGGATACTGACCAATATCCTCATCTGCGAGCTCGTGTGTGAGTCCAACTCGCTGCGGTTGATGTTTCACCGAGCGACCATAGACAATCGCTTGTTTAAATTGATCCTTGATTGTTCGATGGATGGCATTACACTGTGGTCCAGTCAGAATTTCCCTGTTTTGTTGTATTCCCAAGAAGAGGAAGGACGTACAAAGTCTTCGATGGTGCAGGCGTTGGCTCGCAGCACGACAGGGGCCGTGTAGTCCGGGGCTTTGCCCTTGGGCTTGGTGTAGACTCGTCGGAGGTTGAGCTTCTCCCACATCGATTCGAGCAGCTCGTCGATGTTCCAGCCATGCTCTGAGCTAATCGGGACCGCGTTGGGGATACGGTACAGCAGGTCCAACTCCTCAATCGAGATCGCGTCAATTTTGTTGAGCGCGTACACCACGGGGATGTAGCTTCTGCTCCTGGCCTCAAGAACATCGATCAGGTCGTCAACAGTGGCATCGCATCGGATCGAGATATCCGCTGACGAAATTCGGTACTCGTTCATGACGGCTTTGATTTCCTGGATCTGGGTTAGTTTTGCTGAGGCAAACAATCCTCAAAATAGTGAGAGAAACCCACATCATTGTCGATATGTGTCAAGGGAACTGTGCTTGTAATAGCAATACCACCCTTATCCTTCTTCTTGAAAATGATATTGGGAGGTTGCTTATTGATTCTGATCCCAAAGCCTTCCAGTTCGTTTTCGATGACCTTCTTGTCGACCAAGGGTTTGTTTACATCGAGCACGATAAAGATGAGATGGCAAGTCTTGGCCACAGCAATGACTTGGCGACCACGACCCTTGCCATCCTTGGCTCCTTCAATGATACCTGGGAGGTCGAGAATCTGAATCTTAGCGCCGTTATACAGCACCTGTCCTGGCACCGTCGTCAAGGTTGTGAACTCGTAAGCCGCAGCTATACAAATATCAACATTAGCTCTAGCTCCGTACTTGTCTCATTTCGATGACACAAACCTTCTGAGTGTTGGCCTGTTAATCTGCTCATAAGAGTACTCTTTCCGACAGAGGGGAAACCAATGAAGCCACTGCCTCGATATCAGTTTACAATCTTGTCCATATATAAATACTGCGCAACATACACACTCGCAACACCGGTACGGGCAACGTCGAAGCCGGCTAGAGCTGTCAGTTGATGCCTGTCTTCCGGTTCAATATCGTATCGAATAACTCACCACCACCGCCGCCACCTCCACCGGTTGGAGTCAATAGCTCTCGTTTTAGCTTTGCCAGCTTCGCTTTCAACTGTCCTGTATCCGCACATAAGCTCCTGCCTCATATAACCTCCAAACCGGCGGCATTTCCGAGGCGCATACCCAAGTGAAAGGCCGTCGCCTTGTTCTTTTGAGTCCGAGCCATCTAGAGTATAATCGTATCAGCCGGCAAGCTTCTTCGACACTGGTATCTGTCGGCGTAGGCCACAAACCTCGGACTCGATTTCCTTGATCTATACACAAAGGCCGGCATTGTCAGCTAAGAACTGGCTAGAAGACTGTTTCTCGACGCGGTAGCACTGCACCTTTTCAATCGTAGTCGACATGTTGGCGGCGTAATGGGCGACCCCTCAAAACAATCTAGAGAAAAAAATAAAGAAAACAATAACGCGAAGTCTGCGGTTTCACAGGCTATCCCTCTTGCTCCAGAGCCGTGCCAATCGAGATGTTACTGTTGACCGACCGTGCTGCGGAGAGATAATCTTCAAAATTGTGAACCACCGCCACTTTGCGTCGATCCAATTGGACTGTGAACGAGGGCGGGGTTCTTGCCTCAGGCGATAAGGCTACAAGGCTACAAGGCTACAAGGCTACAAGGCACAAACAAGGCAACTCACAAGTCACCTGCCTTGTACTTTTTCGCAGCTTCCTCAACTTCATTGTTATCACTTCAACCACGTTCTGGATTGAAAAATCTGTTAGCTCTCTGGCATAACTAACCATCATTACTCAGCCACGGCCGATAGTACTTCTGCTGAATCCCCCATTGGGCCCTATCCGCAGTCTCTTTAACTCCGAGGATTCCCGGACGGAGTATGTGCCATGATTGTGTTATAGAGAAATTGCTCCGTACACATCACAAGCCACGAAGCATCATAATGCCCTTTCTCGAGCAGGGGCGCGAACCGCCCGCCCCGCCAGATGACGCTTTCCTCCGGCTTGTCCAGGATCTCAGCCTAGCACTGGGTCCGAGCTCAGGCCTCGACTCGGAAGGTGTCGACCGCCCCCCCTGCACATCCAGCGGTTGATGGAGCAGTACGACTCGGATCCTACGGAGGGGGGGCGCCTTATGCGCTGCGGGATGCGAACAGGGCATATACGCGCAATCTGGTCGACGAAGGGAATGGCAAGAGTAATCTGGTGCGCCCTCCTGGCTTTTCAGACCGTGTCGTCCATTCATGATATATACATAATCGAATTGTCGAACAATTGAAGCAATTGAACAGAGCAATCGAACAAATTTCAACGAAAGAACAGCCCGTTCTGGACTGGAACCCTAGCAGAAATAGTGCCATCCACGACCATGCCAATGCGCATTGCGTCATGAAGGGAGGTCTACCCTGACTGCCTGTTTGATTGCGTTTATGCTGCGTGGGACTAGATCCTACAAGGATCTCTACAAGAAGCCCTCTACACATGGCCAGACCAGGGTAAAATTAAGCGTGGAGAACCGCTTCCGCTCCACATCACCAAAGAGACCGTCCATACCGAGAATCAGGTCACTTACATGTCTGATAAGGTAAGAGGAGTATTATTGAGAGTTCCTCGGGAGAGTCAGGCTCTTCGATCCTAACTGTCTACTCCGTAACTCGGCCTGCGCAAGATCTCCAATCCAGACCCCGAAAAAGTCGCTGTCTCGCTTCATCGTAAGTGAAATTCTCTAGTACTAACTAGTTATAACTAGTTCTTGACAGCTTTTTGCTGTATGTATACACCCAACGCCGTGACGTACGGGGTTTCCCCTTTTTGAGAAATCCACGGCAAAGCCTATGATGAGTAGTTTTAAGCAGTATCAAATAGAGTATTGTACATAGTACAAAGCTGTATTTATTATAATAATGACGAATAAGATATGATATGACTATTGAGTATAGCTACTGACTATTCCATCTGTAATGCTAAGCTATATACAGCCAGACGTAATGTACTTGGAATGTAACTACACGCAAGAGTCAAGATAGTGTGCCTCCCCCCTCCCCAAAACAAGACAAGAAAAAACCTAGACGAGGATCAAAGCCATAGCTCAAAAGCTACGGGTGACTCTGATCTTCGCCTTTCCTAGCGGTCGACAGCCTGAAGCTTCTGCAGCCGCCGTTGCAGCTCCTCGAGCCGGGCTAACGGATTCTATGAAATTGGAGTATAAGTATGTGGCGCGAAGGAGGTGCAAAAACACATCAACCGTGAAACCCACCCAATCCGCCTGGTTTGGAACCCCCTGTGCGGCGGGAAGGTGCTGTCGCTGGTACTGCTGCTGGTCTTCTTCTTGCTCGTCCACCCCGTCCCAGGCTGATGATCGTCGCCTTGGGGCCGGGGTCACCGGCAGACTGGGCCGTTCCGTCTCGTCCGGGAAGTCGGTCACCCGGATGCCCAGCCCTGTCGTCCCTTCTGCTCCCGCAGCAGAAGAAGAAGAGGAGATCACCTGGACGTGTCCCTTCCGCGCTTGCTGCACGGACTGGATATATCGCTGGATCTCTGGCACCTCGTCCCACGCGTTCATCCGGGAATACGTCTGCCAGGACTCTGACAGCCCTGCCTCTGATAGCCCTGCATCATATATCCCCGAAGCCAGCTCTGTGGCTAACGTCTGTCTAGATTCCACGGGTCCTTTGGCGGGGTTGTTGCTGTCAACGATGCTGCTGCTGCTGCTGTCGTAAGCTTTGACATCATCCAGGAAGACCCGTGTCGCCTTGGGCGCTCGGTTCTCCCATGGGAACAGTTGTGAGATCCTCTGAGGCTCTGGTTTTTCAACCGGCACATTATAGTACATGTTTTTGGGGGCCTCCGGATACGATGGCGGCGGTTGAAATAGTTGTATATCCTCCGACATGGTGTACGTTTGCTTCTCTAACGCTATACCCTCGGGCTTTGAATGAAGAGGCGGCGGCTCTCTGTGATAGATTAGCCACATGGATTATCAACACTTGATTATGTGGAGCGAGTTTTCGCTTACCGAGACGCATCCCATTCGGTTTTTGGTGGCTCAAAGCATGGAGACTCGGCAGCTGGAGAACTCGCTGGATGCGGCGGGGGCTCCTGCGTGTGAGGAACAGATCCAGATAGATTTGTCGAGTCAGGCCCCGACAGATCTAGGTGTACCGATGGTGCGTTGAAGGATGGTGGTGCTCCATGATTCTCCGTGTGGTGGGAGGGTGGTGCTTGGTGATGATGAGGACGAGGATTCGGTCCATCCGTGGGGGTAACATGCTCGGATGCATGGACATATTGAGCAACGACATTCCGGATAGGTAGCCAGGTTTGGTCTAGTACAGAAGAGTGTTGTGAAACCGCATGTACTGTCTGTCCTCCTACGTCCATATGTACTACTCGATCTTCCGTAGATTGTGACACTGGCCTCTGTGGAACAGATGATTGGTATTCATGAGCCCCAGAGACTGTCTTAACACCCGAGCCGTGATGATAGGAGACCATGTGAGATGTCGGCTGTGAACTGAGCGAATAAACCGAAGCATGATCTCCTTGAGCAAGCTGGCGACTGTGGCTGTATACCGTTGGCGGGGTGCTGTGCGAGAAGGACGGCTGGAATCCGCTCAAGGGTGTTGTTGGACCGGCCGATGGAGCTTGATACGATGAAGTCTGATAAGATGGAGCCTAGATGACCGTAAACCTTGTGTGATTTCAATTAGGCGGGGTTGTCATCAAACTCACGCGTTCATCCGGTACAGCACGATAATGCCTGTCGTAAATGGACCACCATCTCCCTAATAGCTGATTATAGGGTGACTCGTTTGGAAGCACCTGTCTCGGCTGGTTCCAAGGCTTCTGAGCGCCAATGAAATGGATCAGGCTGATCGTGGCCTGGAAGTGTTTGTACGCGGGGATGTACTGATAGTTCGCGCTAGGCGTGCAGTTGTAGGTGAAGCTCAGGCGATGCCAGTTGGTGAAATGCATGTTCAGCAGGCCTTGGTCGGCGCCGTCGAAACTAATCCCTCGATCGGCAAGCGCCCGCAGAGCATAGTAGTCCTGTAGGTTGGGCCGTAGGACCATCACCCCGCTATTGAAGCAGTCTGGCCAGCCGACGTCCGGGGCCGCCGCAAAGTCCACATCCAGAGCAAACAGCTCATCCGGGGCCCGGAGGGCCACCACGTCGCTGTCGATGTACACAATGCGACGGAACTGGGTCTGGCGCCAGATCTCGACCTTGGTGAAGGTCGAGATCAAGTCGGGCCGATTCATAAGCCAGAGGTTTGCAGGCGTGCCATTGACGATCGGTTGGACCGATATCACATCATCGTATACAGTCTACCGGCCAAGGGTGATCGGTTAGAAAGGAACGTACATCGTGGTTCAATGGTAAAAATAGTAGGGATAGGCACAGTACCTGCAACACAGCGATCGTCTCTGGACGAAGTCTTTCCGGTGCAATGAGCACAACCAGCCTGGCTTTCGTCCCGTTGTCGCGCAAGGAGTGGGCAAGAACCACGGCACCTGCAACCCACGGCAGACCTGTTAGCCATCGCCATCAGACCACATAACACCGAAAACAGCCATTTGTTTACCAGGGAGGTAATTGTCGCTGAGCAGGAGCTGGACACGACCCTCTAGTTAGCATTTGCCGACTACTCAAGCGCGACACCGTCAGGAAACAGAGAACAAACCGTGCAATACGCTGCACCGTCCAGGGCTGCCATGATGGCACACGACGCGTCGTAGCTAGCTCACAGACGGGATCGTAAGGGTCTCTCCTCTCTCCCGGAGAAGCAAGGAAAAAGAGGAATAGCAGGTTGAATAAGAGGAGAAAAACACAAAAGGAACCGGGCTAATCGTCTAATATTAAAGACAGGTCTGACCCTCGTAACCTCGGGGATTGTCTGGACCAAGCCCCGCCCTGCCTACAACGATGACGGCACCAGGGAGACCTTCACGAGGAGCTCGAGCTGCATTGCGAGGAGATGCGGCGGATCTCCCAGAATAATTGACAAGTAGGACAATCAGGCAGGGATCAAAATAGTAAGAGACGCAGGAATACCGGGGTGTTGGAGCGTTGCTGGAGAGTGAGCAGAGAGCAAACGGTTGCTTCGGACGGGAGATGCGAACGGGAAGTCAAAACAGGCCATGCAGGGGTTTGTGGCACGGTACAATCAAGGGTAGAACAGCTTCAGTTCAGAGATAAACTAATTAATTCGTTGAATCTATAGTTCAATTTATTATTCTGGATATTTTAAAGAATAATTCCCATGGCTAACCCATACAACGCCATAAAAAGTGCCTCCAGTCAAGCTATTTATTCCACAATTATTTGCGGAGAGCCACCTCCGCCCCCTGATAACAGGCCCCGATAACCGCGCCAATGTCTTCCTGCTCGCCCTTGACGGCCCACTCGACGGCCTTTGCAAGGGCGACCTGGCTCTCGCGCTCGATCGGGGTGAAATGGCCAGAGCGGGGGAGTAAGACGAGATGGCTCCCCGGCACGAGGTAATCGGCGATGCCATCGAGGCAAAGCTGAGGCTCAAGGAATTTATCGTGACGGCCCCAGAGAATGGTGGTGTTCGCCTTGAGCACGCCTTCGGGCCCGTCATCGAAGACCCCGGCACCACTGCTTGTGCGGCGCATCTCGTGCCCGTCCCCGATGGCGTGCAGGCCGGTTATGGTCTCGAGGGACTTGCGCCAACGACCGATGGCGGCCCCCTCGCGATAATAGCGAGTCATGTGCTCGAAATTGGCCAGCGCCCGCTCTTTCCGCACCGAGTCCGGGTACGTTTCGCCGCCGGCGGTCTCGGTTTTGGCTTCCTCGACCGAGGGGCCGAGCGTGCCGGCCATGCTCTCGGCAGCTTCCTGGATGGTGATGTCTCTGCCACCGTAGGATAGCTTGTGGGAGCCCCTCAGAAGCGAATAGTTTCCTCCGACCCCAAGATACCGGACCAGTGGCATGGGCAAGTGGAAGGCAAACATGTACCCGGAGAGCAGCGATTGTCGGAGGATGGGTTTAATGGTACTGAGAGCCTTGCGCAGCGTGGCTGACGACTGTATCGGGGAGCGCCAGGAAGTTTTGAGCATTTTCGATGACGAAGAGAGGAGTCGGGTGGCATTGGATTTTACCAGGCTGGGCTGTACGAGTAACGCTTTAGTTAGACTAGATAGTAGAAACGGAGTAAAGGCGTATCGGGGGGGGGAAACGTACCAATGGCCCATTTGTCAGAATGAACCGATCCGCCAGCTGCGGTGCCTCAGCTGCCAGCCGCATGGAAATCACACACCCCCAGTCATGGGCGACGATGATGGTTCTTCTCTTTCTGTGGACCAGAACATCGGCTTCATCGCTATCAATGCCGTACATGGCCCGCACCGAGAGAACAAACTCAGTCACACTCTCCAACACATTCGTCGCAGAGTACCGGTCCAGGCTATCGCTCCCTCCATACCCGGGCAAATCCAGCGCGATCAACACGGCAGCGTCGCGAAGGGAAGACGACGACGACGAATCCAGCACGTACCGCCATAACGCACAACTATCGGGAAACCCATGGATGAAAATCACCAGTGGTTTGTTTTCCGTTGTCGGGCCTGCTACTTCGCTCGCCAGATAATGTAGCTTGACGCCATTCCGCAGCGTCAGGAACCGATGTGCCAGTCCGTTGGGAGTCTTGGACAGATTCCAGAACCGATCGCGCGCTAGAATAGCAAGGAGTCAGTTTAATTACCATTACCAACAATCCCTAGAAGTAATTGACCCCCGTACCTAGCTGCAATTCGAGGATCTCTTTTTCCACCGACCGTTTAAAGAAGGAGCCCGAGAAAATGGCAATGGCAAGATACAGGCAGTAGTGGGCGAGGCCATACGCGAAAACAAAGGCCGAGAGGAAGATCTGGCCCAAGAAGCTCACCATGGTGTTTCAAATGAATCCCATCTGATAAGAATCAAGAATGAGAAGAGGGATGAAGAAGGTTGTCAAAGTGGGCTGCAGTGGAGTGAGTTAAAAAGCTGCTGGCTGAGCTCTCTGATAAGCTCGTCGCCAAGTTGATCGCCTCTGTGCCGTCGTCGTCATCGAGAGGGCCGCATAACGTCAGCTCTCTACCTGTATCAAAAAAGAAGAAGAAAATAACGCTCGCCTTTCGAGCTCCTTGATCAGGTATTAGAAATGATGGTCAAGCCCTATTCTGATATGTCATATGTTTGATCGCTGCGATGATCACCCGATTTTGTGCAGGCTTACGCACTTACATAGCGGTGGTGGTCAGACCATAAGGGAATAGTAATTGTACAGGATTAACCTTATCTGAAGGACAGTGTGTGGCGACTCAATATACGGAGTAACTGACGGATAGAATAAATAACTATTAAGGACTCGATTTCGACTCTTCATTTAGTGGTTTGATATATATTTTGGTATTTTTATACACGAGGGTATTCGTCTCTGCTATCTATCGACACCAAACAACAAGGACAAATCTATAGAATCAGCCCAGACAACACCAGCGTTCCTATACACACATTCAAGGCTGGAGACAAAGGGTATTTGATACAGAAACAGGAAGAAGAATATTATAACAACATAGAATCATAGACAGAAAGAAGGAGCAGAAAGGAATTTGAACAGGGGGACCGTGATATCGTCGAGCCTTGAAAGGATGCCAAGACGGGGTAATAATAAAACAAAAATCACACCCGACAAGGAGGGGGGAAGGGGATGGATATGTACAGCGAACAGGAGAGGAGGAGGAGCTTTCTTTCAATAAGCTACAAGGTTTCAGAGGAAGAAACCGAGCTTGGCGCGATTGTCATCGACCAGACGGCCGTATCTGTAAAAGACTTGTTAGCAATAGTCCTTCATTAGAGGCGTAACCTAGGGGAACGGCTTACTCTAGGAGCAGTCGGAAGAACCAGACCTCCAGATCCTCGTTTCGCAAGGTCTGCTGGGCCCATTTCTGTCCCTGGCTTGCCAGGCGCGGGGCGGCGGTGCGGCCTTCGTCTTCCAGGGCAAAGTATCGAATCGCTTCGACATGCTCACTGCCTCCCAAGCTCAGGGGCACAAAGTGCACCCACGGTTTCAGCCATTCATCATGCCATTCCCGGAAGATGGCCACCTTGTAGACCAGGCTGTTGCTCAGCAAGAAGGCGTAATACCGGCCGCTGAAGGCGTTCCCGTCAATGTCCACCAGATGTTTGTATGCCCACGCATCCTGTTGCCCTGCGGGCTCGACTACCTCGAAGAACTCCTCCTGGGCGGCACAGTCGTCCGGGTCACACTGGCCGATGAAGGTGAACTTGACGTCAAAGTAGTTGCCGTAGTCGCGGCGGCGCACCTCCTTGGTCTCCCAATAGCCCTCGCCATTCTTAGCGAGAATGTTGACGGAACCGGGTGCGTTGATGTGTTGAACCAACAGCTGACGATGCTGTCGGCGCCAGCCCCCGGAGCGAGAGAAGCCCCCGGTCGTCGAGCCGCGCCAGTACATCTTCTCCCCCTTTTCCTCCCAACTAACGTCTTTCTCCTCATCGTATGGCACCTTATCCGCCCAATACCAAGGACTCGGGTACAGGATATCCTGGAAACTGGAGATCTTGCTCTGGGAGAAGACGGGGAACAGATCGTGCACGACGTCAAAGGCGTTGGGCCGATCGAAGAAACCAAAGGTTCGCTGGAGCGACGGGGAGAAACAGATGTCTGAATAGGCGGTTGTGTTGTAGAGGAAGCCCAGGTCTCCGTATGCAAACACGTCCGTCTGGTCCGGGGTATTCTCGTCAAGCGATCGCGCGGGACTGTCGGCAGGACAGGAGGCACGCGAGTTGGTCCAAGTGGGCTGGTGAGCGAAGCGATTGAAGCGGGTGGTCCGCACCTCATCAATGCGGTCGCCGCGGTTCATATCCGACGGGCGCGCCGACCATTTCTTGGTCGGGGCCGTGTTCGCCGCGGCGGCAGGAATGGCCTGTTCCTGAGCCTTGCGAACTAGCCGACCGAGATCATCGCTGGGCACGATCACGCGTGGCTCGTCGTGGGTGTTGAAGACCAGATCCATGTCCGGCAGGAACTCCACAAATTTTTCCATCATCCCCGCGGTGGCTTCGCGCTGCCACAGGCGGCCGTCACCGCCACCGTCCACGAAGGTCACCTTGCCATCCCTGACCAGGAGGCCTATCATGGCATTGTCAAAGCCGATCGCCTCGCGGGCGCGTTCGCGGATGATGCGTGGCTCGAGGGCCCAGAAGGGCAGCAGGGCATGGTAGATGGTGTCGTACTCGTCGATCAGCTTGACGCCGCGTTTCTGGGCAAACTCGAACCACTTGTCAAAGTGCGGCGGCGGGTGCATCTGATATCGGCGGCGGTACTCCTTGACCGCGTCGGCCAGTGTGCGCGACTGGCCGGCCCGCAGGGCATCGAACTCGCGGCCGGCATTGCGGATGAGCTTGGAGATCGGGTGCTGTCGATCCAGACCGGACGACAACGAGGAGGAGGGGGTGTTCGCCCCTACGGGGGGGGCATCATTGAACGAGGACGAGGGCGGCTGCAAGCCCGCCAGCAATTCCTCGGGAGGCTCTTCCTGCTCGTTCTGCCTCCGTAGAAGGACGATGGAAAGACCGGCTAGGATGGCGATCACTAGCAGGACCGCAAGTCGTTGAGGTCGCATTCCTTCCTATCCTACCTATCACGGAGCGTCCACATGTGCATCGACGGACAGCATAGAAGCGACGGGGAGGGGGAAGGCGAGCAACCGTCTCTGGGGGGCTGGCGGAGGGAGGGAGAGATGGGAAAACACTTGAACAGCTCAACAACAACGCATCAAAAGAAGCGTCTCCATGCAGGAAAGCAAGCTGCAGTGTCCTTCTACTGGTATTTCTTGCTTTTTTAGCCCCGACAAGACAAAAGTTAGCCGGGCTGTTCAGGGTGGAGAGGGGTCTGAGACTTGAGACTGGGACGGGGCGGCGAGTCCACTTTTTTTCACTGTCGGTGGCCAGTCCAGACTGTGTCCCTTTTGGGGCTCCACGTGAGGCGTTGTGTGACTGTACAGATACAGATCGCTGTGTAATGCTAAAATTGGCGTTTGGTTCTGCAAAGGCAGCTATTGAGGGGGGGAAAAAAGAATATCTGTACTCCGTACTCCCTATGATACTACCATACTACATACCTAGGATAGCATGTAGATCTTGCTGACCTCTGTTATCTGCTCTCCAATACCAATAGGGGTTAATACACGCTGTTATTTTGCAATGTAATGCCCAGGAGAAGAGGTGGCGCACACGTAATTTCATACGTATCTTGCATTAAATATGTACCGCACTAGTCTCTCCCGGGACTAGTCAGGCCGGGTGGCCATCTGGCTTCTCCGGAAGAAGAAGGCACAGAAGAGCCGGCCTCCTACGTAATCTACCCAAGTTACCTTAGTTCAATCACCCAGGTAATTTATATCATACCCCTAGGAGGTTACCTAGGGACCTGGTAATCAGATCCTCTCAACCGAGTCGGTTCACTCCCATCAGCACCATGTTTATCGCACTCGCCGCGAAGGATTCGAGAACGAACAGCTGTGCGTGGCTCACGTGGAAGTACGCCGCAGCCTCCAAGACCATGACGAGCGAGACGTGCACGAGATAGAAGACCTGGCGGCGCGTCTTGACTGTGGCGCCGCCGAAAGAGAACCCACGAGTCTGCGACGTTGGTCGTGCGACGAGGAGCACCAAGATCGTTGCCACGGCAGCCGCGAGGCCGAGCTGCACGTCGAGGTCGCGGATACGCTTTGACAGGAGGGTACCAAAGGCCGGGTGCGGAGTCTGCAAGAAGAAGAACGCATAGAGGACGGCGTGGCCGACCAGAAGCGGCGCCATAACCAGCCGTCCGACCAGGCGATGGTAGGGTGTCAGAGTCGACTGCGGGAGCCCCGTCAGTACCGACACGGCGGAGGGGGCAATCGGTCTCGCAGTGTCGATATACGAGGCAGGCGCCATCAACACCTGGAGAGGGAGCTGGGAAAGTCCAACGTGGCCTAGCGCTTTGGTGAAGTGCAGATAATCTGGGGGCATCTCCGTCAGCTTCGAGAGTGCCTAGGGAACTCTTCCTCCACACCCGTAGTAGTTTGTAGGGCGCAGCTTACCGTCACCACTTCTCCAAACCGACAGACCCAATAGCCATCCCAGCCAGAGCCCCGTCACCAGGTACTGTTTGCGAGTCTCCATCCCTCCCGGGAAAAGAGGCGAGTTCCACCATGATCGTGGTTGCCGGCGTGCGGCCGCCCTCTTCTCGACGCCCTGGGTAGCAGACAGTTTCGTCTGTGAGTAGAGCTGGTAGCACCGTAGCAGGAGGATGACTGCCACTGCCGTGCCCTGGGCATAGTAGCCTCGGAGGTCCAGCAGTTCACGCCGGCGCTGTTTCTCTTCCTCCGTGAGGGAGAGAATGAACCGCCAAGGCCAGGACGACATGTTGCTCAAAAAGAGTCTCACTCAAATTGATAGCCACCCCCAACTTGATTTTTTTTTAGACCACGTCAATTAAAACTGACAATCAATGCCTGAAGGTTCTCTCAATTTTGAAAAACCAGGGCTGTAGAGTACAGATGGAAGCAAGGAGGCACATATACAACAGGACAGCGAAAGAAGCAATAAGAACCCAGGCAATAGTAATACAGGTGGCCCGATTCGGAGATAGGCTTGCGCAATCTCAAATCCGTAAAGCCGAGACCGAGCAAACAAAGGATTAGACCTCGCATTTAACTATTATTAGTTACCACATATGCTTCTTTTAATTGTCTTAATGACTTGGGAAAGGGGTTCTTCAATAGTACTACTCCATACGTGGTTACTGGTCTGGAAAGCCCGAAGAGAGAATCTACATTCAAAATTCAAAACGCCGTCAAAAAGCACTTCATCCTGGTCGGTGCTGCTGACTATTGCTCTAGATTGACAAAAAGTCCCCGGTCCAAAGTCCGCATGCAGAGCCTCATGTGCGTGTGTGTGTGTGCGTGTGTTATTAAATCTTTCTTGTCCATTTTACCTGTCTACATGCGCATGCAGTGTCATCAACCCTCCACGGGAAACCTACGGCGAGGTTTGCATGATCTCCTCCTGCGTGCCCGCGGCAGTCGTGGCAAAGTACCGGACGTCCACATCGTCGTCCTCTTGCAACTTCTCCAGACTGGGCAGGATCCGTTGCTGGATCAGCTCCTGGCCCCGAGGAGAAGGCGTTTTGCTCTCACCGGGCTTCTCAGCGTCTGCCAGGGTTCCTTCTGCGGGAATGCGACGCAGTGTGTCGACGAGCACAGCGTACGACTTGGCGACATTGAAGCGAATATTGGGGATTTCATCCCCAACAAGCCCGTCCAGGATGGGAAGGATCGAGGTTTCAATGATGTCCAGAGTGACCACAGGGGCAAGGGTCTGTAAATGTCAGCAGAAATGAAAACGGACGAAATTGGTTGGTAAATTAAAAGTGACTGAACTCACAGAAACCGCAAAGCATGTCGTCATCCTGTACAGGTAGTTGGGGTGTTGACCCATACCAACAACCTTCGGGATGATGGATTCCTTAGCCCACTCAACACCGAAGACCTCGGTGAGCTTTTTGAGATTCTGGGTAGCCGCTTCGCGGATGGAGAAGACGGTGTCACCGAGCCATCCCATGCACAGGTCACTGAGCTGCTCATCGAAGAACTTGACACCCAGCTGGCTGGCGAGGAGCGGGATGTATTCGATGATCGCCAGGCGGACACGCCATTGCTTGTCTTCGGCAAGCTGCACAATGGCAGGCAGCAGGGATTGAGAAAGGAGCTCGATGCCGATGACTATAGCAGGTTAGATAGAATTCAGTAGCAAGTATCAGGTGCTTATCATACCGTTGTTCACCAGTTCCAGCTTGGAGATGATGTGGAGACGGACGTCGGGAAACTCATCCTTCAGCATCTGCAGAAACATCGGAAGGAGATGTGCGATTGTCCTTGTAGACAAGATAAGTGACCTTGACATACCGAAATCTCGTAGGAATATCTTCACTCACTGTTCTTTGCCAAGAATGGGCGCAAGGCCGCTAATCTGCGTGCCCAAAGCTGCGCGAACGTGTTGGGAGGGGTCAGAGACAAGATCCTCCACGCTAGTCATGATCTCGTTGAGCAAGGTATCTCGATCAATCAGGTTGCAGAAGCCTGGCGCTAGAGTCAGTCGATAGAGTTATTAAGAGATTAGATGGCAGATTATACCAGGGATTTGTCCAGCGATGGCTGTTCGGACTTCGGCTTCAGTGTCTTTCAGAAGTTTGACAAACGCCGGCACCATGTCGCGAGTAACTACTTCTTCGTGCACGGCTTTGGCAAGCTGTTGACGTATTAATTAATGTATATTGGTGAGGTTTATATCGAAGCAAAAGGGAAAGATTACCTTCTCAAAGCGGTCAGCGACCATGTACCTGACTCTCCAGCTCTTATCTTCGAACAGCGCCCGAAGTGATGTCAACAGGACGCCGTGGCTGGGCTGTTGCTCCTTTGGAATCTCTTCGGCGATGGCGATCAGGATATCCACTGTAAGCAAGCGAACACTGTCTTGGTCGTCACTAGCGAGGTACTGGAAGAGAGGGATCATCTCCTCGATCACGACAGGGGCATCCATTTCCTTCACGAATTTGGCCAGGTTGTTTGCCGCCTGTCTCCTGACCATTGGCGTCTCATCATGTACCAATCCACCGAAGTTTTGTCGCAAAGTCTGCTGCATATTCTGAGTTGACTTCTTATAAGGAGTGCTGTAGAGCCCAGTCGCGGAGACCTTCGAGGTGAACCAGTCTGCTTTCGATAAACGCAGGATCATGGGGACAAAGTGCTCATCAATCTGTTTCTCAGACAACTGCGCGCAGATCTTGTTGAGGGATTCGACAGCCTAGCCATCCTATCAGTAATATCCTTCTCAGAAGACGACGATTCATCCCCACCTTCTCTCTAACCAATGGCTCTTCGATAGCAGCCAGGTTCTCAAGCGGGGAGAGGAGCACGTGTCCGAACTCCGGGCCTCCCACATATTCTGTAAAGTTTCCAAGCTCCTCACTAAGCGCGGTCAAAACCTCGTCCTCGTCTTCAACAGAATCTAGGAACAACATCTGTTAGGTAAACGTCGCGGTTCCCTGTTTTGTGGGACTAACCGTCAAGGAAGGGGACCAGTTCATCGCGGGTTCTTTCGGGCCCCAGAGCCAGAGCAATGGTCGAGAGGCGGTGGATGGCATTGAGGCGGAGGAGAACATCATCGTGCTATATAGTACGGGAAATGAGGGTTAGATATCATATACACTCCCTGCATTCGCCCCCCCCCCCTATCATCGAGGTACTGTACCTTCAGCTCGTCGATCAGGACGGCGATGGGGTAGAGCTCGTCGTTTTCACCCTGGCCCTCCATCGCGGATATGCTTTATAGGTTACCGGTTTGATAGGATAACCACGAGGCGAGGATATGACAGGTCCAAGCTCTCGCAGAGAACTAATCGCAGGTCGTGGCTCGACTTGATACCACGTTCAATAGACTTGGTAAACAATGTAACTCAACCAGTTGAACGATGAGAAGGTTTCATGGACCGTGGGTATCAATATATGCTGCTGGTGCAACGCCAGTTAGTGAGTGATCTTGATCGTAGAGGTTGCGGGTGTGGTGGTCTGCCCAGGGCAATGGTGAGAGACGCTGGTGTGAGGTTTCGTGGGGTTTGGGCCGCCGCAGGACAGACAGTATTACCTCAACAATTATCCCGAGGAAAGCGAAGTGGCAACCCCAAGGAAGCGATCTGTTCAGCAAATTTCTGAACGTCTGGGTGAGAGGAGAGAATTGGCGAGAAGAGTGAGCGGGTGGTATGCGGTATAGGCGAGATCACTGACGGTGTTGCACCAGCAAGGCCCCAAGCGATCGTAGACTTTCCAGCTGGGAGGCGCGACCGGTGTGGCTAGTGAGGGGAGCATGGAGGGGGATGTGGCATGTGGCGGTGCGGCCACCGCCTTCAGAGGGTCAAGCCCCAAAACCCAGAGATAATTCTGGATGACTCGGAGGAGCAGAAATCCGCCGGACAGCCCAACGCTGGTGTTCGCTTCATTTGCTGTGTCTCTGGCGCTCTGATTCCCAGTACGCCTATTTCCTATTCTGCATAGGATCTTGCTGCGGTCTAACTTTGTGCTGACAGTTCTGAAAACCGTATCGGAAACCCCTCACCATGCCCACTATCGCGGTCGACAAGGCGGCGCTCTTCAAGGAGCTGGGGCGAGAGTATGCATTGAAATTTGCGGTGCTTGCTTTGGGGACCCAGTGGGCTGATTCGCCTCTAAAATAGGTATACAACGGAGGAGTTTGACGAGTTGTGCTTCGAATTCGGTATGTTGGACTCGCAGGACTCAATCATCGCGGGGCTTGGGTACTGACTCAAGTAACTAGGCATTGAACTCGACGAAGACGTATAGCTTCCCGAAACCTCATTCTTTTTTGAACCCATAACTTAGCGATTTCACAGACCACAAACTCGGATCGACCGATCGTCAATGGACAGCAGGAGCCCCCTCAGCTCAAAATCGAAATCCCAGCGAACCGGTATGAGACTGCCGTTTGAAAAAGTTCCGATACATGATGAGCTCATATGGAATGTGCTTTAGATATGACATGCTGTGTTTCGAGGGAATTGCCCTCAATCTGAACATTTTCCTGGGTCGCAAAAGCTACCCCAACTACAAACTGGTTGAACCTTCAAACGGGGAGCTTCAGACCCTGATTGTCAAGGAAGATGTGAGTTTCATTGAAGATATATGGTGACACCAGGAACTGAACATCTTCTCTAGACCACTAAGATCAGACCCTACGTGTCTGGTGCGGTTCTGCGCAACTTCAAGTTTGATCAAGCGCGATATGAGTCTTTCATCGCTCTCCAAGACAAGCTCCACCAAAATCTGGCTAGACAACGGACCCTGGTCTCCATCGGAACCCATGATCTCGATACGATCAAAGGTCCTTTCACCTATGAGGCTCTTCCCCCGAAGGATATTCGATTCGTACCACTCAACCAGACCCAGGAAATGAATGGGGAGGAGCTGATGGCTTTCTATGATGTAAGCTTGATTCCCCAACAGGCTCCAACTAGTCTATGATGATACTGATTCTCTCACAGAAAGACAGACATCTGGGGAAGTACCTCCACATCATACGGGACTCTCCTGTCTATCCGGTGATATATGATTCCAACCGGGTCGTGTGCTCTCTGCCCCCAATTATCAACGGTGATCATTCAAAGATTACCCTTGACACAAAGAACATTTTCATTGAGATTACTGCTCTCGATAAGACGAAGCTTGAAATCGTCAATAAGATTATGGTCACTATGTTCTCTCAATATACGTCTGAGCCTTTCACGTAAGTTTTCCAACAATTATCGTTTTGACGAGCCCTGGCTAATAGCCACTTCTCAGCATTGAGCCCATTCGGATCGTCTCTGAGCACAATGGCGAGACACGGACGGTTCCCGACCTTTCCCCGCGTGTCACCCAGGCAGAGGTTTCGTACATTAATCAGTGCTGTGGGCTTAACCTGTCACCCTCGGAGATCTGCAATCTTTTGAAGAAGATGTCTTACAACGCCAAGCCGTCCGCGACCTCTGCCGACCTGATTGACGTGGATATTCCCGCAACCCGCGCGGATGTTCTCCACCAATGCGACATCATGGAGGATGTTGCTATCGCTTACGGCTTCAACTCCCTCCCACGGGCTTTCCCCAATATCTCCGGCACCGTTGCCCAGCCTTTGCCAATCAATAAGCTATCTGATATTCTTCGTGTGGAGGCCGCCATGGCCGGATGGTCCGAGGTCCTGCCTTTGATCTTGTGTTCGCATGATGAGAACTTTGGGTGGCTGAACCGCAAAGACGACGGCAACACCGCCGTCAAACTGGCGAACCCCAAGACTCTCGAGTTCCAGGTCGTGCGCACAAGTCTCCTCCCCGGTCTTCTAAAGACAATCCGTGAGAACAAGCATCATGCCGTTCCCATCAAGATCTTCGAGGTCAGCGATGTAGCTTTCAAGGATTTGTCCTTGGAACGCAAGAGCCGCAATGAGAGACACTTTGCAGCCGCATGGTACGGCAAGAGCAGCGGTTTCGAGGTCGTCCACGGTCTTCTCGACCGTGTCATGGCAATGCTCAAGACCGCGTTCATTACTGGCGAGGAAGGCCTGGAGAATCCTGCGGTGACAGACTCGCAGTACTGGATTGAGGAGCTTGACGGTACGTTTATCAAATATTCCTACTTTCATTCTTACTGTTTCGACACTAACTAACGACCTCGATCTGATAGATCCAACTTACTTCCCGGGGCACGCCGCAAACATCCATGTGCGCATCAACGGTAAGGACCATGTGATCGGCAGCTTCGGTATCCTGCACCCCACAGTCCTGGAGAAGTATGAATTGAAGTACCCCGTCAGCACTGTGGAGTTCAACCTTGAAGTCTTCCTGTGAGTAATGATGGGTCATCAACAAAACCGAGAACTCCAGTGGATCTTGTGCTTGGCCAGGTGATATATCTTTATATGACTTAGTAACTAGATGGTTTGAAGAGTCTACGACCTTTTAAGAAAGTATAAAAATTCCCATTCTTCCATGCTCCTTACCGTAGTACTCTTTACGGTAGATACTTTCTTACTCGTAGGAGAGTATACACATTATAGTTAAAGAGCGATTCGATGGTTGATCGTCTTGGACATATAATGATCTGTGATGGCTGGTGTTGTAGAATCCTACTTAACAGATATTACGCTAAAAGAAAAGGGAAGAGAGTATGTTTTTTATGCCAGAATGTATGTCTGTTCTTTTCCACTTGTCCCTTTTGAACTTTTTTTGAATCTTGTCACCGCAACACTCCCAAGATTCGAGCCAGCTTTTAAATCTTTCGTTCCGGACATCACATGCCTAGGTTTTTCACACCAGGCATCTAGAAGGTAGAGCTATTTATGTGAAAGGGGTGGATTCCCGCGACGACCAAACCAGATAGTTTGGCGGGGTTGATAGCTGGGTGGGGGAATCGGTAGTAGAAGTTCATGATGTAGTTTTATTGCGTGAGGTAGACGACAGGAACGAAGAGGGAAAAAAAATTGAAATTTGGAATTTGAGAAATGCAAAGGACCTAAGGGAGAACAAGAAAATTACTCCTGGGCATAGGTCTCTGCGGTGGCACCCTCCTGGGCCTGAGCAGCCTGCTCCTCGGCAAGACGCTGCTGCTCAGCCAGCTGCTGGGCGGCAAGAGCCTTGGCGCCATAGTCCTGGCTCATGGGCTGCAGGACGGGCTGCTCCTCCTTGGGCTCGATGATGGTGACGGAGTCGGGGAGGGTCTTCTGGGGGCCGGACTTGCCCTCAGGGTCGGAACCACGCATGATCTTGACCTTGATACCAAGGACACCCTGGCGAAGGAGAACGTGGCGGGTGGCGCTGTCGATGAATTCCTTGGCGGGCTGACCGGAGTGGATCATGAAGCCGTCCTAAAAAAAAAAAAAGAAGCGACCCGTTAGCCATGTTCACGTCCTCGGAAACCCGTTCCAAAAGTTTTTGCCAGATCCATTGCAATTTCCCGATGACTAGATTTTCATTTTGGAAAAATCGTTGACAACGTACAGTGAACTTCATGGACTTGGCACGGGCAGCACGGAGCTTGCCAGAAACGACAACCTCGCAACCCTTGGCGCCGCTCTCCATGATGAAGCGGAGGACACCGTAGCAGGCTCTGCGGACGGCAAGACCGTTGAGGAGCTTGTAGCGGAGGGACTCGCACTGAGCGACGGCGGACAGACCGCGGTTCTGGACCTTGGCGGCATAGAGGGAGACCGAGTTCTCGGGGAACTTGAAGCGCTTCTGGATGAGGGAGGTAAGCTCGCGGATGCGGCGGCCCTGCTCACCAAGAACCTCCTGGGTGTGGGTGGCACGGATGACTGTGGAAATCATCTGTTAGCATCCTAACCATCATCATTTATATTTTCCCCATTCTTTTCAATTCCTCCAAGAAATAAATATATCGACCAATCCGCATCCTTCGAATTGACAATGGAGGGGGTTTTTTTTCTTCAAGAAAAAGTCCAATCTTCCATGCGAATCCCTCAAGTATAACTGAAACAAACAAGAATGAAAAGTGTGACGAGCGACGTACTGATATCGGTGACGGTGGGAGTAACGCGGACTTCGACGCCAGAGTAACCCTCCTCAGCCAGCTCGCGCTGGAAGAACTCGTTCAGCTCGGCATAGAAGACACCGTCGGCGACGAACTTGCGGCGCTTCGAAATAGCTCCCTGGACAGCGGCCATGATTGCGTTCCTGTAGGATTAGTGGGATTTGTCGGGGACGCGATGCGATGGTAGCGGAACACCGGTGGTGAGAAATTCGGTCGTGGTCGAAAGTCCTCTAATGTTTTCAGATATTCCGCTGTTAGTGGGGATTCCGGCAGTAGGGCTTGACCTGCCATTTTGGGATAGGGCTAACCCTCGCTTGCGCTCCACGGGCGCTTGTCCGAATTAGGACAAGACTGTTTTATGAGGGCGCTTGGCCTATAACAGTTAGTGTATGTTATAAGCACTAACCATGTTTGTATCTGCACTAGTTATGTACTTCTGGAGTCGATGTTCTTGATACTCAACACCAAGGGATATATCTACTTTGTAGATCAGGAATAAGAGATGATAAGGGTCCAAGAAGTCTTGAAATATTTGAAACACCTACACTTCTACCCAGCCATCATGTAAACGCCACTCATTTTACCACATATACACACTCATTCTTGCCTATGAATTACTGCATCTCGACCTCAACATCAGACATTCTTCCCGACCCCTGGTTAGTTTCCTTACTCTTGGGAAGGGTCAGGTTCGAAAGGCCAGCTGTCACGGCAGCCATTCCTGCGGAAGCAGCATTGGGAATCGATTTGCCAGAGATGCCACTTCCGAGGGAGTGATGGGCTGTCTCGATGCCAGTGAGAATGGGAGCCCTGCCACCGGTGACATTGTCAGCGGCATTCGGTCCAAATAAACGAGGTCCATTCATCTCGCTATCTGTACGACCGAAGGCCTCGGCCCACCATCGGACCTCGTCAGTGCGAGGGAATATCAGACGTTCATGACCTCGCTTATTGTCGTCAACCAGAGAATCGTAGTTGGGGTTCAGGAACTGTTCACGCCTGGCAAGGAAATAATCCCACACACTCCGTGTGCGCTCTTTTGCCCTCGTCTCGATGCGCTCTTTCTCGCTGTTGAAGAGAAATGTACCATATTGGCACGAATAGAGGTGGTATAGCAGTCGCCTGAGAAAACGTTCGTTGAATTCGAAACGCGTTGGGTATTGGTATAATAGTTGGTAGGCGGCGTCGAGGAATTGGTGAAACACTGGACTGGTCTCTTTGACCTTGGTGACTTCCTTCTCAGAGGCCACGGTCCTGGGTGCCGAGCTGGGCTTCTTCCCGTTCAAATTGTCTGAATCGTAACTCTGCGCATCGCCGTCTGAGTCGGGAAGAGAGTCACGGCTCGTATTGTCACGATTAAAGAAGCCCTTGGCGCTCAAGAAGGCATTCTCAAGCGCTTTGCCAGCGCCACCGGACTCTCCAAAACTACGATTGGTGTCTGCTCCGCCGATCCGTTCGTTCTCAATCTGAAACCATTTCTCACTACTCAAATGACCAGACCGGTGTCGAAACATATGTCCGAACGAGAGCCAGTCCTTCTCCACCAGGACCATGAAACCCTCAAGGGTCCGATAGTACGGATCAAGACAGAGCTGGCTCAATGCACTGAGTTGGCTCGTACGGTCCCAGCCATCAGAGCAGTGTATAAGGACATGGGAATGTTGAAGACCCACTTGGCGAGCGATCAAGCCGGCGCCTTCCAATATCCCGGAGATGTGCTTCAACCAATTGCTTCTTGCAAGCTGCTCTCTATTGGGTCGAAGAGGCGTAACATCCGAGTCTTTAAGCGCGTCAACCACTTTATTCAACGAGTCTCTCATGACGTGGATGTTGTCGATGCCCAGGTATGCTTTCGTGGCGAACTTGTAATTATCCATGTTCTCTGAACCGAGACCCACGGCCTGCATAGCAAAAGCGTTCACCGTCGGTCGAGCGTCTACTATCAGGTTGTGCTGTTGGGCGCCATATATCGGCGGGTTTTCTTCTGTATCACCACGGAGAGAGGCTAGCATTTCATCTTCCAGCTCCTCGGCATTAGTTAATTCCAGCTCAGGACGTGACCCAGGGAGATCCTCTTGTGGGGAACTTGACGAGTCAGGCTCAGGATGCGAACCAGCAAAATTTGCTAGTGGCCGCTCCGGACGTGACGTTGAGAAGATGGCAGCCAGAAGCTTCTCGTCTTGGATACTTCGGTTCTGGCGTACTCCCACGAGAGGCTGAGAGCTTCTAGTAATCGAACAGTTGTTGACCGGATGGAGATAGGTGAGAACCGGTATTCTGGCTCGAGAGCGATATCTTCCCGCGTAGTTCAACGTATTATCAGAAATGGCCGAGGGGACCGGCAGCACGGCGGGATACGTGGGAGAAAACTAGAACAAGCCCCTCGTCAGAACAGCACATACAAACCACCATCACCACTGCGGGACGCTGTCTTCCTTACTCCATAGTCCAGATTGATCTGCGAGATACGCCATCCATGGCCGTCACCTTCGACACCGAGTCGAGCCCATTCTTTGCGAGCGTTATACAGCTCCCACCCATTCAATGCCTGCTCGGGAGGCGGCGGCTGATAGCTAAAGGCATAGAGCTTGTCAATCCGACCAAGCCGGCAGGTCCATTGCTTCACGCTATCATACACCTCCCGAGCCTTGTGTTCGTCCGCAAAATAGAAACACACAAAGGTAAAGTCTCGGCAACGCAGACGGATCGACGACAGCTGGCGAGACACGGCAGGGGCGGGTCGCAGGGTACAGAACGAGATGATCGGATAGGTGATCCACAGCTCTCGAGGTCGAGCAGCCGCCCCGGGGGGTGGTCCATCACCGGAAGTCGTGGGAACGTGGGAGAAGATGAGATGGTGGGGGGTCAGATGGAGGGTGCCGACGACCTGCTCGCCGCGTCGCGACAAGGTCACCTCTTCAACCTAGGAAGAATACACGATCAGAGGCTATTTTTTTTTTCACTTCTATCTCTCTCGTCTGGTTGACCAAAACAAACCTTGGCGACCCGTGTTCTGTCCATGCCTCAAAGTGTCCGCATCAGGCTCATGGTGAGGCGCTGCTCCAACTCAAACTGGCGGTTCGAACGGCACCGAGACGTGTTATCGAAACTCTCGGTCAAAAGTCATAAAAAAGATGCGAGGAAACAAATAATCACTCGAAGAGTGTGTGGGACACGCCAACTCCAAGGCTCAGTTCATGCACAGTGAGTAACTACACAGTGCACATTACTCTTAACTAAGTGTGTGGGTATGAGCTGGTCCTGGCACCTGCGGGCCCCTCGCTACGTCACGCCCGCCGATCGTCAATCAGCCCATAGGAGGCCTGGAAACCTATTATTATTGTTGCAGAAAAGATAAAACGTGGTTGATCTGCTTTTTATACAGATTACGATGAAAGAGTCCGCTCGGTCGTCCCTCGCGTCGTACTGTCTCCAACTCGCACACCCGGACTAGATTTCTGCAACGCAAACGGATCGTCGTCAAGATGGCAGGCCGGGGCCCATCGAGGCCTACTGAACAGGATATATTCCGGTATCGCTACCAGCATGGAACGAACCTCGGCTCGATCTTTGTCTTGGAGCGGTGGTTGAAGGGTAGCATGTTTATCGAAGGCACGCAGGGCTCTAGCGAACTCGCGGCTGTGAAGCGGTAAGTGCTATTAGGACATGCTCGTCTAGGTAGGTGTATTTGGATATTGACAGAGAAATCAGGTCTCTTCAGACAGTCGGACTCGAAGAAACTCGGGCGAGGTGGGAGGCACATTGGCTCACTGCTCTGACCGAGGAGGATTTCTCGTGGCTCAGAGATGTCGCGAAATGCAATTCTATACGATTGCCAATAGGATATTTCACTCTAGGCCCGACGTTTTGTACAGGAACCGGCTTCGATGGCGACCCCGCCAAAGTGTATCTCCACGCCTGGAGCGCGGCGAAGCACTTGATTGAGAACTGCTACCAGCACGGCATCGGTGTTCTGATCGATTTGCATGCCCTCCCCGGCGGCGCAAATGGTGACAGCCACAGTGGTACGGACGACGGCCAGGCCGCGCTATGGAACAATAAAAAATATCGAGCACTCGCTCGCGACTGCATTGCGTTCGTCGCCCAGGAAGTCATGTTTCATGCTATGGCCGGGGTGATCGGAATCCAAGTCTGCAACGAGGCCAAGTGGGACGCCCCGGGCATGTATGAGTGGTATGATGAGGTCTTGGAAGTCACCAGTGCCGTGGATCCCTCATTGCCGATCTACATCAGCGACGGATGGAACCTATCGCGAGCGATTGACTACGCGATGGCCAGGAATAAGATTCCAATTTCGATCCCCCGTAGCCCGGTCGTCGTCGATACTCACAAATACTACACCTTCTCAGAGGCCCACAGGTCGATGAGTCCCGATGCTCTCATCGCAGCCGTGAAGAGCGACCTTGCACAGCTGAATGGGAGGCAAGGCGACGTGTTGAAGCAGAAAGGCGCTATTGCCGTCTATATCGGCGAGTACAGCTGCACATTGGACACTCGAACCTGGGACAAGGTCAGCCCGTCAGAGCGCCCGCGGCTGACCAAGTCTTTCGGCCAGGAGCAGAGCAGGGTCTGGACATCCAAGGCTTCCGGCTCGGCCTTTTGGACCCTCAAGATGGACTGGATGGATGGCGGTGACTGGGGGTTCAAGGAACAAGTGAAACAGGGGGCCATTCTACCACCGCCTTGGCTTGGTCTCCCCCTAGACCGCGTGATAGCAATCGCTACCGATGCAGAAGATAAACGCTCACAGCTGCAGGAGAAAGCGGTGTCGGAGCATACCGGCTACTGGGATCGCACCTCTCCAGGCGTTCAGTTCGAGCATCACTTGTACGCTCATGGCTGGGATATCGGCTTCAACGACGCAATGGTGTTCTTCTGCGCCAGGCTCCGTGGTACAGTACCCCCTGGTCAAGGAGATGGGGGAGATAAGATCGGTGCGCTGGATCTATGGGTCCGTAAACGCATCATCGAGGCGAATCAACAGGATGGAAAGTGTGCTTGGGAGTGGGAGCATGGGTTGAGGCGCGGAGTCCATGATTTCTACTCTATCGTTGGAGTCTGAGCATGATCTTGTCGAGTATGTCTCTCGGCCTTTTTTTTTTCTTCATTCGACAAGCCGCCACATATCAGAGTAGAGAAATAGTAAATCGGAAAACAGAAATTAAAAGATAAGGCACCCAGAACCGCTGTATGGAGTAAAAAATTATGCAAGAATCTATAATACAGTAGTAGCCCATAGTCTGAGCTATATTGGCCCATATCTATACCGTTTCACCTGATGATGCCCAGCTCAAATGCTAATTTACATGACGTGTTGTAGAAAGACTTGAATTCGTCTTGGAGATGGGCAGCCGGAGACTGGTTTCTCGAGAGTGCAGCCATGATGTTATCTGTCACATCCATGTCTAAGAAGATGTCTGTAGACCGGCTAGGGAGGAAAGGCCCGCTTTCGTAAAAACCGCAGTTAAGACGCTCGCCCTGGAAGTCGTACTGATGGACCTGAGAGGTCAAGATATCGTTCAAGGGAGAGAACATGTATTCGCCCTGGATCGTTTGATTGGTCTCGTCCTCCGGCAATTGGGCTTTAATCCTCGAGGTCATATCTTGCAACACTAACTTGTTCGGAATTGCGAGATGACACGAAATCGGAGTCGGGGTCCGTTCGCTACTTGTTGGGTTTTTGGGAAACGCGCCCCGCAAGCAATCTCTGATACTGTCGAGCAGAGCATTGATGCTCTCTGGTGACAGGACACTGTCTTGGGATGCGCTATCGGCGCCCTTGTATACTTGGTAATAGACATGCCTCGTAAATCGGACATCCAAGGTATTCTCTGGGAGCAAATGATCAACACTGGTTTCCGAAACAATCGCATTCACGTTGCGAATAATCAAATCGACATCGTCGCCAAGCAGGGGGTCTCCCTGTCGGATAGCAACTTCCGCTTCAATTTTGGGTAAGAACTTCGCTTTGATTGCAGGAGGGGTGAGTCGAATACGGTAGGTTGGAAGGTAGTGAACCAAAGGAAAAGGTGTCAACAACCGAAGAAAAGACGATATACGGGGGACGTCTTTCAGGAATATACGAGGAGGAGATATTTGACCAAGCTCGGAAGCGTCAATGTACTGTTCGTTGAACGATGGTTTGCGCAAAAAAAGACACTTTCCAACGGTTGCTGTGATAGTTTCCCGGAAGGCGGTTGCCGCGAGTTGTCGAGCAGTGGCTGGTGAGGTGCTTATAAGTAATTGGAGAAGTCTGTTGGATAAGCCCGCTGGCTGAGCATCAAATAAAGGCCGTTTCAAATCACTAGCCTCGTGCGATTGTGACTGAGCTGATGGCAGAGCCCAGCGAAACCACTGCTTATTCCGGTCAAAGAACGGGACGTTTAATTCCGAGCTGACAGTGTAGACGTTTGCTTTCTTCGAGGATGCGATGTATGTGCAGAACGGGACGGATGTGGTTGCCTTGCTGTACAATGCGAGATTCAGGGTTCTTCGAGCATCGTCTGCTTCTTGCTTATTGGGAGCAAGGTAAAGAATTTTGCTCACACCGGAAATGTTATTTCCTCTGCAATAAACTCCGTATGTCTTATCGACCCAATTCAAGAATTCCTTTGTGAAAACTCTGTAGCTGCCATCTTTGAAGGTCTCCTGTCGAGGCAATGCAATGTCTTGCTCTCGCATACGATTTATGTTGTCTAGAACAATGTCGCGGATCGATTCGCAAGGGTTCTTTGCGCCTGTAACCCTGACGACTCCACTTGTATGGGATACCTCGATATTGGCTTCATGCATGTTGGCGAGTTCCTCGAAAGAGAAATGTTTCTGGTTCGAGAGCAGGTGCACTGCAGGAGACGACAATTGAATGTCAATATGCCCAACCTGTCCAATAAAGCCGAGTCTCCAGCAGGCTCGAAGTATCGTCTCAGCCAGAACTTCTTTCGCTTTCAGGTCACTCGGATTCGAAAGCTTGTATGTATCATGTTCTTGTGACATCGGATCGGGGTTGACCAACAAGGTCTTGCTAGGCTTCCACGGGTTAGACCTCGCATCATCAGCCAGCGATCCTTCCTCTGCTGGAAGTAGTTCAACTTCTTTGAAGCCATCGATGTACTGCGATAACTGCTTCATTGTAAATGAGGACTGAAGGGCTTTCCGGGCCTCGATCCAGCCCGCAAGGCTCAGCGTGTCATGTTGTTTATATTTCGAACGGAATTTTTCGAATTCATCCTCTATCGAGACGTTGCTATGTGACTGTTCCTCCTTCCCTAGTTCACGGAGCATCAAAGGAAGCCTGTCTTGCTTTTTCTTCACGACTTTCTTTCTCTGTGACCCGGAACGGGAACGGCGCCGTTGGGGCGAAATGACGACAATCTCGCCGGGCTTGCCCAGAGCATCGACATCGAGTTTGATTTTCGTATCCGCACGGTATTCTTGCGACCAGTTTATTTGCCCCCGGGAGGTTTTGTATCGGTACAGGAAGGATTCTTGGTTTTTCGCATCACTCGAAGAGCTGTTTAATCGTGAGGTCACATCGTGGCGGCGAGCACCGAGAAGGAATGGCTGGTTTCTGCATTTCAAAATCAATTGGCAGTTTAATGGTCCTACTGCCCTCTTTGAGAGTTGCGACAGCATAAGGACCTTCGACGAGCGCGATGAACAATAATATGTCAGGGTGTCTGACTGTCTTCATTCAGATCGCCAAATGGTTCCGCTCGAAATAAATTCTACGCTAGTCCAAAAATGGATGCGCTATCGCGGCACAGAGAGGATGACTACCTAGGTAGACAACAGGTAGTTTACAGAGGGTATATAATTACAGAGGATATAGGGATATTTTGTCGAGGCTTCATGTATCTGGTATCTCTACTGAAAGAACTGCTTGCTTTCCATTGTTAAAATTAGGTGGCCCCGTCGAGTTACTCTTTTCCAGAGACTTCCCAGCTTCGCAAGTCCTGGCGGACGTCAAACTCGGAGACTTCTTGGCTCGGTTTGCGACTTATCCAACTGTTTCCTTTAGAATTTTCGAATAACCCTTGCTCAATGCTGCCCACTCTTCGACTGTGACCGGGTCTCGGAGGAGTACCAGGACTTTTCGCCCCATTGCGATAGTGGTGATCTGATGAACTCTTCTGCCGTCTGTCATTAAACTTTGGCGACAGTTTAGACCCTGATGCATTTTGTCGTCTTTCAACTTCATCATGCGATAGCGTCTCCTCCTGAGTATCGGCCTCAGCCCTTCCGGGCCGGCCTTCTTGGGGCCCCTTTGCCCAACCGCTACCTCCAGCAAATAAATCTTCGATCAGTTTATCAGCCGGCAACTCCCCGACAGGAGAGTTCCAGGATGCAGCTAAGGTACTGCGGTAAATGTCCTGCATATCCGCGACTTCCCTGCTTTTTGTAATAATAGAGGGTAACCGGCCAAGGTCATCGTTTTCGGTGGGTTCGGAGGCAGAAACTACGCCTGCGATTCCGCTAAAAACCATGGCTGATTTCAAAGGAGGGCTGTCAAAGTCAGTTTGCCAGAAATCAAAGGGAAAGAACATGGGAGCCATTCAAAACAGGGCCAAGGTATAACATACGTGGTGAAGTTCCGTTCGCCATCAATTTGACGCATAGCTATCCCCAATTTGAGTGTGCTGTTTATCTTGCTATCGTGCATCAAATATCTCCTTGTAATTCCATCGTCCTCGTCGCTTCTATCCACATATTCTGCAAGGTTGAGTTTGATCCGACCAAGGAGGTTCTTGTCGCCTCGACCACCGGATGCAAATTCTTGTATTATTTCGAAATTAAGGAAGCACTCTTGCAGCCCCTGATTCCTGTCCACAGTGAGCCTGACCTGCAGGTTCCTCTCGTAGTTCCAGTATGCCCTGTGTTCAAGAATGACAGCCTTGTCTGTATGTCCATGGTTCTCGGCTGCATTCGACGAAGACAAGCTCCACTTTACAAAAGCTGTCCCGCTTGTGAGAGGGATGTTGTTGAGGTCATTGATCTAATGAAACGTTCATGGATCAGCATCGGGTTTTATCGGCAAGTTCCAGGTTCGTATCGACACTCACCCTAAGATTAAGTTCAAATCTAGGCTATGATCAAACATCAGTCTTCGATTCCTCGAATAAGAAATATCTAGCTCACCCTTCGATTTTTTGGAACTAAGCGTACAGTCAAGTATCAGCGCGCAGCCAGAAAAGGAAGCATGAGATATGGGGTAATCCCCCCTTACCAAAGGCTTGCATTGTGCCCGACGCTCCAATTATTTATATCAATCTTAGAAGATGTTCTCTCGTTTCATAACCGACATCTTGCACCACCTGCTGTGAGAAAATGGAGAGATGGGATGACAGAGCGTCACCTCCCCGCATATGGAGCAGGAGCGATAAAGGCGGTGGGTATTCATATCTGGCAGTAATTTACCGCCTTTCGGATCAAATCATTTCCATTTCCCCCTCTGTGTCTTGGCCTGGGCATCTTGCTTCCCAAACTTCGAGATCGAAACTGCTCTTTCATCAAACCTCAAGTAACTGAAAATGGTCCAGCGACCGCTTTCCCCTCCGGCAGAGACTGCGCCTGTCCCAGATTCAAAGATTGTACCCCTCGACTCCCCAACACGCACCACACCAATCCACCCTCTCCTCCCGGAAATCCGTGTCCCAGGCGAACCCCTGCCACCATATAGATACCACCCAGTGACATGTTTACCCATCGATTCCGATTCCGAAGAAATTCAGTCTCAACTGCGGGAGTTACGGCAAGAGGTTTCATCTCGTGAAGCCGCACTGAAAATGCAGGAGGAGCTGGCAAGGCAAGTGAGGCAGAAGATGGACGAGGCTGAGAAAAAGCGCGAAATGGTCCAAAAGGCGATGGATAAGAAGACAAAAGAAAGAAACACTGAGCTGAAGGTGCTCTCGAAGTACCAAGAAGTGAAGGCGTCTGATATTCCATCTTAAGACATCAGGGATATTGTTTCGCAGGACCACGGGAATCCGTTCAAATGTCGATGCAAACTTCGCAGCGACATTACAAGAGCTGATCTTTGGATGACATCCATCTTGCCCCGCGTTGTTGAAGAAGGTCAACAGCGCGTCGAGGCAGCTCATGCCATCATATGCGGGGTGGTGATTTCTACGGAAACAACTAGAACCGTTCGAATCAATAAGATTTTTGAGTAGCCATGGAAATGCTTTCTTTGGTTGTTCAAAAGGAAAGGGTTGGAAAACAAACGCGATGAGAAGCGACTGGGTCACTTACCTCGTTGCCAATCTCTGGGACTCCCGCCAGACCCGGATGTTGCAGGCTGCATCCCAATCAAGAGTCTTCGCAAATTGAGCGTATGATCTCTATCATAAACCCCGATGGTTATGATCAGAGATATATACTGAATGATTCATTACTTGAAAAATCAAATTTCTGACCAAAATGAGCCGAGAATCGGTCAATCGGTCAATCAGTCAATCGGTCAATCGGTTTTTCTTGGGCGTTCTTGTTCGAAATCTACATCTGACACCTTTCAAATGGGCATCCTCGTCTCCTTTGGATGGCTATGATATACACCTGACATCTAGTGGAATAACCGAGGATCTGAACATATGAGAAGACCATGTTGTCACCAGAATTTATAACATTCTTAGCTAAGTCTCGGTCATCTCCTGAACAATGACAAAGAGATCCTCATAAGTTAGTGGCGAAGAGGGATAGAATGGAAGTCGGCTTAGAGGTTTCGTCTGTACGGAGTATCCTAGATCAATTCTGTATGGATTCACCGCCAACATTCTGCCGAAGAATATCCAGTGACGTAGACGTCCATTCTATCAAGCAGCCGAACTTTTCATCAAACAGCAGTCGCAAACACTTCCACTAAAAGCCCCGAAAGAACTCCATTGAACTGCTGGACGTCAGCAATGCAACTAAAACCCCCTAGATCCTGGTGCGAGGAGATGCATTGCGCTAAGAACGCAGCAGAGGAGGATTCTGGAGGGGAACCCTCGGCATAGCATTAGTCTCTTCCAGTTTGAAGCTGAGCAGGCAGCCAAGTTGAGATGATGTGCGTAGATACTCGGTAGCTCCGTGTGATGTACTGCATTTGTACACTTACCGAGTGTACGGAGTATGTAGGACAGGTGCATGGATGCCACGTCTCGGAAGTGTGGCTGGGGTGGCAATTGACAGGTGTGGCGATGCTTAGCTGCATATGTACCTAGGTAGGTACCTACCTAGTTTTAGATGGTTTAGCCTTTAGGTAATTAGGTAGGCACCTTATTACGGAGTACTAGGTATCTCCTAGGTACGGGACGAGGTGCCTAGATACCTAATATCTATTCATAGCAGCACTGCTGGTAGGTTCTTAGTCAAGTTCCTAGGAATTGCCAAAGTGAAGCATGGCAATGAGTCATTCCCTGTTTGATGTGTCGCCATCTGATACCAGTTGCCTCACCAGCCACATATACGGCATAGTAGCTCTGTACGGTACTCGAGCGTACAGTATTTTATTATTCCATATAAAACAGTACTACTGTCCTGTACTGGTGTTCTTCTCCAGTACACCGCCATAGTCTAGGCATTTTCTTGGAACTACGGAGTAACTATGGAGTAACTACTACCTACGCAGTAATAGTACTAACTGCTCCGTTCTCGTGAGCGTAGGTCCTATTAGGCACGTTATGAGGTCATAATGTGACTACTCTTCTTGACGAGTCGAGGTACATTATAAAGTCGTACAAGAACAGTCAAATCTCCTACGAACGTCGCACAAGAAAGTAAATAACTAGGTATTCCGTACGCCGTACTCCGTTTGTAGCCGCCAGTATTCTCCGTCTTGACCCAGTTCCAGAAGGCATCTGGAGATGACCGTCCGCGAGCCTCAGCCCAATGGCAGATCACAGCAGGGATCTCAGCTCGAGGGCGTGCGCCGGACTCGTTTGCTGCCGGCCAATAAACAGCCAGAGACGGCCTAAGACCAGCTGGACCCACCCAGAGTTCACCCTCCATCAGCTGAATTTGTCTCACGGACACTCATCGTAAGGTATCTCATGCCTCGAAGCTGGGAGAGTATAGGTTGAAGGTTTCCGGGGCTTATGGAAGCTGTGGCTATACAGAAAGGGGAACCATGCTCTGTGCGTAGACTCATCTGGAGTTCATCAGTACGCAGTACCTTAGGAGTAACTAACAGGTACTAGGTAGTTATGTCCATACCGAGTCCCTCACGAACCGTGGATGCACCGGGACAGAGTAAGGAATGTTCCCGTGCGGACCGTATTCTTACCGCTGGATCCATGGATCCATGGATCCATGGTCCGTTGACGAGCCGTTAATCAGTAGCCGTAGTAGTAGTTGGAAGGACACCGACAAGTCCTGCGGTCTAGTTACCTACCGGTAGTCACTGTCTGGAGCATCTCTGAACTCATGTGACTGCTCCCGTGACTCGGTGCTCCGTAACTCGCCGTCTTCCGTAACTGATCTCAGCTTTGACTTGCCGTCCCGTGATCGCGGGATAGGCAGACGGAGGAGCTGGAGACTCTGACAGACTCTGGTTTACCGCCGGTCGACAGGCTCAGAGAGGCCGAAAAGCCGTAGCAACTGTTTCACTCTTGAATTCTGCAGGCTCCTTCGAACGGAAGCGAAAAAAAAATGTTATTTTGACGCCTAACAATGACGTTGATGGTCGGTAGGTACTAGTCGCAGCCCAGTTCTTCATCATGGCATTGATACTTCAATACCGCTCGTTACACATTACATCCGCCGTACTTTACCGTACGGCGGTATCGAACGGTATTCAACACACCCGGACAGCATCGCCATCATCCTGCAGGCCACGCCTCTGCGGCCAATCCACAGCAGATCGGAAGAAAAAGAGTTTTCCTTTTTTTTAATCGCTCTTTTTGGGCCCTGCTTTTTTAGCTGAACTTCCAGCTAGGCCCTGCACGGACAGGAGAAAGGGAGAAGGAGGGAAAAAAATTATTCTGGAGGGGGGGGAAGAAAAAAGGTTTGGGAGGCTTTCCTTGATATATCCTTCGCTTCCCACCCCCCGCTGCCCTCCGATTTCCCTTTCTGGTCATCCTCGCCCCGGTCCCCTCCCTCCTCCTCCTCCTCCTCCTCCTCCTTTGACTTCTCTTCGTTCCTTTTGCTTGTTATTGCTACTTTATTCTTCTTTCCCTTGCTTTCATCTTCTTCTTTTTTTTTATTTTGCGCATTCGCCCACACAAGCTCCATCTCCTTCATACATACACTTGCTATACAATAACTTCTCTGCCTACCTCGCTTACGTCTGTGGGCCCATCGCTCATATCACGATCGAGATCCGCCTCAACCTCCCCCTTCCATACAAGTCGGTGAATATTGTAGGACGACCTGGGCTGTGTGTCGGGTGAATGTTGCCTTTATGAGTCGCGTCTGTCTTTCCTTGTCGGCCGGTATCCTCGCAGACGTCGATCGTGTCCGCCGTGGTGGTGTCCCGTCAGAAGAATGCCCAGTGTGCTGCTCCCCTCATCCGCCGCCGCCTTTGCGCCGAGGGCATCGCCGAATGTCGTGCTGAGCCGGAAGGTCGAGCCGTGGCTCACGGCGACCCTGAAGCGTGTCAACCGGGTCAAGCGACCACTGAACAATGTGACCCAGCATACCCGATGTCTGACCGAGACCTTGTCCGGGACCAAGGCCATCTGGACCCTGTGCTCCATCATGTTCCCCAAGGCTCCCGATGCTGATCTGCGCCGCGATGATAACCCGCTGGTGGAGGCCCTCTTCAACTACCAGATGATCCACGTCCAGGCTTACGTGGTGCATGTCGACATGGTCTCCCGGAACGAGGTGGCCTTTAAGCTGACTCCGGAGACGATCGAGGCCCTGGTTGACTTCCATAAGGACATCTATTCCGTCGACGCCATTGCTAGTACCTGGGACTGGCCCGAGAAGGACTCCCAGATGAAGAAGCTTCAGGAGGAGTTCGTCCAGGCGGCCAACCGCTTCATCTACCGGACCAGCGCCCAGGCTCTCGAGGGTCTAGAGGACGACGGCGCTGGGGAGTTGCTGGAAGCCCGGAGCGATGAGGCCAAGGCCATGATCCTGAGCCTGTTCGTTCCCTTGCTCCCGCCGCCCCCGCGCGTCGTCGATGTCCTGCGTCCGCCCCCGTTGCTTCCCAGTGCCACGGGCCCCGACCCCTGGTGGTCTGCTGGTCCCCCCCCACCGCCGCCTGTCGCCCCCATGGAGTCGTGGAAAATCTTGCCCTCCAGTCCGAATGTCGTCGTCTGCACAACCGAGGCTAACCCCAACCTGTGGGCCGGCCTCCCGCTCTCCGAAATGCAGCTTCCTTCGCCGACCCCGTCTTACAGCCAACCCTATACCACATCGCCCTATAGCACTGCCGAGCAGTACTACAGCACGGTGACAACGGCCGCCTTGGTTGCCCTGCCGCTGCCTAGCATGCTGATCCAACCATGCAGCACGGCCGCCAGTCTGACTGGGTTTGGCTGGGGGGATCGGGGATACCAAGATTTCGCCTTGCCTTACGGGACTATCATGTAAAGTCAGGGAAACATTTACCCCTCGAATCCTTTACATGGACTTCCCATCACGACGCCTTCGGAACCCCTATCCCCCACTTACAAGAGACTTCGCATGCAGACAGCACTCTAATTCGGCATCACTGACGGCGTTCTCGTTTCTTTCGCGACACCATTGATACTCCCATCTCGTCTTGCCTTGCATATACTTTTCTTTTGGTTCTTACCCAGACAACATAATATTTGTCCCCCTTTTGTGTGTTTCTCTTTAGCCAGCGTCAGCGTTCTGCCAGTTCTTGTTTTCTTTTTTTTTTCCTTTTTTGCATTAAGAAGCGGCGGGTCGGCTATTTGATTTGAATTGCTCTTTCGAAAGTTCCTATATGTCATGAAGACCCTGTTTGCCTCGCGGCATGGAATATGATTCGGATGAAGAATGTCATTTTTTTTGTTTGCTGGTCTTTCGGTCGTGGGTCTGCCAGGGTCTGACACAGTCTGGCGAAGTCTAGCACCCGGCGTGTTATGACTATATCGACAACAAACCCTGGCAGACGGCTTTCTTTCCTGGTACTGGATACCAGGCAGGTGAATCCGATGTCCATGTGCTCGGACTTTTGAAGAGAGTTGTTTTTTTACACACACGACTGTGCCAGGTCCAACAGATCATGTCTGGGATATGACTGTTCCTGGTGTCACTCCCTCTTTTTATTCTCCTTTTTTTTATCTATTCGCCGTGGACTCCTGGGGGAAGAATTCGAAGAGAGAAGGTGATTGGTGTCGACTCTCGCAAGAACTCCCGGCCATTCGTCTGTGGCGAACAACCTGGAGTTGCAGGCCGGGAAAAGGAGAGAGTAAAGGAGGTTTGTGGGGGGGGAAGAAAAGAGAGAAAAAGAATCAACCGACGAATGAAATGATCTGTGATCAATTGTCCGGTTTCGATTCTGGTCTTCTCTTTTCTTTCCCTCCCCCCTTCCACCCTCCCGTTTGAGCGAGGATCGAACCCTAACCGTCTTCTCTTCTTTTGCTATTCTCCCCCATTGACCCGGCCGACTACACTAGGTTCATCCCCTACCGTCCAGGGCTGGTTTTTTTTTTCCTTCTTCTTTTTTCCTGGACATGCTCGCACGGCTTCACTCTCTCCGCAGGCTGGAGGGGAGGAACGTGCGGGAAACCGATGCTGGAAATTTTGCTCATGCTCAGAAGCTGGCTCTTCGTCTCCCCTCGTTGTGATTGCGTTCTGTCTAGCTGTCTCGTTAGTCAATCACGTTGAATATGTCGTCTGCTAGTGTAGAGATAGTAGCACATTATTCGATTAATATCCATCCCGAAGCAACGATTCTATCGACAGTAATACTATGAAGTGATTGGACTGATTTCGCTGTATGTAGTACATGATTCTGCACCTCGCTGTCTCGGAGTCCGCGCATGGCCAGGCTGGCTTCAGTACAGCCTTAGTTAACGAACTACCTATAACTACTAGGTAGTTATGTAGTTAACTAGCAGACAAATCACTTAACTTACTACATAAGTAGCAGTATGTATTATGCAGTATTGTATTACTGATCAGTCGTTCGGCTTCGGGCATTGCACCGCCGATCGGGGTGACGTCAGTGGAAGCAGCAAGCATGCCTCAAGAGTCAGCAGTCAGCCTTTAAAGCTGCAGGATTTAGTCTTATAAAGACAGGATCCTACAATTAGCACGCATTTTATACATATCTCTGACTTCTAACTCATAAAGCCGGTGATATGGCAGCCCTCCACGAGGCATTACAATGCCTCCAACCGACGAGCTGGGAGGAAATCCCCAAAGAACACGACAAGCTGCGAGGCATGCTACGCGAGCTATTCGGCCAGGCGCGGGTGATTGTTGATTCAGTCCCGGAGGAGCCGGAAAAGAAAACATCGAATACAAAGACGAATACGAATACCGACCTACAAAAAGAGTGGGGGAAGCCGCTCAAGGTCAACTCCAAGGAGAACCCGCTCGGAATCCCATTGTACAAGCTTACGGGGGCGGATGGCAAGGGCACCTGGTTTGCCCGTCGGAGTGTGCACGAGGGATTGCCCTTTTCCGTGTGGAAGAGCAAGATCGCGAGCGAGATCGCCGAGACGTTACGTGGGAACACGGCGCGGAAGGAACAGGGCCTCCCGCCGGACTATGCGGTGCGGGGGATCGGGGCGGAGAGAAAGCTCGAGGATATCGAGGTGATGGACGATGAGAATAGAGATGGGAATGGTGACGGTGACGGTGGGAATGAGGGTGCCACCCTCGCTCGGCTGGAGCTGTACCATGTTTCTGTGCAGTTCCCGCGTCCCACGACCTCCAGGGACTTTGTGCCGCTCGTCATCAGCTCGGAGATTGGTTTGAACGGGTCGGATGTCACGGCGGGCAAGGGCAGGTCACTCATCATCCTCTCCAAACCGTGCCGCCATGGTGACGTCCCCCCGGACGAGCGGTATATCCGTGGTCAGTACGAGTCTGTCGAGATTATCCGGGAGATCCCTCGGTCTTCTGCTGCGAGTCTATCTCGTTCGGACGGGTCCACTCAATCGGGGGGTGCTGGCCAGACACAAGAAGAGACTGAGCCGATGAATCCCGTCGAATGGATCATGGTCACCAGGAGTGATCCGGGTGGGAATATCCCGCGATGGATGGTGGAAAAGGGAACCCCACGGAGTATCCTCACTGATGCTGCCAAGTTTGTTCAGTGGGCAAGCCAAGACGACAAGGCGAGCCGAGACGACAAGAGTGATGACCATTCTACTGGTGACATTGAACCCAATCTCAGGGAAGAAATAGAAAAGGGAAACGGAGTCCAGGCCCGAGACGAAGTCAAAGAAGAAGAAGAAGAGGACGGCGATGAGAATCCACCCGCACACACCGGACTGATCGCCAGCGTCGCCCATCTACTCAACATGGGGGTTGATAAATACGCTCCGCAGGCAGTACGCGACTACATCCCCCATTTCACATACGACTCGTTCGAAAGCGAGTCTGACGACAATTCGACGAGCGAACCCATTTCCGACAATGATTTTGCAGAGAAGGCGCCATCCTCCCAAATCAAGGTCGAGGAAAAGTGCGCCGACGAAGAGACAGATTCGCACACCTCGGTCTCTCTAGCCTCGGACATCCACGAGGAGCATATTTCCCCCCTGGACCTGATCCAGCAGAACAAGAACGGCGGCAAGCTGTCCTCGCGGGAGAAAGAGCTTGCCAAGCTGGCGCTGCGCAAGCGCGAGGTCGAGTCCCGGCTGGACAGTCTACGCTCGGAGATCGAAGCCCTGCACATACGACCAACATCCGACACGGATCTCAAGACCGACAAACCGTTTACGGAGAGTGATCACCCGAGCACTGTGAGTAGCAGCAACGGGCAAAGCAGCAGCAGCACGGCGACGGCCGAGCAGCGAACCGCGCCCCAAGATGCCATGCAACTCCACAAGGCAGCCTCGAGCATGCTGCGCGAGGAATCCAAGCTCTTCAAGCAGCTGCGCAAGATCGAAGCGAGCCAGCTGCGGGTCGCGGCCAAGATCGAGGCGCGGCAACGCAAACGTACCGCGCGCGACGATAAGCACCGCTCCCGCTCCGAGGTCGACGCCCTGCGCCAGGAAGTCCACGGTCTAAAGAGGGAGGTCGAGAAGTTGCGTGCCGAGCGCCGGCATTGGCTTGATCTCGTCGCTTCCTTGCAGGCAGAGAACTCCAGGCTAGTTTCTGTGGCGCAATAGCGGAAGAAAGAAGGAGGAAACTACCAACATGTCATATGAACATAAGTGACGATTTGATGATCAATTCTGTTCAGCTTTTATTGCATACTAACTATTGGAGTCTGGTTGTGAGCTGTCTGCATTTGTTTTAAATACTGAGCTCGGGTCAATGTCTTATATACAAAGTACATAGACAAGATATTTATAGTTAGTACTTAATTCCACAAGTATCATTCGTTATCCTTCCTGGGCTGCTTTGGCTATGCGGAGAGTCAACGCTAGTAGGTTCTAGATAGCGAAGCTGGAAGGTCATCCAGATGTCTTAAGGTTATCCATATCCGTGACATGCGTAGGATCTATTCCTGCATCGCAGGGGGGATTTATCGTAGTTGTATTATTATAAAGGCATCAATCATAGCCTCGAGACGTAGTATGCAACATATCTCAACCGCATGAACGTATCATAGGAGAACTGTAGTAGGGGCAAGGCGGGGGAAAAAAGGTCATGGGTTATTCTTGCGTCTGAAGGGGAATACTGTTAGACACCATCCATCTCAAGGGAACAAATTAAAAAGAGAAACCAACCTCCGGCGGATTCCCTGCACCTCTGACCATCTTCTCAATCATCATGGCACGGACTTTCTCCTTCGAATCGCCCATCCCCACAGCCATGTATGACAGCAGAGGCGGATGGCCGATGTACGAGGCGTAACTGTCCCGGATGATGTTGGACGTCCACTCGTACTTGGTGGTGTCGGCGTGGCCAGTACCGACGTAACGCGCCTGCAAGGCCTCGAGGTTCTGGAGCGTGCGGAGCTTGTCGGCCATGTTGCAATCACATTCAACAGTCGCGCTGCAGGGTTCAAGTGGAAGGGAAAGACGACGTGCGGACAGGAAAGAGTCGAAGTTTGGGGGGGGAGCACGTGCCGTTCGATATGGGTGAGTCACGTGATTAAATTATATAAATCAATAAATTATAACGATTCCGCGACTATTCGACGTCTCTGCAAGCTCGCTTCATTCTCTCCTGGTCAGTGAATACTTTGGGTTTTCGAGAGATTATTAGTTCCATGAAAGAGTCACAGCATTCTCCTTTACCGTCTCGGATAGCCTCGTTGGTCCACGCGCATTTCGATGCGTTGCCAGTTCGCAGCAAACCCACTGTCCATCCGGATGGATCGAGAGAGTGGATTCCTTTGACAGGAATAGTGATTGTAAGAGGTATCAGAGGCTGAATGTTCTTGATTCTCCTGATAATGTGTATTCGTCGCTTCCATGACCTATATACAAGTGGTCTACTTATTATTTCGTATTATACACTGACACGGCTGGCTCGTCAGGAGAGAATACACCATCAGAGAAGCTTACATGTGTGGCTATTGCGTATGTTGTTTCTTTCCATTGCATTGCTGATTTTATCTAATATGCTGTGCAGGACTGGAGCAAAATGCCTGCCAGCATCCCAAATTCCCAACTGCAAAGGCTTGGTCCTACATGACAGCCATGCAGAGATCCTCGCTCTTCGCGCCTTCAATTACTGGCTATTGAACGAATGCCATGGGGTCTTTGCTTGTGAGCAGCAAACACGGTCACCTCCATCGCCTGACATCTCCCATAGCAAGCAGACTACTTCGCCGTATGTACGCAGGAGGAATCAGGGGCGGCGATCAGGTTCAGGACCGCCATTTGAAATCCAACCCGATATCAAGGTTTATATGTACGGCACCTGCGCCCCATGCGGTGATGCAAGCATGGAACTCTGCATGGCATCTCAGGAGGACGCCACTCCATGGGAGATGACACCACGACAAGATCAAGATAAACAGGAAAGCAGCATTGCCTCGACACCGTCTTCCGATCAATTATTGAAAGGCCGCGGCCACTTTTCGCTTCTTGGGATTGTGCGCCGTAAACCGGCTCGTGGCGATGCTGAATCCACTCTGAGCAAGTCTTGCTCCGATAAACTTGCTCTGCGCCAGGTCTCCTCGCTGCTCTCATACGAAACTAGCCTTCTCGTCGCCCCGACGGAGAACGCGTATCTCGCGGGACTCATTCTGCCGGAGAAGGAAATCAGCCGCGTGGGCTGTGAACGGTGTTTCGGCAAAACCGGGCGGATGAGGAATCTACGCGGTCGAGTATGGAGAGGGCCCGATGACGAAGAAAGGGATGGGTTTCGATTTCGACCTTTTGACGTCCTCTCAGTGCCGAGCGAACAGGTCGAAGCCCTCTGGCCGTTTGCAAAACCCGACCCTTCTACTTCTCTACCACCAACTGACAGTGATTCACAACCACCAAAAAGCTCGTCGAAACGAAGCAAACCAGGAACCGTGTCTGCCGTCTGGGCTGTGGGCCCATCACTCTCCGTCCCCTCAAACTCACTCATAGACGATAACGGACGTAAATTCCTCCCATCCCTGTGCAAATCGCCGACGGGCTTGTTCGAGACGATCGTCAACGGCGTCAAGCAGGGTAACCGGGCCTTGACACCGTTGGCACGCGGCGCGTCGAGGCTCTCGCGCGCGAAAATGTGGGGATTGCTTCGAGACATCCTCAAGCCCGTCACGGTAGAAGATGAGCTCCGAGAAGCTATGCATGATTCTGATTCCTTGCTACTACTACTACCACTTGCGAACCTCGTCTCGGCAGAGACATACAATGAATTTAAACATCCACGGTTAGATGTCGAATCTGTGAAATGGCGCCAGGCCGCTATCCGGGACGCCAAAGAGGCCTTGCAGGGCTGGTCGCCCAATATTGGGGACGAGGCCTGGGGGTTGGAGGTCTTGATTGATCCTAAGAAGCGGAAACGATAGTTTCGAGTGTCAGTCCATTCATGTATACAGGATTATGATTATGAATTATGACTCTGCTTTGTATACTATACAAAAACCGGTTCAATGTGGTGACTTTTTTCCCCCCGATATGCAATTCTGTCCATGGGTTTAAAACGCCAGAAGAAGAAGAAGCTCCTTTAAATGGTGTTACAACATCCAAAAGAGGAAGGGAAAGATGAAGGGCAGAAAGTTAGTAGACGCCTGGGATAATCCGACTGCGAACAATGGAGGTATATCTGTCCCAGTCGGCGCCGTATTTCTTCTTGCACTTCTCTTCGTCGCGGCTCTCACGGTGGATAAGGAGGATACCGAAGTAGAGCATGAAGAAGTAGGTGAAGATGGCACCCCAGCCGCGCACCTCGGGGGTCTGCACGGCCTGTTTCTGGAGCTCGCCGGTGGCCGGGTTGAGGTGTTCAATGATGGCGTAACCTGCGAGACCCGTGGGCAAGCAGTATGCCCAGGACATGACCCAGTCGCCCAGGTAGTTGATGTGGCGCGCGCATCCCCACCAGCCGGAGGTGAGTAGCTTGGAGCCGCTGGCGGTCTGGATGTATTTAAGGTGCTTGACGCGCGGGTCGGTGGGGTCGGTGCGGAACCGGTTCTTCTGGTTGTTGGCGCCGCGGAAGATGTAGTAGCCCACTGCGGCAAAGGCCAGCACGACGGCGATACCCTGCACACCCAGCTCGAGCGGATACACTGCCAGGTAGCGCGCCTGAGTGTCGTAGAGGAAGGGCACCCAGACCAGGTCACCAAAGGAGAGCATGAAGCCGAACCCATCCATGATCACGTCCATGGTGGTCATGATAGCAGGTTCCATGTAGAAGGAGTCCAGGACGTAGAAACCCTGGAAGGCCGTCACCAGAACGATCGAATCCGTGATGTAGCCGTAGGTCCGGTGCTGGTACGCAATATGCGACAGGTTGAGAATCAACCATCCCAGCAACCCGGGCCGCAGTTCACAGAAGACCTTGATATCGATCGTCCGCGCTGTCTCACTGACAAAGGGGATGGGCAGACGAATACGAGGGTTGAGTTCGCGGCCGATGAAGAAATCGTACAACACGTTGCCTGTGTGGCCGCCAGGAGCGAGTTCACGAAGCTCTGGGTTCGGGCTACCAGGATTAGGCACAGAGAAGCTTCTCACGTACACGAAGAGGGCGATGGAGGTTGAAATGACCAGATTCGCCGTCAGAATCTGAAGGTAGTTGTCCGAGATGAAGGTCCACACGGCGAAATCAGATCCATACAGGTAGGTTCCTACTGCAAGGCCGGACAGTGTGAGAATAGCAGATAGGAATGCTACCTAGGTTAGCCAATGCAATTTTGATCGGTCTGATTAAGCCATTGCCTACTGTTGAACTTGTATTTCAGTCGTCCTCCGCAAGCCAGAGGAACCCCCTCGGCCTCTCTTCCAGGCAGAAACACCTGCATTAAGAGACTGACAAGGTAGTATCTCACCACCCACAGCATAACCTGGGAATCATAAAGCGCCGTGATGCCTCCTTCCGGCCACCCAATCTCTGCCTTGAGGGTGTCGAGGGTCAGGGTCGAGGGGCTGAGGAGCGAGGGAGCCGGACATCCAGAGACATCATTGCACAGGAACTTGAAGCTGTACACGAGGAGAGGGAGGCCGAACACGATTCCAAAGGCGCCGATTCTAACAAATAACCCAGTCAGCACGAACAGCTTAAAAGGAGGATTCCGACTTCCACTCACGGCCCTGCAAACTCGTATCCCCTCTTCTCCGGCACAGGCTGGATTGGGACCTTGGTCTTTGAATCCTTCTTGGAGGCCATTCTGCGCGAGGAAAAACTTATTCAACTCTTGATCTGAGAGTCTATCTCAGAGCTCCTTGTACCAAGACTGCTTGAGTGTGGCTGATGACGAAGCGGGCGTCGCAGCCAGTGTGGAGCTATTCGTGTCAACAAGGGAGGGGAGATCTGGTCCAAAGAAATCAAAAAAACGTCTGATCTAATTAGATCCAGCAGACAATTGAATCGTTAAATAACCCGTCCTCTCCAGTCCAAGGCTGACAGATTATTATTCTTCCTCTGTCTATGGTGATCGGCTCGGATCCTGCGTCTTCCGGGCCTGACGATTCCTAAACGCTGGACCGCCGGCGCTTTTTCTCCGCGCGTACGACTTACTACGCATACGCCACTGGAGATGCGACGTTGCGTATACGTCCTTGAGACAGGAGGCGCGCTGTGCTTCACTCTTTTGCTCGTTGAGATTAATCGCCGACCCTTGGACCAATCTATCTCTATTTAAGAACTGCCATCTATTTATCTGGATTATTTCGATTATTTCGATTACTTGTCTTATCTCCGAACCAGCCGTCTTTTAACTAGGAGTGACCTGGAGCAGCCCACGATGAACCTCCTCGCCGGCGCTGTTGTACAGCTGCTTCTGTTCTCGCCATTTTCATTAGTGACTGCGGCTGCGACGTCACCTCCCAAAGAACCGCTGTTGCCGTGTGTTGCTCAGTCGCCGACGACCGGGCTGTATTTCGATCTCAACGCCCTGACCGTCACCCCGCCGAAGTATAAGGATGGAGAGAAAGTGTCCAAGGATGCTCGCGAGGACAGCTGGCCGGCTCGTGGCTATGACTATGGGGCAAACTTCACATTGAACATCTGTGCGCCGGTGATTGAGGAGCTGAAGGATGTCGTGGGCGTCCCTCAGGCGCGATGGAAGAACGTCAGTGCATACTACGAAAGAGAAGGCGAAATCTATTCGATAGGGTATGATGAATTGGTTTCTGTTTTGTGAGGGGGGGGCTTATTTGCTGACGGCGAGCGATTGTAGAGAACAAGCCTCCGAACCCTTTTTCCGGGGACGCAAGCTGGTGTTGAACTATACGAACGGGTCTCCTTGTCCCGGCGAGAACGCGAACGCCCCTGCGCGTACCAAGTCGACGATGATCTCCTTCTCGTGTGATCGAGAAGCGCTGCCTTCCCAGGCGTTTGCCTCGTTTGTCGGTACCATGGATTCCTGCAGCTATTGGTTCGATGTCCGTAGCTCTGCTGCCTGCGGTGGAATTGCTACGAATCCCAGCACCGAGGGTCTTGGGCCAGCGGGGGTATTCGGCGTAATGTACGTCTTTTTTTTCTTTTTGATCCCTTCCCCGAGGGGGGGGGTGTAGTGACCATGCTAACGAGGCTCAGTGCTCTGATCGCTGTTGTGGCGTATCTCATCGGCGGTTGTGCGTATCAACGTACGGTGATGCACCAGCGTGGCTGGAGGCAATGTCCGAATTTCAGCCTCTGGGCCGGCATTGTGGACTTTATCAAAGTAAGTATTCTGGCCTTGGTGCCATTTCGGTCTTCAAGGCAGGCAGACAGGGGTTCCCACAAAGAATTCGCCAATGCAAAATTACCGACCTCAAGACTGGATTGACCCGTCTGTGTCCTTTTATTTTATTCTTTTTCTATACTCATTTCGCCGTGCTGGCATGGCGATATACTTCCCAACCAAATCCTTGCCTTACTCCCTCATTTCCTTTCTGTATAATTGGTCTTTTCTACCCTTTCATGTTTACGATAGGCTCAAACCGAATATATACACAGTTCAGCATTTAGCTCTATCTCTCTCTCTCTCTCTCTCTCTCTCTCTCCATCTCACAGAATTCTGATATGAACCACCACACCATGAAAGCTAACAACCTACCTCTCTCGCAACCCAACAGGACATGATCGTTATCTTCTTCTCCTCGCTCGGCCAAATGCTCCATCTCACTCGGTCTCGGGGAGATGGGTACATGAACGTCAATGCCGGCCAACCATCAAGCGTCGTCAGAGGCAGCAACTTCATCAATGCCATCGGTGGACGACGCTCGGCAAACCTTTCGACTGGCAGGGCTGCCGACATCGACGCTGAAAACAGGTTAATTGACCAGCTGGATGAGGAGTGGGAAGACTGATAGATAGTTACTCGTTGACTTCACTTGTAACGAGTCATGGGTACCATGTTTATGCGTTCTTTTTGTTCTTTCTTGCTGATTGTATCGTGGCTGTCTGTGGGTATTTAAATTTGAACAGTTGGTTATAGCATAGAGTTGCCTTGTATGATATATTTAGCTTCACTGCATATAATGTGTTTATATATATCGAGACGCTGGACAAATATTACATCGATCGAAAGATCGGTTTCTCGTATCCTCTATCGTATTTACGCGAAGTGTAGCTACAGCCGCCAAATACTATATAGACAGTCTAGTATTTTTCCGCCTTGGTTGCTTTAGAATATGCTCATGGATGGACAGTCTAGAGACGGATAGAAGTAGAGTAAAATGTAAAAATCCCTGTTCTGGAATATGTAGTCAAACCTGGGCCGGGTGGATATAACAAGCACCAGTGGTCTAGTGGTAGAATTCATCGTTGCCATCGATGAGGCCCGTGTTCGATTCACGGCTGGTGCAATCTTTTTATATTTTTTATATTTTCAAATAAAGTCACCACCTACTTATTATTATCAGTTAGTAGTAGTACCTGAACACCCGCCGAAAGATCCTGACATGTTTTTTTTAAGTATTATTCTCATTGCACTATATACCTAGTGGATATAGTCTAGCATGATTCATGACCTATGATATAGGTACAACTATTCAGATGGAAGACAGTTCAAACACCACGTCGGCTTTTTACCGAAAGAGTACCAGCACCTTCGCAGCCCAGCCAACCCAGCCAACGTGAATCGAATAAAAAAAAGACAAAGGTCGTGAAAAATGAACAGAAAAAACCCCCATGCAGAAGAAACGAGTCGCCGTGCTCCAAGAATATCAAGATTCGAAGGTTGGTACAGAATACAAGACAACTTTCCACTGTGCGTGTTCATCCCTGCATCCGCTGGTGAGAAGAAGACGACTGGCTCAACCCTGCGAGACCGAGGTCGAAGGAATCCATCATGTTGTTGCTCGACTGGCCGTAGACGGGTTCCATGGTCGATGCAGACTGTGGTTGTGCGTTGGGGTCTAGGCTGTGCCCGGTGCCGACAGGGTCCAGGTTGAAGGGTAAGAACCATGCGCTGGGCTGGTAGAACTCGGCCGTCCCGGAGGGGGCGTTGGGGTCGAGGTGGCCTGTCCATAGTGAGGATTGGTGGTCTGTGCTTTGGCCGTCTTCGCGGCTAACGACCGGGGGAGCGTGAGAAGAAGAAGAAGAAGAGGGAGGAGGAGGAGGAGGATGAGAAGATGGAGGAGGGCCCATGTGCGGCGGCTCAGAGGGGGAGACCAGTGAGGTGGGATCGAAGCCGGTGAAGGCGCCGTAGACAAACTGTCGATCGAGCTGCGGGAGTTGGTCGGGAGCAAAGCCGCCAAAGTCAAAGGAGGCGTGGCCCAGAGACTGCATCCGTTCCTGGGAATATGGTTGAGGGAAGCCGGCGGCAGCGGTGCCCAGAACGGCAGTGCCGTTGTTTGATGGCATGCTCACATCCACGATTGGCGCGGAGGGCGAGACTTGATCCACGGCGGCGGGGACGCCTTCGGCGGCCGCCTTGCTGCTCCGTCGTTCAGAAGAAGAGGGTTTACGGTGGGCGACGATGTTTTGCGGGGTGGAGGGAGAGAGACTGGCAAAGAAGTCCTCGACGCTCTGCAAGTCGGGCTTCTGGCCCATGACGGCGTCGTCGCCGCTCTCCTTGCGTTTCCTGTCCGGGTCTTCCCAGTGGAACCTCGACACCCCATGAGGGTATTTATCGAACCAGTCTCCGTACTGGAACATGGGGGCGATATCGCCATTCTGCGTGGGCACCACGCCGCGGATGGCTGCATCTGCAAACTGCCGATACCGATCCTTGGCACTCTCGACCATGTAGTGGAACATGCCCCAGTACTTTTTCATCCGGTTGAGGTATCGATACGTGTGGCGCAGATTCTCCTTTGAGCGGGCCTCGAGCTGAGCGTTCTTCGAGAATATCCCCCAGATGTGAACCGTACTGGCGGAGTAGGCGCAGTATCCGGCAAACGGGACCGTCAGGGGATATGCTGAGGCGCGGTCGATCAAGACTGAAATGTGGTGGGCTGATTCCACGGCCGCTCGCCCGGCTTCGCTCAGGAAGGATTTGGGCATGTCTCTCGGCGGACGGCCGCCGGGAGACAGAGGGATGGCGAACTGGTTGAGAAAGAGCATGTTCTGATGGATGATGATATGAAGGAAGAGAAACTGGTTGGCGATCTTCTCTGCGGCATGGATCTGCAGGTTCTCAAAGGTGAAGTGCAACGAACTGGGTAACGAGGCGGAGAAGTCGTCGAGCTGCCGTCGCAGGCGCATGTAGCCCGACTCTGGCGACCACAGAGGATGCACGTCCTTCCTCTTGCCGCCCAGATTCAGATAGTCGACGATCCGCCCCCATAGGACGACCGCCCGGATGATATACGCGGAGACTCCCATGTTCTCCTTGGCGTTGGACAGCTGGCCTACGTTGTCGGGCACCGGGTTCAGGACCTTCCCTTCCAAGTCTTCCGTGGGCCCTGGGATCTCCATTTGGAACTGTGATTCTTTGATGGGGAGTTGGATCTGCATAAACTTCTCGTTCCCGATGGGCGGGCGCTGGCTGCCTGACGAATTGTACCGATCCATCAGGAAGCACGCCCACATGGTGCGCCGTTTGATTTCACGGTCCGTGAAACTGAGCAGACTGCCGTTGGCATTTGTCGGGTTGAGCGATGGGTCGTGTTCCAGTTCTCGGTGCAGCTGCAGGGCGTAGGCCATGCGCAGGGCCTGACCCCCGTAGGACCAGCTTCTCCCCCCATGGCAGGTTCCAAACTCATGCAGACCCAGCAGCAAGAAGACCGTGAGGATGGTGATATTCGGCTCGTCGTGACGGCTCAAGGCGATGGTGGCGGCCGGCTGCGCCCAATTCTCCCCACGCAGAAAGGGCGGTTCGGAGTTGATCTGGGGATGGGTGGAAAACCGCGCCGAGACCGCGCAGACGGCGAGGATCAGGACTGGGGGAACGGTGCCGGCCTTGAGCCGTCGGATGAAGCTCGGTTTATGCAGTAGCAGGTACGACTGTCCGTACACGCAGTCGAAGAAGACCTCGGCCAGATGCTCCTGGATCTCCATGGCAGGGAGAAACTCGGCCCCCTCGGTCAACAAGCCCACGCCCCCGTCCCCAGACTTTGCTTCTCGCATCATCGGAAAGGTATCCAGCTGGGTGCCGCGCTCGCCACGAACCCACTCGTCGAGTTCCGCCGCAAAGGCCTCGTCCGCGGATCGCTTTTTTTGCGTTTTCGACGAACCACCGCCAGTACCACTCCCAATACTACCACCACTTGCAGTCGCCGGCTTGACGACTGACCGTCCGATAGCTGCCATATCCCTGTTTTCCTCCTTGGGAATCATCTTGATGACCCGGTCCTCCATGCGCTTGAGCCGCTTGTCCAACATCGCCATGTAATCCGTGCGCGGGGCAGCCTTTCGCGTCGTGACCTTGTACACGCAGGGGATTCGGGACCGGAAGCAGTGCTTGCACGCCGGCTTCTCGCCCGAACAGCGGATCTTCTTCCTCCTGCACGCGATACAAGCCAGCGGCAGCCGTTTGCGCTCCTTGCCAGCCTTGGTTTTCATCTCGCTCCATACCGGCTTGTTGTCTTCCTTCTCCGCTGGGGTTTCCTCGCCCATCATCGCCATCATCTGTTGTTGCTGCTGTTGTTCTTGTTCTTGTTCTTGTTCCTGCTCGATCAAATCATTACTCCCGGTCGGCAGTCCCCCTCCCCCTCCCCCTCCTCCTCCGGTGCTACCTGGATCTCGCGAACTGGTATGACTCATGGTATCGAAATCGTCGAGGACCGCAATACCACCCGCGACATCATCCGCACCCAGAGGGGCGGTGCTGGGCACCGGCGACTCGTCGGACTCGAAAGGGTTCATAGCGGGCGTCGGTACCCTAGTAAAGTAGTCCGAAGCATCATTCAGCGAAATTAGGGGAGAATTAGGGAGGAATTAGGCGAGAACTGGGTGCGAATTGAGGGAGAAGAGAGAGAGAGACAGAGAGGGTGGGAAAGTCGACGCACAGAGAGAGAGTCGGAGAGAGCCAAATCTGCGGGTTCCATCGACTTACGACTGGATTATGGGGAAAGCTGGCGGTGGCTTGGCGTTTTACTATTGTTGTTATTGTGAACAATAATATCTCTATCTGATAACAGAAAGAAAAATGAAAGAAAAGGCCTTAGCTTATGCACTCAACGAAGGCAGTTTACCTGGTTTACCTGCTACTCGGGGTACTGTAGTCAACGCCCTGGGCGATGAATTACTCTGCCACAGAGTAAATCCATCGCCGAATCTCCGATTGGTCGCTCTCAACAATAAGACAATGAAGTCGAGAGGCAGTGTAAAGGAGGGGAAGTCAGAAACTGCAGGAGAAAAGTGCGGGGAACCGTTTCGAAGATGTTCTTTTGTTTCGCGATTACTCAAATCTGCCTGAAAACCTCTCTCACTACTAAACAACCAGGTACTAGGTATAATTCACGACTCATCGGCAGGAAGCCATCCTAGAATTTCCGAATCTCGATCCAACACAACTCCAAACGCCATCAAACCACGTTGCCTGCATATCTCATACTGCATATCTCATCGAAATCGCGTCCTGATCTTAGCTTGGACACTGTTCATCTTGACCAAACCAGGGGTTTACGACGACTTGGGTCGCCCCGGCCTGGCGCCCAGTGAGGTGGTTTCCAGCGAGCTCAGGATCTCCGCGCCAAGAGTGTAGATATTGTAGCTGGGGAAGACAATCCAGAGGCCACTATAGGGTCAGTACCTTGGAAAAAAAAGGAGAAAAAAGAAGGATATTTACTTGGGAATGATCCAGAGAAAGACAAGCGTTGTCAGATCATTATGGCCGATATTGTCAAACCCCGAAAAGAGCTCATTAAGCCCTGAAAAATTTTCATTAGATATATACAATATTGAATCGGTGATTTGAAGAAATGAACGTATCAACGTACAGTAGAGAACGGTCTTGCTCAGAGTCATCACAGAGGCCGTATAGGCAACGAGGAGGGCGATGGCGCCCGTCCGGCCGGAAACGACCTTCTCCTCTCTCAGCAGCCAGAGCAGACCCTTGCCAGCCTTTTTCCCGCCACGACCCCCCGTCCCCACGGAGACACCATGTACATACACCACGTACAGGTAGTAGATGTAGGCGACGTTTTCGGCCAGATTGAGGACGGTCTGCGCGGCGGTGAAGCCGTTGCGTGCGTTGAACGCCGGCCAGCCGTAGATGTAGTCGATGGTGCCGTACAGCGCGTAGGGCGTCCAGATGGGCGAGTGGAACTTCCCTCCGGGCATGCTGTGCGGCCGGAGCAGCACGTAGCCTGCGTCCCATGCGACCAGGGGCACCGAGATCAGCAGCCAGGCTGTCAGAGCGGCGGAGGGTGTGTGTACCCATCTGCTGCTGGCTGTCGACGAGGACGCCCGCGCGACCTCCTTGGAGGCACTGGGGGATGGGAAGTCTTTGGGGTGGTGTCGCGTGGAGACCATACCTAGTATCTAGCAATAAGTGATGGGTTTATAAGGAGGAATATTAGATATATTAGATATATTAGATATAATGCTGAAATTGCTAGGTGGAAGAGTTGTTCTGCTCAAGAACTGAAGGTGACGTCGACGTGAACGCGTGCGACTAATCCAAATGCGGATGGAATGTGTTGTATACACAGTGACACACTCTAGTAACAGGAGATAGTTAATGAACAGTAGCTATTTACATATAGGACAGATTTATTCACCAAGAGACTGTCCTTCGGAGATATTCCAGTCTGTTTTGTTGTTGTGATTTCGAGGGTGCCTGTCTATTCTCGTGGACAACAAAATATTAGCAGACTCTCTCTTCTTCCTTCTCTTCCTCCTCCTCATCCTCCTCCTCTTGCCAGCACGATTTTCCACAGTGCTGGTAGGGGCAGTCCTTACAATGCGCGGATCAGTGAAAATTAAACACACTCTGTTTATCGAGAACTCTCTCCGGCGCTCGAAAAATGGCGAAGGTTAAACACACCATAATCGACAAGTGGCCGTTTCGATTGAAGCTCTGTCCAGGGAGACCAGGAGTTCAAGAAGAGTTTGACCTGCGGATGACCACTGGAGCTTGTGGCAAGAAGCGCTAAGTGGAATGGAAGAAATTCAATGATTCAATTCATGACTTATGATAATGCCATTTGGGTTTTGTATTCAATATCTCATTCTATCGAACTAAAGTCATAACTCAATTTATACTAATATATACTATGTACTGTACTATATACCAATCCGATCAACCGCAGCAGACAGTCGGCTCGTTAGAAACACTGGACAGTTTATCTTCACCGATACTAGTCGAGTCAGTATTTCAGAGAGAGAGAGAGAAAGAGAGATAGAAACATACCCTAGGTTCAGAGTGTCCCATGAGAAGATGAATGAGCCGATGAAGGCGCCGATGAAGATGCAAATGATGATATATCCATTAAAGTACATTGCAAGACTAGTATAGGTGAGTATAGATGTCACAAGCGAATAAATCAGGGAATAAGAAGAACTCACAGCATAATGAAGTAAGCCACAGCAAACTGGCAGAGGTGAAGAAAGGCCCGAACAACCTGTTGGAAGACGGTGGGCGAGACGCGAGCAGAAACACTGCCTCCGGTGCCGTTGTTTGTGGACTGCATCGCCAGCACTCTCTGGCGATGGATTCGTACCAGGAAGCGATCGTACTCCTGTCCTGCTCGACGCAGAAATTCAAGACACATCACCAGCAGGATGATTCCGATGCAGGAGCCGGCAAACATGCCGTGCGATCGGATGTGCCACGAGCTCGAGATGAAGCAGGCGTCGATTGTGTTCCAGTTCCACAGCATCTGAAGATTAGAATAATTGAAACGATTGAAACGATTAAACAGAACTTACTGAGATCTGACAGGTGCTGCTGCCCATGTCCATACTGGACGCTGTGGTTGTTGCAGCAGACATGGCGGAAGAGGTAGCAGTGGCCATGGCCATGCTGGTTGTCGACATATCCATGTCCATTTTATTATAAAAGAAACTGTATGAAATTCTATGAAATTATTTTATAGAATATCCTCTTTCTCTTTCATGGGGATGCATTATTACTATATAGCCCCTGTGGGCTGCTTGGCATTAGAAATTTGCTCATTTATTCTCAGTTGGAGAATGTCCATAGCCAAGCACCAATAACATTGCCTCTATCTAGTAAATATAGTAGATATAGTATAGATAGTATAGATAGTATGACTCTGGTCTGATTGAGGATTTATTTATCTCCCATTCAACTAGAGCTACATCACAACCCCCACTTCTTTGCTGTCAACGTTGGAGTTCTTCCATACCGGAACGAAAGGAAAACCCAGAGTTGTCATGCCAGTAGAGGCAATGCACTCATGTTTCTGCACCGTGGCCCAGGCGAGGTTGATGGCATCGCGAGTGGCGGATGGCCATCTCGTTGCCGACGATGAGGATGCCACTCGCGAAGGAGATCAGACGGAGCAGAGGCTGTAGCCGACGGTGTACGTCTGCGTCATGTAGCCCGTGTACGCCGTGTCCAGGTCATCCACCATCTCGACGTAGTAGTAGAAGTATGTGTCCCACGTGTAGTAGTTGAAGACGATGATCGCTGCCAGACAGCACGCCCCGACGGCGTTGGCGTTCTTCACCAGCTCCCACCGTAGAAAATGGCTTGTCGCGAGGTATCTCCCAAAATGCGGACACGAAGACCGCCAGGAAGAGCAGGAAGCCTGTAGTGCGGACTCAAAGTCTGCGTAGGCGTAGTAGATCGTGTTGGCGCTGATCGAGCTCTGGAGGGCGAGGAGGAAGAAACAGATCCATATCCTAGCAGTACATATTTATTCAGATATAACCAACACACCAAATAGAACTAAACAGATAACCACCGGTACTTACCACTGCGTAGATTGAGTAGACGACAGGGTTGGACCACACCAAGGCGACTGCTTCGGCCTTTTGCATGCCCCGGTGAGCATCTCTGCTGACTTCGGGATGGGGAATCTCCTTTCCGCCCATAGGACTGGGTGAGGACTCGATCTTCAGTGAATAGTGTTGGTTATGTTTGCTGGAATTGTTAACTAGATACTGGATACCATCTACTGTGTACTGTATTGATTTCAATGGATAATTTGCTCAATCCTTCTCGTATTCTAGTCTGCTACCGATCAACGTTATTCATATTATATTCAGCAGGAGTGTAGCAGAAGAAAACACCTCAAACTCTCGCAAGTACCGTCAGTTCTGATCCTGTCATATACGTTCATCGGCTATATAAACCTCTCCTCAACCAGCTGCAGTCTCCATGTCAGGAAAACAACGTAAAACTCCTCCTCCTTCTCTGTATCCAGTCCCGGACGGTTGTCCTGGGCAGAGCTAGGATCAAACGGCTTCAAGATCGGGATCGCAAAATCTTCCTGCTCATCGACTGAGTGAGGAGGAGGTGGAGGAATCTCTGGCTGCTGGTCCGGCGCTGGAACGAAAAACACCCTTCGCCGTGGTAAAATCCCCCGAATCCGCCCCCCGCGTTTCAAGTGTGCCTCCTTTGCCCCGATCCAAGTGTACGCACTCTTCGATTCCGGGTCGGCGACCAGATACAACGACTTGTCCTGCTTCATGGGAAATCTCCACTCCAGAGCCCGCTGGATGATGGCATCTAACTGGTCCTTCTTCCGCATGATCGTCTCGAACTCGATGACCAGTTCCTCCAGACTGGATATGTAGGAGAACCGGTGCCCCCATCCTTTCCCAGCCAGGGCAGAGACAGCCTTACCCATATCGGCAGCGTGCGTTCTTCCAGGCCGGAACGGATCAATGCCCAACGTATCGTTGTTCTCCCAGTACCACCAATCTGTATGGCGGAGGGTGATGGTGAGCTTCTTGGGTGCAATTATGCACTTGCTCGAACCGCTCTCTTCCTCTCCTCCTCCTTCTCCTTCTCCTCCTTCTCCTCCTTCTCCTCCTTCTCCTCCTTCTCCTCCTTCTCCTCCTTCTCCTCCCACCCGCATCCCCTCAAATACTTTAGTCCAATGTTCTTCCAGGAAATACTGCTGCGTGAAGAAATGCAGATGGTACACCGCCGCCCGCTGCTTCGGGCTCATGCTGCTAAAATACGGAACCGGCGACGAAGGGTACTTGATGTGCGGCGGGCCCCGGTAAAACCAGAAGGTATGTTCATTGACAGCTGGCGGGAGGAGCGACGCCTCGGCGTAGATCTGCTGGCATGTTTGTAGGAGAGCGGTGGTGATGCGTTTCGGCTGTTTGAAGCCAGGCCGGTAGAAGAAGGCGTCTCGGCGATAGCGCAGCCTGCTCGAGAGCTCGTCTGTCGCTGTGTCCTCGGACTCGAGGGCAAACTGGTAGATTCGATTGCGGATCTCGGCGGGGAGAAGAGTAAACAAAGGACATGAGGTCTGCGGGGTGGGGAGGGAGAGAGGAGGTTCTTCGTTCATCTTGGGCAATATCGGTGTAATTATATAAATATGTGAATATAAATCAATCCATCCAAGTCAAAGATATATATACTAACCACAGGCTCGGTCTCACTTAAATACAGAGAGGGGTTCAGCTGTACTACCTAGGTAGTAGGTAACTAGCAGCCTCATGATGTTTGGCTGAACTGTCTACCTGGAAGAGTCTCGTATTATTGGATCAGATTTCAAGACACGCAGATTCGATGCATTAGATCACTATTGACGTCCACTGAGGGGTTGTGTTGGTCTGTTGAGAGCAGGTTATTGGGTTGATTATGGAGTGGACAAGGCAGAACAGGCACCATCGCGGAATAGAACAGCCCGTCTATTAGTAAGAGGCAACCAGTATTAACTAGTTAACTATCAGTATTATTATAAAGTCTGATAGTGAATTATTAAATTGGATAATTTATAAGTATATACTGGAGTGATACTATTTATTAGTAGTCTGGAATGAAATACAAGTATTCAACTATTTGTAGGCATTTCAAGCCATAGATATATCACTTATTGCCTACGGAGTATCGCTTACTGTAGTGTAATATCTGTGGAGATAGAATTAAATTAAACCTCGAGGACCCTGAACCAACTGACAGCGCTAAATAATAGTAGTCATCATTATTATAAGCGAGAAAGGCCTCGGAGATAGTTACTTTAGCAGTGTCCATGAGGGATCCCTGAATCCATGGTTCATAATACTACATAATCATCTCATTGATTCCAGTTGTCTAGTCTTACTACTAAGATAACTAGTAGATAACTAGTAACTAGTGAGTTAGAATATATTACTCTGCAGTACTTAATAGCCAACTAGTTATATAGACAAATCTGTATTCCCGATGGAATATTCCGAATATACTCCGTAAGAAGGAGTGTCTCGGGGATTCCGCGGAGATCTCCATGTGGCAGTGCAAATGCAAATGAAAATGCCAGAAAAAGTGAAAAAAGCTTATTTTCTCTGGACAGTATGGATCATGTGACCTCGCCAGTCACGACTCACGACTCACGACTCGCTAGAACCTAGTACTGCTTCTTCCCCTCCTTCTGCTTCATCCTCGTATCGACTTATCAACCATCCAAACATCAAGAGTCGGCTTCTTCAAGCATTGCTGTCGTCACGCCACCCCCAAGGCTAGTAAAGATGCCAGCTGTACTCTTTGCGACTCCACCTACCGGCTTCCCTTGACCTTTCGGCTCTGGAAAGTTGCTGCCTACTGCTCTTGGAAAATGGAGCCGGAGAGCGAACAGAAGGTAGCTTGCGTGACCGTCCTTGTGGTCTTTGGTGTCTGACACGTTCTAGAAGCTGGAACGGCTCGCAAGGGTCCGTGACAATCAACGCAAGAGCCGCGCCAGGAAGCAAGAGTATGTCCGCGAGCTGGAGCAGAAGGTCGCCGCCTGCAACGAGGACGCTCGCCTGAAAGATGTCCAGCACCGCATCGCCGTCCAGGCGCTCGAGGGTGAGAACAGACGGCTCCGGCAGCTCATCGCGTATCTCGGCGTGCACCCTGCTGCCGTGGAGGAGTACGTGAGGACCTCTGACAACCCCGTTGCGAACAAGAAAGTAGCCATTCCCGCGGCTGCTTCCCGATGCGACGCAGGATCTTCGTGCGAGTCGAGTTCGGCTTCGGCTTGCAAGACGCAGCAGCAGCAGCAGCAGCAGCAGCTAGACCCCTGCCTACAATCTGAAGTACCGACTGGCCGGCTCGAACAAGGAGTTCAATTGAATAGCACACGGGACTCTACTAACGGGTCTACCTCCGATATGATGTCTCCGAATACACGGCAGACCTCCATCAGCGAAGTCTCCGGAACACCACCCATGACGGTCACGCCTGATGAGGAAATTTGTGGCTGTTGCAACGATCCTCTCGACGATACCTGGCCCTCTGTTGAAGCCGGTGATCTAAACACTACTCTCTGCTCAGTGGCCGGGGAGTTGCTACGCCAATACAACATCAAGGGAATGGATGTTTGTGAAATCCGTGAAAAACTCTGGGCTGGGTTCAGAAAGGGAACAATTCCCGGCCAAGGATGCCGGGTAGAGAATCAGCTCCTCTTCCAAGTGCTGGATGAGATGAGTAATCTCTGAAGAAAAATACCCATCATCAGACTTATCTTTACATGATCACGCCAGATCGGATCCCCCCCCCCCCGGACTCGGTTTTTTGCGCCATCCCATCTTGAAAACTTCCGGACTACCATTGTCGCCTCTTAACAAACCATCTGACCACATATACCAAGGCCAACAGGACTGGTACCTCGACTAACGGACCGACTGTTGCTGCCAGGGCTTGATCACTTTCCACACCGAATGTAGCGATCGCCACCGCGATCGCCAGCTCGAAATTGTTGCTCGCAGCAGTAAAGCCCTGCGTGCAGGCGAGCTCATACCCAAATCCCAGTCGACGGGCCACCAGAATCGTGAGAAGGAAGACCACTGCGAAGTAGACAACGAGGGGGGCAGCCACCCGGATGACAGATACAATCTGCTGGACGACATGTCGTCCCTGCGAGGCGAATAGCACCAGGATCGTGAACAGGAGTCCGATCAGCGATAGCGGACTGATGAAGGGCAAGAACTTCTTCTGATACCATTCGGAGCCGACCGACGCTCGTAGGCTGAGGCGAGTGACGACCGCTGCACCTAACGGGATCCCAAGGAAGACACCGACGCTCTTTGCGGCCAGCGAGTAGCTGATGTGGATGCCCGCGTCCTCTGAACCATCTATTTCTCGGATGAAGAGAATCATAAACGGCGCGAACAGGACCATCTGCAGTATCGAATTGATCGCGACGAGAATCGCACAGTATTCACCGTCTCCTCCGGCTAAAGCTGTCCAGATGAGCACCTACGATGTGTCAGTTTTGATTTCTCACTGCCATGATGACCGACTGACCATTGCAATGCACCGAGCAATCCCTACGAGGAGGAGGCCTTCTCGTAATCCTCTTTCGTCGGGTAAAAAGGCAAATGCGAGCGCACACTATTGACGTTCACCCATTTATGAGTGAGACAAATAATAAGATCGTCTACCCTGACGACTCACCATGAAGAAGGGCGCCACGATCCAGTTCATGAAGAGACTAAACACGATCTGCACCCATAGCCTTTTCTCGCGGAATGACCGATGCAAAGTCTCAAACCGAACCTTGCAGAGAATCGGGTACATCATTACCAAGAGACCGATAGCTAATCGTGGTCGATGATGTCAATCAATAACTATTCCCCCTGCTCAACCTTCACACGGTGCCTTTGCAACTCCTCACCTATCGGAATGGACACGCCGATTAACTTCCCCCTCTGCAACGCGGCGCTCGTCTGGGGCACGAAGTTCCCCAAGATGATTCCAACCGCCATGGCGAGGAAAATCCATACGGCCAGGAACCGGTCCAAGAGCCCGAGCTGCTGGAAGGCAGATGCGTGCGTGCCGTCATTCTCATTGGGGTGTTGTGCCTTGCACGTTTCGAGATCCGGGTTCGACATGACACGAGTGATGTACTTGATGTAGAGTGCAATTAAATGAATATAAACAATGCATTTGGGTCAGAGAATACTCCGTGGGTATCTCCAAGATACTTTCCTGAGTGATGGAGCGGCAACGAATGGACCAATCAATCCGTACAGATGACATTCTCTCATACTTGGTACCTTGACTTAGGAGGCCTTTAAGTATGGTACTTGCACAACAGGAATAATATTATGTATAGCTTCTAGAAATACTCTATATCATGGATAACTGTTATTCTTGTCCTGTTCTACCCCGTACAAAATAGTCAATACCATTTAGCGCTGGGCAGTACCTACTCCAGCTGTCTGTACGTAGGTCCATATGACTACCTATTCTTCGAATATTGCAATTGGTACCGATATCCCGATTCTTATAGGCTTACCATCTGACCCTTATATCATCCTCTGTATTCCATTTTTAGATATTCAAATCTATAACTAAGACAATACTGGTAAGACTACTCGAATATGAAGCCCCCTCCTCGGCCCGAATCTTCAATCAATTCATTCCGTACACTATCCATCTCTTTGTCCATCATCTCTAGACTAGCATTCTGCTCTACTCGTTCAAAGTCGACTAGTTTGACCCCCTCTTCGCCGACGAGAAAGTTATATCGGTTCGCATCCCCGTGTAAAAACCCCAAAGCGTGGAGTTTCCGCAGGGCTGTTTCACAGACAACTAAATCTTGGAGAGAAGCAGGCCGAGCGTCTACTTTCTCTAATAGAAACCCAATAATGCGTCCGTTCTCGTGGAGATGCCCGAGGAAGCGCGGAGTCAGCCCGGAAGACTCAAGCAGCTGATACGCTCTTGTTTCCCGTTCGATACGAGGAATCTCCCATTCGAAACGAGCGATCTTGGCGATCATGGGGGTTGGGAGAATCGAATGCGAGGCTTCGTAAGCCATGGCCGTGAGTGATTTGCTCTTCTCCACCTCTAAGCAATCAACCAGAGTGTGATGCCATTGACCCTTGACGCCCGCGAGTTTCCGTTTCGAAAGGGATGTCTTCAGGCCGCCCGTTTCTTTGTCTCGTGAGATGTAGGCGACTGTCCATTCATCAGACCAGGGGAGGCCCGGCAGGGACGGAATAGGGAACGAAAGCGTATCTCTATCGAAGGTTTGGGGAGAGATGACAAGATATTTGACTTGGTTGCCGATTCGTACTCGGTATTCACTTTGAAAAGAATCGTCATCGTCCACTTCCATGGACAGGACCACCGGTTGACCGGAAGACATATTTATTTGCCAAGGGACGATATCATAAATGAGCAGCTGATTATTATATATGCTTGAATCTTGCCGCTTTGCCTCTTCTTCCTTTTTTTTTTTTTTAAGAGGAGTGTTGGGAGGTACTTGTATGTCTATTCCAAGAATTCACAGGTTGTTAGGAATGCTCGATCGGCGGTTAGCCAGGTTGATAGTCTATATATAAAGATGTAGCCTCCAATCCTGATTAACTAATGTACTATAAATAAGGTACATATTTAGTTTAAGAGTTGTTTTTTAGCTTGAACTGATGGACCCTCTGGTCTAAGGGCAAAGATTGAAACGGCCTTGTTCAATTGATTCAGCCATATATATGTCGGCCGTAAAAGCAACTTTTTGCTGTAACTAGAGAATTCAAGCAACGTGGAATGGTTATTTTAATCCAGCGCTTACTTAAAGCACTGAAACTCTATGAACCATACTTTCAGAAGACTTTTCTTTGGCTCAGATGTCTTTTCTTTCTAAATTTGGAGGAGGTGGAGGCGACAAATGTATCTCATCCTTGAACACTCAAGCGCTTCCTGAGCCAACAGGAGTCGAGGCAACACCTAGCCTGGCAGATATAAATTGTTCTTAGAGCATCATCTATATAGTAACAGCATTGAATTTCACATTCGAATCTCTTCTTTCATTGTATCAGCAAAGAGTAAACATTCAGAACAGCCTTTCACCACAGCGCCCTTACCACTAGTTATATAAATCGAGGCTCTCTTCTCTACGCCTTTATCGAATATCCGCAAATAAACACGTCATTTAAGTAAAAAGCATTGTAAGGAGAAGATTATCCTCCATATCTAAGCCCCTTTTAACATCGAATACCCTATTAGGTCAAAATGTGCACGTCAAAGTATATCCAATATACCTGTGGTTGCAAGAAGGAGACAGAGTTCATACAGTGCGAAGAGCGCCGGGGAACGAACGTCAGATGCTCCAAAATCAGCAAGGAATTTGGCAAAAATTCGAACAATTACTGTTCAAGGCACCTGGTCAAGCCGGACGCAGAGGTGAAATACACGGACCAGATGGGACAAATTATGGAAGAATAAAGCACAGCGTGTGAGTTGTCGAGCTGTATGGTATATTGGGAAGGCCAGAATATGTCTGCTTTTTTTGTCACTTCGAGGCAGTATGGCTGCAATGCATTAGCAAAGGGATTTCATTTGCTTTCATTCTCTTCTTCGAAAATAGCCTCCGGTTCGAGCAGACACAGGTAACTCGGGTGGCCGGTGGTCACCCTCACCACTCGATTTCCACAGCAGCTGTGCCTGTTCACACCAGCGAAAGTGTTCGAGAAAGCCGTCCTGCGCATATACTTTATCTCGAGCCTCGTATTCCAATCTCGTGCCCTTGACGCTGACGATATCTTTTTCAACAGCAAGTTGACACCCGGCACACGAAATTCCGCGTTCAACCTTGCCAGTTTGTTTATCGTAATATGGCAGCGCACATGACCCCATAAAATTGAATTTCTGATTGCGGTCGAAGTTCTCCGGTTGCTCTTGCACAGGAGCGTGTCTGCAAACCAAGCTAGCCTGGTGAAGAGAAACGAGAGCAACCCGGGCTTTGTATGCAGATTCATTCATCGAATATACCCCAGGCAGGGACCTGAATGTTCTTAGTTGGTTTATTTCATATCGAGTCATCTGGAATTGCTTTCGGAGCGAGGCAAGAGTCCGCACTTGGGTTTCCGGGGAGTTCTTGAGGCATTTGAAACAGCATCGTTTCCAGACTAGGAGGGAGATGAACCCGCCGAATTCGCCGCAAAGAGCGCACGCCTTGGTACATAATGCGTTGTAAAAGTCGAGGAGAGAAATATCTATAGCGAGTCGTGTTCGTAACAAGGCGCAGAAGAGGTTCAGTCCATGCACGACTGCCCTCTGATACTGGCTGAGAGAGTCTACCATGTGTCTTGACCGGCGATTTATCTGTCGGAATCTGAACATAGAATACATATCTAGGCGGTACAAGGTGTCCAACAACAGCTCGAGGGGTAGCCGGTCGAGGGAGCCGAGTCCAACAGTCGCCGACCGCTGGAAGGGGGTTGCTATTGACGGACGAATATTGACGTGTTCACGAGGCGAGAACCAGATGACAGCGAGACAAAAGTCTCTGCGGTGGTAGGCGCTGGTTCTAGCAATGGCGTCGGCTTGGTCTTCTTCGAAGCAGTATTCGGTGGCGGACCGATATCCCGGGGGGATATCCATTCTCGAGTCCACTGTTGTTGGCGTCTAGCGATTGAGTGAAAGGAGAGATGATAGCAAGGATCGCGTCTCTAGCGTACCTCCCTGGACGCTCCTCGGAGCCATTATTATTAGGGGGGAAATATCAACGAGAGAGCACAGCAGATGTATAATCTGTAAAACAAACTCCAACTGTTTGGTAGCGTTGAGGAAACGATGACCGAAGATATATATTGGATACAGCAAAGAAAGACAGTGAAGGGATGAGGGAGCAAAACCATACCGCCTTTTACACCGCCTAACATTTCAGCCTGATTGACGCTAAGCCTGAAGCAGTGAGACTAACTAGAAAGGGCAGATTCTGTGTACGTACTCCGTAGTAGTGACTTTATGTCTTACTGGATGGAAAAAATGTCGGGTGTTGCTTACATGAACTTGAATAGTAGAAGTACGCGGTCAATTCACCCTTATAGAGATCCTAATTTTTAGACTCGAGCTGGTGTATATTGAAGACCACCCGATACTTGGTGGTATCCTTGCTAACTAGTATCTGCAGGTATACAGAGTACCATCTTCGCTCCGCTCAATCCTCTATAATACCTTAATCCGCTGGCAACCGCTACAGATCCACGGCAAAGTGCTCGGTAGTTATGGGTAATTGCGGTAATTTTGGTATTATATAACCACTATATAGTAATCGTTTTTACATACATAACTAGTAGATAGAGAGGAGCATAGACAGGTTAGTGACAATAAGCATTACTAGTGTAAACTTCCATGTCCATCGTAACTTGTGCGGAGTCTCTCCTTTGTAGATGCCATTGATCGGGCAATCTGACTGTAGATCTCTTCCCCGCGGAGTCTCGGCATATGGAAATCTTGGAAGATCACGTCTTCCCGGGGAGGGGAAAGGGGGGAAAGGTGGGCTCATGGTTGAATGAATATCCCGGTCTCCAAAGCCCAGCGTGCTTTATGGATTCGCCTCTGTTTTGCCTCGCTGGAGACACGGCAATTGCGGGGAACAGAGACAGAAAGTGTGTACTATGTATGTGCCATTCACGAGGCGTGTCGTCTCCGATAATTCTCCATCCTGCATATTTACCGCTGGTTAGTATCGCCATGGCATTTGATAGAGTGCTCGCCTGTTCTGTGCTGACTTGGACCCTGGCTGCACTCCGCTCAGATCACCTGCAGGGTGTTGCCAGAATGCACCATCCGGAGAATTCCCCGATACAAGTCTTGAACCGAGATGTGAAATGGTGGAGAGATGAGGAGGAGATCAGTAGATACTGTGTAGTATAGAGAGAGAGAGAGAGAGAGAGAGAGAAAATTAATATGGAGAGAGGAAGTTGCCTAAAGTCATGTGGTCCGGACGGCCCAATTCAGAGAGTCCTCTGAGAGAACTTCATAACAACAAAGAGCAAACAAGAAAGCAACACGGCTGAAGAGAGTGGAGGGCGAAGATCGTGGATCCACACAGAACCAGGTGAGTGCCAAAGTCTGAATAATTATAGAAATACAGAGTCGTACATAGTAACATACAATAATTGTACCGAACAGGACCCCCTCATCGACTGTCGATCAACATGCCTGGGTCTCTCGCGTCCGGATTTAAATACCAGCCTCGCGCCCCTTTCATCGCGAGGGAGTTTCCTGATCCATCCGATAGTCTGCCCTCCTGATCTGTCTATCAATTCTCAGTCGATCGATTGCCAGTCATGAAGCTTGGGTGGCTTGAGATTGCGGTGGCCTTGGCTGCCACCGCCAGTGCTGAGGTAGTGATTGGATTGTCAACTCGTTATTTGGCGATATTCGGGGATGAGCGACTGACGAGGACAGGCATTGTCTTATTCACCCCCCTACTACCCGTCGCCATGGTCGGATGGCAGTGGTGACTGGGCAGAGGCGTACCAGCGAGCTGTTGAGCTCGTCTCCAGTCTCACGCTGGCCGAGAAGGTCAATCTCACGACTGGAACCGGGTAGGTTGAATGGCCGAATTGGGGAGAGAGAGAAATTGACGGAAATCTGCAGGTGGGAGCTTGACATGTGCCTTGGTCAGACTGGTGGTGTGCCCAGGTGAGTGGAGTGAGACATCATCACGTCATAAACATCTGATTGTCCAAGTCAACGAATTGACATGCGCTAGAATCGGATTGCCGGGAATGTGCATGCAGGACTCGCCGGTTGGTATTCGAGACAGTAAGCTTTTTTTTAAATTCTCCTGCTGGTACTTCTCTAACTGATCTGTCCTAGGCGACTACAACTCGGCATTCCCCGCGGGTGTAAACGTCGCAGCGACATGGGATCGGAGTCTTGCATACTTGCGGGGACAGGCTATGGGCCAGGAGCATCTGGGAAAGGGTGTGGACGTGCAGCTGGGACCCGTGGCCGGCCCTCTGGGTCGCTCGCCCGACGATGGTAGAATCTGGGAGGGTTACTCGCCCGACCCATCGCTGACGGGCACGCTGATGGCCGAGACTATCAAGGGCATTCAGGACCAGGGTGTGATCGCGTGCGCGAAACACTTCATCGGCTACGAACAGGAGCACTTCCGCCAGGCGTCAGAGGCCCAGGGTTACGGATACAACATTACCGAGAGCTACAGCTCCAACATCGATGACAAGACCATGCACGAGCTGTACGTGTGGCCGTTCGCCGACGCTGTCCGTGCCGGGGTTGGCTCCGTCATGTGCTCCTACAACCAGATCAACAACAGCTATGGCTGCTCTAACAGCTACATGCTCAACAAGATTCTCAAGGCCGAGCTCAACTTCCAGGGCTTTGTCATGAGCGACTGGGCTGCCCACCACAGCGGGGTGGGCGATGCCCTGGCCGGTCTCGACATGTCCATGCCTGGCGATATCGCCTTCGATAGCGGCACCAGCTTCTGGGGTGCCAACCTGACCGTCGCCGTCCTCAACGGAACCATCCCCGAGTGGCGCGTCGACGACATGGCCGTCCGTATCATGGCTGCCTACTATAAGGTTGGGCGGGACCGTGTCCGCACTCCGCCCAACTTCAGCTCCTGGACCCGCGATGAGTACAGCTACCTGCATTATGTTGTCGAAGACGGCTGGGGCCTGGTCAACAAGCGGGTTGATGTGCGCGCCGACCACGCTTCGATCATTCGCGAGATTGGCTCCGCCAGCATCGTTCTGCTCAAAAACGAAGGTGCCCTGCCGCTGACTGGCCAGGAACGCTTCGTCGCAATCCTGGGCGAAGATGCCGGGTCCAACGCCAACGGCGCCAACGGCTGCAGTGACCGTGGCTGTGACAATGGCACTCTGGCCATGGGCTGGGGCAGTGGCACTGCCAACTTTCCCTATCTGATCACCCCGGAGCAGGCCCTCCAGCACGAGGTCATTTCGAACGGCGGGATGGTCTTTGCTGTCACTGATAGCTGGAACATTGCCGAGGTCGAAGCCATGGCGTCTCAAGCAAGGTAGGATCGCTCCCTATATCCCTCCCCCCACTATTGGCTTCTTTACTGAGACTATTTGTTTAGTGTCTCCCTTGTCTTTGTCAACGCCGACTCTGGAGAAGGTTATATCGATGTCGACGGTAACCTGGGCGATCGGAACAACATCACCCTCTGGGGCAACGGGGATGAACTGATCCAGGCGGCGGCAGCTAACTGCAACAACACCATCGTCGTTCTACACACCGTTGGAGCAGTGACCGTCGACGAGTGGTATGATAACCCCAATGTGACCGCCATCCTCTGGGCTGGTCTTCCAGGCCAGGAGAGCGGCAACTCGCTGGCCGACGTGCTCTACGGCCGGGTCAATCCGGGGGGTAAGACGCCATTCACCTGGGGCAAGGACCGAGCGAGCTACGGTGCTTCCCTGCTCACAGAACCCAACAATGGCGACCAGGCGCCGCAGATTGATTACACCGAGGGGGTGTTCATCGACTACCGCCGCTTCGACAAGTACAACGAGACTCCGATCTACGAGTTCGGCTATGGGCTCAGCTACACGACCTTCAACTACTCCGACATCTCGGTGACGGCACTAAACGCCTCGGCTTATGTGCCGGCCTCTGGTCTGACGGAAGCAGCCCCCTCGTTTGGCCAGCCGGGCAACGCGTCGGAGTATCTGTTCCCCAGCGACATCAACCCAGTCAACCTATACATCTACCCTTGGCTCAACTCAACCAATCTGCAAGCCGCCTCCCAGGACCCAGAATATGGCCTCAACGCCTCCGAATATATCCCCGCGGGGGCTACGGACGGCTCCGCCCAGCCTGTACTCCCTGCCGGCGGTGCCCCGGGGGGTAACCCGGGTCTGTACGACGAGCTGTTTGCCGTCACTGTGACCATCGCCAACACAGGCTCAGTCGTGGGAGATGAGATTCCCCAACTGGTATGTATCATCTTCCATTCCTGTCGATTGAGATTATTTACTATTTCTATCGATTGAGCTCAATTCCCGTGCTTGTCGCTAAACATTATAGTACGTCTCTCTCGGCGCCCCCGAAGACCCGAAGATCGTGCTCCGCAACTTTGACCGGATCACGATCCAGCCAGGCGAAAAGGCAGTCTGGAGGGCCACCCTGACACGCCGCGACCTCTCCAGCTGGGACGTCGCCGCGCAGGACTGGGTGATCAGTCCGTATACCAAGACGGTGTATGTGGGCGCCTCGTCGCGCAAGTTGTACCTGCAGGCCACGCTGCCGTCAGTCAACTGATCTGTATATAATTGGTACCTAGCTCTATAGCTTTTCTCTTCTAAATATAATTTTTTTCTATATTATTTTGCAGTAAATTGTATGTTTGTTACAAAAGGCGTCTTGGCACGACGTCATGTCCGAATCTTCATCTGTTGTCTTCTTCCCTGCTTGAACTTCACTTCTTCCCTTCTTCCTCTAGACTAGACTATTACTTCGTTACTTATTAAATAATTAGGGATTCCCTGCATATTTGTACTATACATCAAGCCTCTGGCTTTTTTTTTCTTCTTCCCCCCCCCCAATGTCCTCTCCACCAAGGGGTTCAACACCCACGACGATGAGCTCGATCGTTCGCTCCTCGCTGCCTCCTCCGACCATATCTCTACTGATATACCCATGTACCCTGATTCTGGGATCTATATTCTCCGTGATTTCGCCGACAGCAGCGGGCTTCCATGCGTTCGAGACCGACATGAATCCCTCGGCCGCCCCCCCACCGCCGCCAAACTACTTCGCCCGGAAAAACAATGTGTTCAATGTCTATTTCGTCAAGGTGGGATGGTTATGGACGACACTAGCGTTTGTCTCGCTGCTGCTCGTGCAGTACGTGTTGGTCAAACCGGTGGCCCAGCGTTCGAGGCGCGTCGGCCAGGCGATCGCGCGCTACTCCCTCGCCACGCTGGTCTGGTACCTTACCACGCAATGGTTTTTTGGGCCTGCGATCATCGATCGAGGGTTCGTGATTACAGGCGGGAAATGCAACGTGTCTGTTGCTCGGCAACAATACCAACATGATCATGAAGGAGGGCATGGACCGATCAGGGAGCTCGAGCACCTCTTTACGGCGGCGGCGTGCAAGGCGGCCGGGGGATCGTGGAGCGGCGGCCATGATGTGAGCGGGCATGTGTTTATGCTGGTCCTCGCGACGGCGATGTTGTCGTTTGAGATGTGGGGGGTCTATGCTTCGGAAGAGAAGGAGAAGGCAACGGACGGCAGTGCGAAGGGCGGCAATGGCAGCAGCAGCGCTCTACGCGTCTGGCCTGCGCGGTTCGTATGGGGTGTTGTCGGGCTGAGCTGGTGGATGCTTTTCATGACGGCCATTTGGTTCCATACCTGGCTGGAGAAGGTGAGAATCCTACTTTTTTTTTTATTTTTTTTCCTTCTTCACGCTGTTTTATCTATCTGGCAACCTACTAACTACCTAGTGGTCTGGCTTGTCGATTGCCCTGGGAACTGTCTATGTGATATATATCCTCCCCCGGACCGCTTCGGCGTGGAGAGAGATCATCGGAATTCCTGGTTTTTAATGTACATATGACAATAGATCTTCTAATGACCCGGTTCTGGTCCCAGATACCCCGATCGAAAGGCTGTCCATTAGCTGTGCCTTGCACAATGATAAGGGATCTAAAAAAGGCGACAAAAACTTACCCCCCGGAATCAACGCCGACGCAAACATCACCTTGGTGATCGGCCGCAGGTCATCCGGCATGGAGTCCTTGGCCATCGAGATTTCCATGTACGGGGTCCACGAGGCGAGGATTGCATCGGCGTATACCTTGAGGTCGACTGCGTGTTCCTTGTCCGTTGCCTGCTCGGCATGGCACTGGATGCCAACGCAGGTGCCGAACTCACGGAAGGCAAGCCGGTGCTTGATGTTGCGGTTGAGATAGTTGTTGACCTCGAAAAGGGAGTCTACAGGTCAGCGTGAACAGTGTAAGTGAACAAAAGTTCAGATAAGACTTACAAATCTGTTGGAAACACTTCCCCGCTAGATTCGCCGCCCACGGCTCTCCAGCATACCAGTGCGCCGTCCACAGCGTCATCCCCAAATCCAACGGGTCACTGGAGACAAAGTGCTCGCCCTTGCGTGCCATGATGCGCTGGTAATCCGCGATTTCGTCGACAAGCACTCGACCCTGAGTCTCACTTTCCTCTCCACTCTTCGCAGTCCCCTCCGCTGCATCCTGCAACAGTCGAAACACCACATACCCATCGATAGGATCCAGGTTCCCCTCCGAGGCAACCAGCGGGTTCGAAAGATCGACGTCCATCTTCCAGACGAGTCGCGGGCGTGACGAGGCCTGACTGCCCCCGAAGAAAAACTTCGGATGGATTGCTTTTGCCAAAGCAACAGCCTGCGCATTGTACTTCGGTTCCCCCGCCGCCAGCGCCAGTCGATTCAACGCAAACATCCATATCGTCAGGTAATGATGGTACTGGCCGTCTCCGTCCGGGCCTGTCGCGTCCAGCTTGCCGATGCGCAAGCCTCCGCCGAGAGGATTCGCATCCGACGCACCGGGTAGGCGTGCAGAACCGTCGCGTGTGCGACCTAGTGTTTCGTGGACGGCGTGGACAAGCTGTTTCGCCAGAACCAGATATCGATCTGATCCTGTAGTTGCTTGTGCTGTAGCAGCAGCAGCAGCAGCAGCCCCCTTCTCTTTATGCATTGTCAACAGGTTGAGAACCCCAAAAGCATCGGTCCACAGGTATCGTCCGCGGTGTCCGCCAGAGGCAGCTGGTGGCGTCCAGGTGTGCGGATCAACGGTCGTGAGGCTGCCATAGATGGATTCCATTGCTGCCGTGAAGCGGTCGAGACGGGAGAGTGCTGCCATTCTGCTCCAGTAGATAATACCTGTTGGCGTTTATAATACGAAAAAAATATAGGTTTCTTATGCAGAGATCGTAGGATGTAGACGACCATGCTGTCATGATGATTTGGGTTACGAGGGATGATCTCATTGCCACCGACTGAACCTAGAAGTATTTTATTTAGCAGTGGAGAGATGATATGCTATGGAAATTGTATAAATCTATTGCCTGTTAGTGCGAATTCTATGAACTTATTTAAATCGAACATGTCGTCGCTCCAGCAACTGTTGACGGCCGCGGCGCAGCCTTTGCCGCCCATCGCGTCGGCGGACTTTGCGGCCCAATTCGACCGTTTCGGCGATTACCAGGTCGTGCTGCTAGGCGACGGTAGCCATGGGACGTCTGAGTTCTATGCGGCACGGGCAGAGATCACAAAGCGGCTGATCGAGCAGCACGGCTTCACGATGGTGGCCGTCGAGGCTGACTGGCCAGATGCGGAGGCCATCGACCGCTACGTGCGGCATCGCCCGGGTCCCAAGGCACACATCGGAGGAAAAGCCGGCCGTTTCGAGCCGTTCAAACGGTTTCCGACATGGATGTGGCGTAACCGCGAGATGCAGGAGCTGGCCGAGTGGATGCGCGAGTACAACGCCCGCCAGCCGGCGGAGAAGCGCGCCGGATTCTACGGGCTGGACCTGTACAGCATGGGTGCGTCGATCCGCGCCGTTATCGACTACCTCGACCGTGTTGATCCGGAGGCCGGCAAGCTGGCTCGCCGCCGGTACGGTTGCCTAGAGCCCTGGGTGGAGGACCCAGCCTCGTACGGGCTGGCCTCACTGCGCGGGATGGAAAATTGTGAGACCCGCGTGCTGCACATGCTGCAGGACCTGCTCGCGAAGCGGATGGAGTACCCCCGCCACGACGCGCACGACGGTGAAGAGTTCCATAGTGGCGAGCAGAACGCCCATGTGGTCCGCGATGCCGAGCAGTACTACAAGGCCATGTACTACAGCTCGGCCTCGTCTTGGACGCTGCGTGACACGCACATGTTCGAGACGCTGCGTCGGATCTTCCAGCACAAGCCAGCGGGCTCCAAGGCCGTCGTCTGGGCGCACAACTCGCACTGCGGTGACGCCCGAGCCACCAGCATGGGAACCCGCCGCAACGAGGTCAACATCGGCCAGCTGTGCCGTGAGGGATTCGGTCGCGACAACGTTGCCATCATCGGCTGCGGAACACACACGGGCACCGTCGCCGCTGCCCACGAGTGGGACGAAGACATGCAAGTTATGTCCGTCAACCCCTCGCGCAGCGACAGCTGGGAGATCCTCGCCCACAACACGGGCATCCCCCGGTTCCTGCTCGACCTGCGAAAGGACCGGCTGGATCCCACGCTGCGCTCTGCGCTCGCCGCGGAAAAGAACCGCCTCGAGCGCTTCATCGGCGTCATCTACCGACCGGACTCAGAACGCGTCTCCCACTATTCGCAGGCTTTCCTTCACAACCAGTTCGACGCGTACGTCTGGTTCGACCGTACCGAGGCCGTCAAACCCCTCGAGGTCATCCAGCCAGCCACGCCACTTGGAGCCGGGGAGACATATCCATTTGGACTCTAGTTTCCAATGGAATCATCACGTCCAATCAATATTGATAGAATTTCTTCTCGGTTAAGGTGGGGTGATCTGGTTTGATCTGAAGACTGACGTCTAAGCTTGGCACACCCACACACATAATTAGTATAACAGTTCAAGAATGCGAGAGTAGACTTAGAGTTAGAATAGAAACCCCGATCATCAACTCTTCATCCTGTTCATTCTGCAGTATTCGCTGTAAGGGCGCTCTGTTGTGGGTGACCGACGCGAGCTCCTGACGTCAAGCGGTTTGTTTACTTTGCCCGTTTTGTTTACGCCTCACTTTGCCGCCTTTTCCTCCCAGCTCCATCCCTTCGTTGATGCCTTGGAACCCCCCAAGAACCCTCCCCAAACGGACTTCGATAGTTTTAATTCCAGGAGAAACAAAAACAGCTGTCTCTGTACCCGCTTTGAATCGATCGAGATGGCGGTTCGCCGCTCTGCCCGTTTGAGGGGCCGCCAGACGTCCGCCGAGGTGAGTTTTCAACGCCCCCGTCCAAAGGAGCAGGACTTGCGTTGGCAGGAGTTGCTGAACGAAATTCTTCTCGTGTAGGTAGAGGAACCGATTTCTTACCCTCAAGTTGCCGATAAGTTATCGTCCGTCGTGGAGCGCGAGGAGACCCCGGATATCAAGCCACAGCCTCAGGCGAATCCCCCCAACACCACTACTCCCGTTTTCACTCCCGTGAAATCATTCCTTCCGATGAAAAAGACTCCTAAGACTGCCGAAAGGAAGGACTTCGCGGTCAAGACGCCTACCACGGCCTTTGCGGTGCGTCCTCCACGCGAGGAGATGCACCCAAGCAAGGTCCACCAGAGCACCACCAAGCAGGCGGATTCGGGTCTGATTCTGGGCTTCAACCCGGTGAAGAGGGATGCTAAGGGAAATGTGATCAAGGAGAGTGTGATGCAAAACACCCCATCGAAATTAAAAGCGTCTCCTTCTAGCCAGATGGGCACTCCAGGCTTCGAGTTCAAGTTTTCCTGCCACGAGTCTCAGCTGAGTGATGAGGCGAAGAAACTCATGGACACGGTCCGCGAGGATGCCGCCCGCATCAAAGCTCAGATGGTTCAAGACAAGACTAAGCACGCTCGCCAGGAAGCTGAGGAGGAAAATCTACAAGGCGATCGCCTCATCGCCAAACCGAAGGGCAAGGTAGGCCGGTTCAGTGACGTGCACATGGCCGAGTTCAAGAAGATGGACTCTATCGCGGGACACGCGTCGGCGTACAGAGCTGCACCGGGCCGCTTCCAGCCCGTCACCAAGTCGCTTAAGAGGACTAATTCCAAAGCGCGTCTGGACGAGCCGGAGTCCTCCCGCAATAACGAAAAGAGCCTTTCCACGACGCCCTCCAAGTCGCCCTCGAAGCTGCCAGCGCCTGCATTCGAATCAGCCGCCAGCGTGAAGCGTGTCAAGCACTCGGCCGCTGAAGATACTTCGACTGGTCGCCCTTCATCGCGTGATGGCAAGACCGCTACTCCAGGCGCAAACCTGGCCCTTCCACGCCCCCGTCCTTCGATGAGGCCTTCCCTGATGACCCCCACCAAGTCCTCGATGGCGCGTTTCTCAAGCGCCCGGCCCATCAGAACTTCCATGATTCCTTCTCTGACACAGTCCCCGGGCTCCAAGGCGATTGCGGCTCCGCACACCCCCAAGACCGAGTTCAACCCCAGACTCAAGAGCAAGGTTCCTACTCTCAATAATCTCAAGTCCATTTTGCGTCGTCACCAGCCTCTTTTCTCCAAAGATCCAGCCAAGATCGCTGCCGGTACACACGTGGCCGACCCTGATTTCACCTTCGATATGTTGGTGAAAACATCCCGCCCTGACGACGACGCTGCTCAGACGCCTTCTCCCAAGAAGCGTGTCGAGTTCACCCCCATCGTCAAGTCGTCGCATCTTGAAGTCGCCCAGGCGTCTCCCTCACCTTCGAAGATCCCCACTGCCAGGACGCCCATGGACGTCGTTTACCCTACTCTCCCGACCCTGACCCCCGAGAAGGATGCTGTTATAACCAAGTCGAACACCGCAAGCATCCGTAAGGTCCGACCCTCGGTGGCTGCCGAGAAGCCTGCTGCCGAGAAGCGAAGCGTTGAGAAGTCAGCCGTCGAGAAGTTTACCCTTGAGAAACCGCTCCCTGCGTTGCCTGATTTCCCCGCCGTCCCTCATGGCCTTGCCAACAAGAACACTGCCCGTCGGGGAACCACCGAAGAGACCCAGCCCTTGGAGCAACAACAGAAGCGCTCGGTCTCTCTTTCGAACTTTCCTGCCGTCCCCCATGGGATCATCAACAAGATGAGAGCCCGCCTGGAAGGTGAAAAGGCGCGGTCTGCCTCCGGCACGCACACAGACCTGGCCTCGATGCCCAAGTTCCCCGCCGTCCCCCACGGGATCATCAACAAGAAGAGAGCTCGCCAGGAGACCGATGACACCCCGGACGCCGAGAATGTTCCTCCCGCTACTGCCGTGGAGCTGACTCCCGATGGCCGCAGTGCCAAGCGGATGAAGATGAGCGTGCCATCGCCCATCAAAGATGTGCCAACCCCCAGCCCTGTCAAGGTCATTCGGTCCATGACCCCCGGTCGGTCCCGTCTTCAGGGAACTCCCACCAGGGGCGGGACCCCAGGCAGCGCTCGGGCGAAGGGCAAGAACGTTCTCACCCTCAGCCGCCTGAACATGCTCTCCAAGCCGAAGAACCGTTCCTAGACGGACAACCAACCACCACCCCCTTTTTTCTTTTCCATTCAACCTTTGTTTCCATCTCTCTATGAAGATTGGGATCGCAGTGTATTGGAATGTCTGTTCTTCTACTACATATTACACCTCCCCCCCGTCACGGGCGACGACTAGATGTTGGAGCCGCATGTATCTAATAGGTCTCTTCTTTTCTTCTTTCCCTTATTCCCTCAATATTTGAGATCTCACGGCGCCAAGGCATCCGGGTGTGCTGGTCATGTTTTTTCTTTTTATTTTGTACCTGTGTCAAATGGCGTTTGGATGTCTAATGAAAGTCACGATTCTACCACGTATCTCTCTCTCTTTTTTCTTTACATTTGTAGAAGATTGAAAAATGATTAGGGTCTACATATTAGCATTAATCTATGCAGAGCCATAGAAGCACATCTCATCAATCGTGTCTTTCGCTGAACTGAGATCAAAATCGAGGATCAGACAAGGGGGTAGGTAGGATGGTATATGCAATCAAGGCGTAGGGGAATAATAAAAGAGAAAGAGAAAGGAGGAAAAAAAAAAGAGATAAATGAGATAGGGTAAGAATACAAGGGGTTAACGTAACAGGGTTGATTTTTCGAGGCGTACGTGAGGAAGGGTATAAGAGGTAGAGGGAGAGAGGGAGGGAGGGAGGGGGAATTGATTATCCCTTCATGGATTCCAGGAAAGAGTCGAGGTTATACTCCTCCTGGTACTGCCGGTCGTCCCAGAGCTCGCCGAGATCATCGAGCCAGCCCTTCTTGCCCTTTTCTTTGACCTCGCCGTCAATGTCGACCATGTCGACCTCGTTGCCGGCGACGTGGTCGGTGGGTTTCTCTGCCCCTTCGGCCGTCTCGCCCAGGTTGAAGAGATCCAGAAGCTGGTCGGTGTCCATGGTGCCGAGGCCGGCGTTCTGCTGATTGACCACCGTGGAGGCAACGTCGATCTTGAACCGTTGTAGACTGTTTCGTTAGTTCATCATAAAAAAGAAGAAGAAAAAAAAAAAGAGAAACCGATCCATGAGAAGAGGGGGGGACCTACTTTAAGATCTTCTCCTCCAGCGTTCCCCGAGTGATCAACCGGTAGACGTTGACAACCTTCTTCTGACCGATTCGATGCGCGCGATCCATGGCCTGGATGTCCTTCTGCGGGTTCCAGTCGTGTTCGACAAAGATGACGGTGTCTGCACCCGTGAGGTTCAGCCCCAACCCACCCACACTGGTAGTCAGGAGGAGGACATCGTAGCTGGGGTCGGTGTTGAATCTGTTGACGATGTCTTGGCGACGAGTGGCTTCCACGCTGCCGTCGAGCCGGAGGTACTGCACCGAGGGGAGAAGCTTCTTGAGCACATCATTCTGTACGATGTCCAGCATCTCCTTCATCTGGCAGAAGACCAGGGCGCGATGCGGGCTGACGTAGCTGGCGCCCGTGTCCAGCTCGCCCTCCGCCGAGCGATCGGCGCCAATGCCGCAGTCGAGAAGCAGGTCGCGGAGCGCCGTCAGTTTGGGCGCATGCGACACGTCGCGGATATTCGACTGTTTGTTGTGCAGGTACGTCTGCACCTCGTTATACTGCTTGTGGCCCTCCTTGACGACCAGGGCGGGGGAGTTGCACAGCCGGCGCATATACTGCAGCGCCTGGAAGATGTGCTCCTTGTCGGACTTTTCGGTGCTGCCCACCTTTTCTGCCAGCTCCTTCTGTTCCTTCTTGGTGAAGTCTTCAAAGAGCTTCTTCTGCAGCTCGCTCGGATCGCAGTAATAGTTCTGGATGATCTTTGGCGGCAGATCGTTCAAGACTTCTTCCTTGAGACGGCGCAGCAGGAAGGGGAGCACCTGTTTGTGGAGGGCCTCAATGGCCAACGCCCCGGCCTCCTGTTCCTTGGAGGACGACTTGCTAAACCGGCTGGCGGCGATCGGTTTGGCGAACCGATCGAGGAAGACCTTCTCCGTCCCGAGGAAACCGGGCATGAGGAAATCGAAGAGCGACCACAGCTCCAGCACGTTGTTCTGGATCGGAGTTCCCGACAGGATCAACCGATGATTGCTCACCAGGCGCTTCACGGCCATGGTGATCTTGGCCTTGGGGTTCTTGATGAGGTGGCCTTCGTCCAGCACGCAGTAGTTCCAGCTGATCGGGCTCAGGACAGCGGCATCGTTGCGACAGATATCGTACGAGGTGATGACGATATCAGCACTCTCCAGTCTCGCCTGCTTGGCGGAGCGTTCGGCGGGGGGTCCGACGTAGGTGACACAAGAGAGGAAGGGGGCGTACTGCTTGATCTCTTGCTCCCAATGACCCGACAGGGAGGGCGGGCAGACAATGAGAGACGGGAGCTTCCTGACCTCGGGAGCTTGAGATTTGGCAAACTCCTCGGCTCGAATGTGATGGTCGCTTGCCACGATGCAGATGGTCTGTAGAGTCTTCCCGAGACCCATGTCATCACAAAGAATGCCGTGCAGGTTGTATCGGTTGAGGAAGGCCAGCCAGTTGACCCCATCCTGCTGGTACGGACGGAGCTCCGCCTTGATGGTGACGGGGATGTCAAACGCCTCCACCTTCCGGGCGTCGAGCATCTGCGACATGAACTTTCGTTCCCGGTCTCGACCCTTGAGCAACTCCTCCGAGAGGCCCGGGGGGTCGGGAATGCCGGCCTCAAGAGGCACGAGCTTGACGAGAGTGGCAAAGGAAGTCGTGGCGAGGAGGCGGATATCATTGTCTGAATCACTCATCCGTCCGAGCACGGGGACGACCAGGAAAATCACATAGGGTAGTATGCCATCCTCCATCACGTGGATGAGATGGTAGATGCACTCGATTGCTCCCTGGCGGTGATGGACGTCCAGGGCATTGTTGATGGTCGGGAGAACCTTTTCGACCAGCATCGTCATACCTTCCACCGAGATGACGCTACAGAGCGTGGCGAAGCACTTGGCAGCCGCATATCGGATGACCGACAGTTGACACTGCAGCGCTTTGGCGATGATGGGCATGAGGTTGATCACCCATGGATAGAGACCAGAGTGAAACCGGGGCAACAGGGCACGCAGCGTCGAGAGTCCATCCACGATCTCCTGGCCAAGCTCATTCTCTGGGTCGTAGATACTCGTCGGCAGATCGCCGGTGAGTGCGTCGCGCAGGGGTCGTTCGATCAGGCTCGCCAGGTTGGGGACCTTATCCAGCAGCTCCGCACCGAAGCGGACCGCCAGTTGCTCGAGGGCATCCTTTGCGCCTCTGCGCATGATTCGGGCTTCTTTGGCCTCCCGTTCAAACTTGGCGGCATCCGGGTGGTCACGTCGATCTTCTTCCTTGCGTAGGGACAGGATTGATTTCTCGAGACTGACATTGTGGTGAAACTCGGGGGTTTCGGACGTGTCCACGCAGCAGTATTTCACCAGGTTGCCGATGATCTTGTCCACCGGGCCACGTTTGGCGGCGGTGGTGTAGTAAGCCACCAGGGAGGCGACCGCAGTGGCGGAGCGCTGCTGTAGCTCGACGTTCTCTTCCTTCTTGATGCTATCCATCATGCCCTTGATGATATGGCCGGGCTTCTTGGGAATGTCCTGCAGAGCAACGAGGGCTCCCGCGGCTGCGGCTCGAATGCGCATGTCCCGTTGCTCGCGGATGTTCTTGGCTTCCTCGATTGCCGATTCCGCAGTGGCGCGCGTATCCTTCAAGACCTGGATGGCAGTGATGCGCTGGGCCGGCGTCAAGCTCTTCTTCAACCGTTCAAAGTCCGCACCGATCACCTTTTCGGCATCGGCCAGGGAGAAGGCGTTGGGACCAGCTTCCGGGTCACCCTGGACAACCACGGCCAGAACCGGCAACCGGGAGCCGGGCACATGAGCATGGTCTCGGAAGGTGTTGAGCAGAGAGTGACACTGTGCGCGAGCAACATGGAGGTAACAGGCCACGTCACTGTACCAGGCCGGCCGGTCGGACTCGATGATGGGCCGCAGACGGTCACACAGAGACGCAACGTACTTGCTCTCCGGACCCGATATTTTGGCGTACTCTTCCACCACCATGGTGGCCGACAGCTGGGAAGTGGATGCCGGGAACCGGAGTCCCTCGACGATGGAGTCCCACATACTGGGCAGGTCATGCCGATCCCAAACGGCCAACAGCTGACCCAAGGCCTTCGCGGCGTAGATCTTGGACCGGAGCATCGTATCGGCACCTACAAGATCGATGTCACCCTGGAGCATATGGCCGTCCACATTATGTGATGAAGGAGAAGCTGGCGCCTCCTTCTTTTCAGACTTGCGCCGACGCCCCTTGACCGGTTCGGGGCCAGCAGCGGCCGCTGGGGAGGACCGGGCTGGAGCAGCGGTCGCCTGCGAGTAGGGAACGCCGGATGGTTTGATGAAAAGCGAGGCATTCATGGGGATCGGGTACCTGGGGACACCAAACGGGCCCAGACTCAATGCGACGAGGGGTTGGATCTGGGTTGAGAATTCCGCTTCCGACTGGAAGAAACGACGCTGCTGCAGGCCTTTGAGCAATTCCGCCCAAACCTGGAGAGACAACTTGAGTACGCCCTCGTTGCGCTCGACCAGCAAGTTCTGAAAGATCAGACGCATGGCCTTCCCATCGACCCAATGGTTCGTGCCTTCGCCTTCCAGTTGCAAGAAGGTCATGAGGGCGCGGAGAACGGCGGAGCGGACGCTGGTGATGGTGTGTCGCAGGAAGGGATAGAGACGGGGGACCAGCTTCTCAAAGGAGGACTCGGGATCATGGGCCGCATTGGCCTTCATGGCATCGAGGACCTCTTGGAATGTGCACAGCTTGGCGAGGAGATCCATGACGGACCCGGTACTCGCGCTCAGGTCATCTTGCAGGTTCGAGAGGCAGTCCCACACGATATTCATCAGGAGACTGAGGGTACCCTGGCGCGAAGTGACAAACTCCTCGGCGATGGGGATGAGGGTTGCCGCACTGACGGCACGGACATCGTCATCGTAGTCGCCCAAACCCTTCATGACGGCTTCCAGGACGCCGTCCATGAGCTTCGTGTCCTTGATGAGGAGGTCTTTGCGAACGGCGACCAGGTAGCGCAGCCCAATCATGCCACCGTGACAGACCTCCCAGACTGGACGATCCAGGGCCAGATCCGCTTGCATGATGATGCGGTGGAGGATGCGATAGACCGAAATGACGGATCTCGAGGGTAGATGGGACAGCAGGGCACCCAAGGTCTGACCCACCGTCTCGCGGATGGGGGCCACGACGTTGTCGGAGATGTAGTCGCCGAAGCGATCGAGCATGAAGACGCAGAGCAATCGACAGGCGAGGTCGTCGAGCCACTTGCGATTGAGAGCGTTGTTCTCGGCTCGGCTCTTGCCCTGGAGACGACCGGCTCCGGCGCCTTGGACGCGGATGACCTCGCGCAGGGCCATGGCGGCGCCGTGACGGATCTCCCAGTTGGGATCGAACAGATCGACCTGCAGGAACTCGCACATGTGTTCGTACGGCCAGCAGAGTCCGTGCTCATCGACCTCCGGTTGGATGATGGGCTTCTCGGGGGCGATGGGGCCCTTGAACTCGGACACGATCTTGGAGTCATCGTCGCCCCCCGAGCGGTCGAGCGAAAAATAATCCGGTTTGGTGTCGCCGTTGGCTTCTTCGCCGTTTTCCTCCGTCTTGACCGGGTGCGGTGTCGCTATCGAGGGCGAGGCAGCCACCATCTCTGAGGGACGGCGCGAGGAAGACGACAAGTCGACCACGCGGACTTTGCTGGCGCCTAATTTGGCGTGCTGCTTATTCTTGCGCTTGAGCTGATTGAGCTGTCGCTTACTGAGACCCGCCTCCTCCCCGTTGTTGGGGTGTGGTTCACTCGGCGACATGACGCCTGCCGGGGGGGCACGCAAGGCTTTATCCCGCACCAAAACCGAGGGCAAGGACTCTTCAGGGGCGGGGGGGGGGAGTGAGAGCTTCAGGACGGGCTCGGCGTCGGCCGATGGCTCGTCATCGAGGTAATTCAGCGCCAGACCCAAGCGAGGGTAGAGGGTTTTCTTCTGCAGCTGCAGTCTCGCCGTCGGGTCCATGGCGGCCAGCGAGTACTCATGCTCCTTGCCTGCACTGCCGAGCAGCTTCTTGCCATGCTTCAGGACGGCGGTAAGGTCGAGCGTATCTAATCGGAGCGAGTCCTCGGGCGCCAGCGGCTGCGGCTCCTCCGGTTTGATGTCCATGTCGTCGTCGCCACCCTCATCCTCTGTATCCTCCGGCTTCTTGATCAGCTCGCCATCCTCCTCGTTCGGGTCATACAGCTCCGCGTTGGCCACGATCAGCCCCATGGCGCGGGCGGCGGCCGTCCGCGTGTCCCACGACTTGGACCGTAGATAGGGGACAATACGCCCCAGCAGGTTGAACAGCTCATCGGGGTGCTGCTTCTGGACATCTGCCAACTGCTGGGCGGCCGTGTTCCGGATCAGCTGCGTACTTCCTGTTTCCAGGAGCCTGTCGAGCGTCGTGATGATGAGTCAGCATGCCAGTTACTAATCAACAAAAATATCACATGACATATAGTCACGTGTATGTGAAATATCATGTGATCAAACTCACGTGACCAAGCGATCTAGTCTAAACCCCGTCCAGTTAGCGCCAGCGTCGGTCGGAATTGGCAGATCTTCTTACCTGGAAGTCATGGCGCCCGCTCCGCCTGTCACTCGCCAGACGCGAAAAAAAAAAAAAAAAGGTGTGAGAGCAAGAGGTTATTCGGTCGAAGAGGGGGGATTTTTTTTTTAAAAAAAAAAAAAAAAAAAAAAAAAAAATAAGTGAAAAGAAAAGGAAAGGGGAAGAAAAAAAGAATTCACGATATTCGACAGACAAGGAAATTAGAAGATATCGGACGCGAAAGACGCATTGAGAGAAGCACAACGTCGCGATGCGCCCGATGCGGTAATATAGCAGGGGGATCCGGACGACGCGTTGGAAGGTCCCGGCGGAGGGGCAGGGCGTGGATTTAGCAGTGGTAGGTAGGGGGAGGGAGCCAAGGATGATCTGGCAGCACGGAGAGTGCCTGCGTTGGCCTTGGATGCTGCAGGGGGAAGACTGATCCAGGGGGGGGGCAACTGCGGTGTCTCGGCCCGGGTCAACTTGACGGGCAGTCGTGAGGGTCGTGACGCTGCGCTGGGAGATCATCGAGAAGGTTGTTCGAGGTTACGCCGGCTGTTTATATCATTGGGGACATCTTTGGGCCTGGCGCGCCTTCCCATGTTTGCGCGCCGCAGTCTAGGCTGGTTTGGGCCTTAGCGCCGCCACCCTGCGTCAAAGAGTTTGCATTCCGTCACGTGATTGATGCCTTGTCGACACCTGATTGTACGGAGTCCAACTGTCCAAGTACTGTACAGTGTCCACTGTCCAGTGTCAGTTACTACACTGTACAGTGGACAGTCCAGTGTACAGTGTACACTACAAATACTACATGTACACTATTGAGTCTACGCTCTGTACGATTGATCGATTCTCTGTTGTTTCTCGCAGGTAACTCTGAGTCAGCGCTGCTGCGTCATCAGATGCCGGATTACATGCCAGAGAAAAGCCAGATGGCCTCATCCAGGGATTTGATAGACGTCTTTCCCGACAGACAGCGAGTTTTTACGGCGTTGAGAACCTCCTCTATAAAATGCAACGTCTACGGAGTACTCCGTACATCACCTTAGTACCTGGTGGAAGATGAGTTGTCTCCAATCAGAGTATTGCTATTGCACTTCGTAAGCAGAAATACCAGACCATACTCAAGTCTAATAGTCTATATATTGATGTCATTTCTCATTTCTCTCATTTCTCTTATTTATTTCGATTTCGACTGCTTAATCGAATAGACTGTAGTTCCCTACCCATGAATATCTACGGAGAAGGGGGGAAAACACCGAGTAATACTGGACTTATAAGTTGAAGTAGACACTTCGTATTGAGACATCCAAATGATCGCCATCGCCATTTTCTATACAGACAAGGGCTCCATCGTGGGAAAACAAACAAAGCTGAGAAAAGACTGCAGAAAAACCCATCGATCCTTTGCTCCCCGAATACCCTTCAAGACCGTGCTGCTAACACAGCTGCCGACTCTTCGTCTTTCCCTAACAGCCCTAGACTGCGGATCTGTTCTGCCTTGGGTGCGTTCTCGCGCGGGTGTGCCGCCTCGGCCTTGCGGAAGGCCGCCTGCATCTTCATCGTCCGGAGAGCCTATACCAAGCATGCTCGTTAGCATTTAGAATTTCATCCATTAACCGTATACAACTGTATACAGCCATCAATCCATCCATCACAGCTCGATTCGTGCGATCCCGATCATCCTTGCGTACCTCTTTCCGGTGGTGGAGGCACTCGTAGTAATCCTCCAGAGCAGGCGCGCACTTCTGCTTGCCAGCCTCCCCCTCTCCCGAATTGACTACATAGCAGCCGAGCACTTCCTGCCAGAAGGTAAAACAGCGCGAGGGGCCTAAAAGCACAGAGACGTTAGCTGTAAAATGTCGAGGAAGGTCAAGCAAGCAC